GCTCAGTGGGCCTTACCTGGTAAAATAAAAAAAATAGCTTTTAGTTTTTATAGGCAAGTTCGCTCAGCGTTTGTACGTTATTTCATTATGATGTTCTGTTAAGGTATATTATATCCCCCCCCCCCCCTCCACCATTCCCTCTCCTTCCCCTCCCCTGAAAATACCACGTTACCGATCGTTGCCCCTACTACGTGGGTAGGGCAGTGAGCCCAATCATCCTTCCCTTTCCCCTCGTGTCCTTCACTAGTTTTTAAAGGCGGGCCACTTTCGCCGATAAGACATCATCAGTGTGAATGCCGCCACTGGGCAGTGGTTGTCCTCTGGATAGACTCGTCCCCGCCATAGGAAGGTGTAATTTCCACCGTAGGCTCTGGGCTATCACTCTGACTTGACGATTCACAGCAGTGTTCTTCAGTCATTTTCAGAGGGCGGCCACTTTCGCTGATAAGACATCATCAGTGTGAGGTTCTGACACACATTTGAAACCACTGGGGCTCTGACAGCAGCACGATGATGATGCTGGGGGGGGGGGGGGGTTGGTGTTTTAACCCTTTGTGTATTGTTGAGGGCCGCGCGTTAGGGGCCGCAGTAAAGGCCACCAGGGGCCGCCAGTGGCCCGCGGGCCTTGCAATGAAGAACATTTCTCTATCCCATGGACTCTTGCTCTATAAAAAAAACCAATAAAAAAAATTACCATCTCCAGTTACATTTTTCACCCAGTTGAAAGCCCGCTGAGACTATTCATGGGAACTCCCTGGGTCTCTCGTCGTCTTTTCGGCCGATGCGCACATCGCCTTCACGAACGGACAATTAAAAACAAAGCACAGCTCAACTGTTATCATACAACCCAAACTGCGGACCGCTCAGCAAACCACTGCAGTCTGCGCTCCTACAACGGAGGAGGAACAGCAAAACGACACCAACTCTTTATCTCTCCTAAAGCCCTCTAGTCATAGATAGCAGACCTCCGCGTTGGCATGTAGGTCCTCAACCATATTGTCACACGCAACGATAGAATCAATACATCTTTATTTTACGTTCCAATATCCCCCCCCCCCCGCCAATAAAGTAGGCATCAGTGCAGAAGCATGGATCAACAGGAATGGAAAAAAAAACCCAATACCAATTGAGCAAAATAAAGTGCAACCGCGTGCAACAAATATATCACACAAGAAATATCATCATCATGGGCAAATAGCCACGTCTATGACAAACATATATCGTAAATAACATAAATAAAACGTATAGTAATATTGTTTTACTTGTTATGGGAAAGCAAGTCGGAATCGGTAGCCTGCCTTCCTGCCACAGGAATGTGTAATTTCCATCATTCGATGGCCCGGTGTAATCAGTTGAAGATGTGCACCGTTCCAGACTCATGCGAGCCCTGGGAGCACCGAGTATTATTATTGACACGCGCTTCTCACCAGGAGTTACTCGGCGCATTGCCTCCACCTAGTGCCCATCTTCAATAACTCAACAAGAGGTTGTGAACAAAAGCACGGTCCCTGTGTTGGAACAAGTGTCAGCCAGTAGTCGTCATCCTCGCAGGCAGGGGCGCAACTATGGGGAGGAATGTGTAAGTGGCAGCGTTATGCGACCCATAAGGGGGCCCAGTTAAAAACAAAAATGTTAAGAACAATTACTTCCAAAAAAATATTGCAACAATTAACCATGTATGCAAAATAAAACATTGTTACAAATGAAAAAAATACATTTATAATAAATACACAGCGTGAGAAAACTAGTAACGCTACTGCTGGTGTTTGTATCTGAACACCACCAGCTTGTTTGGTAACTGACATGAAAGCAAAACGCATGTTAACTTAATTGTGAGTATTGTACCTTTCAATATTTTTTTATTTATTAATGCCGTAACTGTGAGGCTGTCTTCCTCTAAACCCAATACACGGTGCAACTAAAAAAATGTATATAATTATAGCCTACATATTATTTGTATACGTGTTTAAAAAAAAAATAAACATCCGTAGCTATATTATTGGTTCTTTCGGTAGAGTAACGTAGAAGGGAAATAAAACAAATAAAAAAAACAATAAAATTCTCACGACGTTTCGACTGCAGCACAAGCAATCATCATCAGGTATGAAAACCACAGCAAGAAAACGTTATTGTTTTCTATTTTTATTATTTTATTGTTTCCCTTCTACGTGACTTTACCGAAAGAACCAAGAATATGAATCCCTGCAGTCACGAAAGCTTTAAATCAAAATGTATCCGTAGCTATTTCAGTAAAAGTGGGTCGGCAGAAAAGAAGGGGGTCCCAGAGTCGTATCTTGAATAGCCCCCTCGTGGAAATAGGTCGTCGTGCCCCCTGCTCGCAGCAGAGGTTTTGGCTGTTGCACGATCCAGCCACGTGGAGTGGTCAAAGCACCCAACTCAATTTTGCAAAAAGTGGAAATGAGTTTTAGTCCTGGTTGGTCGTTGATTAACCGCATCTTCGTCATCATCATCATCACCATCACGAACAAGGACGGCTACCCGCGTCGCGCGCTTTCAAGATGCGCTTCCATGGCCTTCTGGAACGCTCTTCCTTCCGATATTCGGAAGCCACTGGAGCTATGCACTTTTAGATAATCTAGATCAGTGGTTCTTAACCTGGGTTCGATCGAACCCCAGGGGTTCGGTGAGTCGATCTCAGGAGTTCGGCAGAGCCCCCGCCACGGAGGTCCGGACACACTTGAATTATTGTGTAAATTTGTGATGACACACACGGCCCGCTTGGCCATCACTGGCTGCAGATGATCATGCTACACTGCTTGGCCAATCAGCACTGCGGGGAATTTAGTGCGTACTCAGTAGTCAACGTGTGACTGTTGTTGTCGTACGTCGTGTGATTTCTTTAATATTTTATCCATACTAACTATGTCGGGCAAAAGAAGAAAGTGGTCGGACGAATATGTACAACATGGATTCTCATGTATCACGGAACGTGATGGGAGTGAGCGTCCTATCTGCATGATTTGCAACGCCAAGTTGAGCAACTCTAGTCTTGCACCGGCAAAACTAAAGGAACACTTCTTGAAGCTGCATGGAGACGGGGAATACAAGAACACAACACTTGCTGAATTCAGGGTGAAGAGAACCAGATTCGATGAAAGGGCCACTCTGCCTGCTCTTGGATTTGTACCTGTTAACAAACCGATCCTGACAGCATCGTACGAAGTTGCTTACCTGATCGCAAAGCAGGGCAAGCCACACACCATTGGTGAAACACTTGTGAAACCAGCTGCATTAAAGATGGCGAATCTGATACTCGGAACAGCGGCCGAAGGTAAATTATCCCAAATTCCCCTTTCAAATGACACCGTCAGTGACAGAATAGAAGACATGAGTAAAGACATCTTGGCTCAAGTAGTCGCGGATCTGATTTCAAGCCCGGCAAAATTCAGCCTTCAACTCGACGAAACCACAGACGTTTCTGATCTAAGCCAGCTTGCTGTTTTTGTACGCTATGTGAAAAACGACATGATAAAAGAAGAGTTTTTATTTTGTAAGCCTCTTACAACAACAACGAAGGCAGCCGATGTGAAGAAGCTTGTGGATGACTTCTTCAGAGACAACAATCTTTCATGGGATATGGTTTCTGCAGTTTGTACGGACGGAGCTCCAGTCATGCTGGGAAGAAAGTCTGGTTTTGGTGCGCTAGTAAAGGCCGATGCACCACACATCATTGTGACGCATTGTATTCTGCACAGGCATGCGTTGGCAACAAAAACCTTACCTCCAAAAATGGCAGAAGTATTAAAAACTGTGGTGGAATGTGTGAACTATGTGCGAAAAAGTGCTCTGAGGCACCGCATCTTCAGTGAGCTGTGTAAAGAAATGGGCTCTGAATTTGAGGTACTTCTGCTCCATTCTAATATTCGGTGGTTATCCCGGGGACAGGTGCTGAATCGTGTTTTTGCCATGCGTGTGGAATTAGCCCTGTTTTTGCAAGAGCACCAACACTGCCATGCAGATTGCTTCAAAAATCCTGAGTTCATTCTCATTTTAGCGTACATGGCTGATATATTCGCAGCTCTCAATCATCTCAATCAGCAGATGCAGGGTGGTGGAGTCAATATCATGGAAGCGGAAGAACACCTGAAGGCTTTTCAAAAAAAGCTACCGTTATGGAAACGACGAACAGAGAACAATAACTTCGCAAACTTCCCGCTTCTGGACGACTGTGCAAGTAAGATCGAAGATGTGTCTGGAATCGGAGATATTTCTGTATCCACGGAACTGAAGCAAACAATTGCCACGCACTTAGATGAGCTTGCAAAGTCTCTCGACGGATATTTCCCTACAAGAGAGTCATATCCAGCATGGGTGAGACAGCCGTTCACGTTTGCTGTTGAAACAGCAGATGTCAATGATGAATTCCTCGACGAAATCATTGAAATTCAGCAGAGCCAGGTTCAACAGCAACTCTTCAGAACAACAACGCTCTCAACGTTTTGGTGTCGACAAATGAACAAGTATCCAGTTATTGCTAAGAAAGCCCTGGATTTTTTTTATACCATTTGTTACAACATATCTTTGTGAGCAATCCTTTTCGAAGATGCTGGACATAAAAACGAAGAAAAGGAACAGACTTTGCTGTGAAAATGACATGAGAGTGGCACTTGCCAAGGTGAAGCCACGCATATCTGAACTGATCTCTCAAAGGCAACAGCAGAAGTCACATTGATTTCCAGGTATGTAATTTGTTGTGAGTTTATGCATTGTGTTGGTTTTATTCTTTGAACAAGGTAATGTTCATGCACGGCTCATTTTGTGTACCAGTAAAAAACATATCTATGTCTTGAATTTGAAAAAAATCACATTTTATTTTTCACTAAAGAGGGGTTCGGTGAATGCGCATATGAAACTGGTGGGGTTCGGTACCTCCAACAAGGTTAAGAACCACTGATCTAGATTGAAAACTAGTTTCTTTAGAACTACTTTTTTGCGTTTAGTTTGTTGTCTATCTCCGGCACTTCCAATTAGCACGGCTGGCTACGTACGGGGCGAAATAAGTTCAACATACATATATACATTAATTTTTGGCGAGTGGGAATAAACTGAGTACCCGGAGAAAGCCAGCACATTCGGGTAGAAGACGCTGAAAACTCCGCAAAGCTGTATTCAATGATCAATTTGCTGTACTGCCACGCCCTGGTAACCTCGCGGCCCAGTGGGTTTGTGAGCCTTATAAGTCTGCGATCCACTAACCACTCACCTCCAAAGTGCTGGATTACATACGTACACCTCCACCCCCAGCTGGTGATGAGCTGTCATATGAGAAATGTGCTTTGTTGCCTGCAGGCTCCTCGGGATATTGAAACGGAGCGTGTTCAAGAGGTCACCTTCCCCTGCCATTGGGAGCCGTCGGCAAGAAATTGCCGAGCAACAGGTAAATCGGAGGGAGGACGTACCCGTGAAGGCGTACGGGGCAGGTGTGTCCATATCAGAGCGTAGAAAGTAGCTGGGAGAATGCATGCATCGTTGGAATCTGCTAAAATCTTACGCGTGTCTGGGATCGCCATTTGTCCATCAGAGTTGCCTATCAGAGTTGCCCATCAGAGTTGTCCATTAGAGTTGCCCAACAGAGTTGTCCGTCAGAGTTGTCCATCAGAGTTGTCCATTAGAGTTGTCCATCAGAGTTGTCCATTAGAGTTGCCCAACAGAGTTGTCCATCAGAGTTGCCCATCAGAGTTGTCCATCAGAGTTGTCCATTAGAGTTGCCCAACAGAGTTGTCCATCAGAGTTGCCCAACAGAGTTGTCCATCACAGTTGTCCATCAGAGTTGTCCATTAGAGTTGCCCAACAGAGTTGTCCATCAGAGTTGTCCATCAGAGTTGTCCATTAGAGTTGTCCATTAGAGTTGTCCATCAGAGTTGCCCATCAGAGTTGTCCATCAGAGTTGCCCATCAGAGTTGTCCATCAGAGTTGTCCATTAGAGTTGCCCAACAGAGTTGCCCATCAGAGTTGCCCATCAGAGTTGCCCAACAGAGTTGCTCATCAGAGTTGTCCATCAGAGTTGTCCAACAGGCGAACGAAGTCGTCGTTCCTCTCTCAATCCGACGGGAACCCTTTTCAGTATCTCAATCTCCCAGCGATGAACACTTTCACTAAAACCGGCAAAGGGCGCCTGAGAAAATGACCTGAGACTACGTAATGCACGGTGGAGTCTTGCGAGTGTCTGCTTCGTGGCGTGCAACAGATGTCTACCGAGAACATAGACCGACAACCTTAGATAAATACTCGGTCCGCAAACTCGGTGCGCATCTGTTGCTTTCCTGTGCCATCTGGCTGGTTGTTTGCCAAAGAGCACACTCTTTGGTTCCTTCGTTAAAGTCACGTAGGTATAAAATAAATTAAATTAAATCACGACGTTTCGGGCGCAACACAAGCAAAGCGTCATCAGGTGAAAAATGTAGCGGGAGAGCTGCTAAGCAGCTGTTATTATTTTTCTGATTTTATTATTTGTTCTATCCACGTGGCTTTAGCGCAAGACCCAAAGAATATGAATTCCTGCAGTCACGAAAGCTTTAAGTTAAGAATTAAGAAAATCTACAAAGCGCTTACGAGTGAGAACACGCAGCAGCGCCTGGCAAGGAAACGTACCCGCCCCCACCATTCGCTCAGCCAATGAGAGCGACGCACGCGCTGAGCCAACCAGACCCCACACCCCCCGCGATTCGAATATCGCGATTTGTAGTCGCGATGGCACGAATTCGTTTTTTTCAATTGTTAGCCAGGTAAGGACTCACGAGACCGGGGATAGAGTCTCGGGCTCCATTTCAAAAAGAAACCTCGCCACATAAATGTTGACTGAGGACATCGCGAAGACCCGGATTGGGAGCGCAGCTCCTCCAAGCCCACCTCCCACCGCTGCCATGCAGTAGTACAATCGAATGGTCTCGTGAGTGCGGTGCATAATACTGATAGTATCATAAATTGTTGTTTACTCATGAATGAACGTTTGTCCTCTGTATTATTATTATTAGCACTATTGACCGATACCCCAATGAAGCACTCGTAAATTGCTCATACGAAAAATAACGCTGTCGAGAACGCATGCCCATACAACGCATGCCCATTTATACAATGCAAGGCCGTAGCCATGGAGTCGACATTGGGGGGGACCAAATCTTCCAGGGGGTCTGGGGTCTCACCCCCCCCCCCCCCAGAAAATAAATCGAAATTTGAAAACTCATTTCCTGACATTTCCTGCCTAAAATATATTTAGAAAAATCACTAACACATAGGATGGATTTTTTTTACAATAATATCTAAGAATGTATTGTATTACATTGCTCTGTTTTTTCTTTTTTACCTTTTCTTGTATCATTGTATGTAATGGCAGAGATTAGGGATTAATAAAATATAACCACAATCATATAAACAGACATCTATTTTATAGCAATATATTGGGGGGGGGGGACATTTTGAGCATATTTGAATATTGGAGGTGGATGTGTCCCCCCCAATATATATTATAATTACGGCGTTGATTCAATGGTATGAGGACCCCTCTTGGTGCCCACTTCTCCAGGAGCGCATCTTGAGCGCCTAAGCGAGGCTCTGCCTGTATGTCCCATACTGTAAGCAGCACTCATTCCACAGCGTTGTGGAGATGCTGTTGATACGAATGACGCTATATAAAAATGAAAGCATGAATTATGATTACTTGAAGCCACTGACCTCTTGACCTCGCCTCGTGTCGCCAGGCCGTCCGGTTCACCTGTGACGTCCGTGCCCTAGTTGAGCGCGTGCCCTCGAACGGTCAGAGGGGAAGTCCAGCCCTGCCTCGCTCGGACAGGCTGAATAATGACCGTGACACCTGCTTCTCTTCAAAAGGTCTGGATCCATAATTCACCACCCAAACTAAACACACCGTCGACGGGCCAATGCTGGCACGTGGTTGGGACCGTTGCGACAAATGTTGACCCCCAACGTTTCATGATTACTGGAACGATCAACTTCGCAGGTTCAGGCGGCGCTGTGTCGCACCGGCTGTCGCCCGGCTCACAACCGGAAGGCCATGAGTTCACATCCTCGTCAGGGGGGGGGGGTCAACTTTGCCCAATCTTCTTCCAGGATCAAAATAAGAAAGAAAAACCGTGCGTACGGATGGATCCTGTAACGCCATGTGTCAATCCGCTGCTGGATTAGGGTCACCTCATTCCGTACGGGTCGTGAACATCACTTGACCACACTTCACTGCACTCGTCAGGGTGGGTTGGTGAAGGAGGGGAGCTCAGACGTGGGAGCACAGAAGTAGAGTACAATAAATCACGTTTCTTCTCTGCCTTCTGCTGCCCACCACATAGACTTGCAAACTACTGACGCCTGGTGTGCAGACTCAAATCTGCTCAGATTCTGAGATCTGACGAGATCAGGCGCAATTCGGGATGGTATGATCATAGGTTTAACCGAATGTGAGTCTAATTGATGTAGTGTATGCGTGTGTGTACATCACCGGTGACGATTATTTGAAGCGGTCTTGGGCCTCCCCTAGGTCGACTCAGCCTCAAATGAGTACCTCGTTGTGCGGTGTCTAAAACATCGCCACTGGGGAGACAAAGGCGGCCGGGCGTGGTGCTGGACACCTACCCCTGTCGTGTACCGTTCCGGCCTTCATAGGTGCCGCTCGCTAAACAGCGCTTGCCTCAGCAGTCTGGTTAAGGCGACACGGGGGATCTTTGTTTTTTGTCCTGCACACTTGTTCGCAGACATTATGAAGATGTACGGAGGGCGCATTAACAAACGCGAGCGTAAGGAGCTGAGCGCTTGCAAGGAGATCTGGTATTACAGCGTGACGCCACGGAGGACGGGACGTGGCAACGTCAACTGTTATGGAGCCGACGGCCACTACATTCCGGTTAGACTCCCTGGCCACCCACAACCCTCCACGCATCAGTGACGTCCGGTGAGGTCAATGGCTGGGGAGGCACTGGCTAGTGTCAGAGCCAGATTCACACACTGAGGGGGGGCGTGGCCTCACGGTGGGGGCGTGGTCTCACTGAGGGGGGCGTGTCCTCACTGAGGGGGGCGTGTTAGACACGTCGGGCTCAGTGAGGCAGATGTGATAGCTGCCTCCCCTGGTGCTTTTCCATTGCAGTTTCATGACGAGACCAGCGAGCCTAAATATTTTTATACACATACGTGAAATAAGTTACCTGGAGAATGGAAGGCGAGGATATGAAATGAAGGGGTCTACAAACATTACATTGGAGACATACTGAGATAGTAACAGGCACGCGCTTATTGCCCGCGCTCCATCCAGTTACTGAGGGGTTGCGCAATCAGAGGGGAGGCTGAGCTCGTCGCTGCCTCACCTCTCGTCTCTTCCTGTATTAGCAGCGGAGCTCCGCAAATTTGGCGACTTTGACTATAAAAATGATTGGAATCGTACAGAAATGACAGATCAGTGGAAAAATCTTAACATTTATTTGATTTGATTTTTTTTTTACTTTTCGTAACAGCTATTTTCATTGGAGTACGACAGCTGAGGCTCTGCCGTCCTTGCCTCCACTGACCGCACGTCCCTGCCACGCATGTGCATGTAGGGTGCCACTGCGGCGAGGTGTTAACTACCTCGCCTGGTTTACAGGAGGTCGTGGGTTCCATCTCGACCCTGAAGCCTGCATATTTGGAGTTTGCGCGTTCTCTCTCTACCTGCGGTCGTGTGGATTTTTCTCCGGGTTTTCCAGGTTTTCCCCTCCATATTTAGAAACATCATACATTTTTGAGTATTTGTCTGCTACAAATGTCCACATGATAAGCCACTTCGTTGAGCTGTCATTTGTAGCCAGGTCGCTTCTGCACAAATAATTTCTAGCTCAGTGGGCGTTACCTGGTTAAATAAATGTTTTTTGTAATAGTTTCTTGCAATCAACGCACGACGCTACAGCTGTATCAGTCAGTCCGTGGGTGACCCGGCCAGGACAGCTGATATGATGGTAGCCAGCACGTTGCATGGGAAGGGAGTGTTCACAGGGGTTGCAGAGAACAAAATCAGGCACATTTCCAAATCAATTGGCATATTTGCCCATGTGACAAACTCGATTTGATTACTTAGATTATTGGGCTGCTATACATTTCCACACGATAACCCACTTCGCTGAGCTATAATTTGTGGTCAGGTCGCTTTAGCAGGTTTTTTTTTTAAATCCCGCGCCCCCTTCCCCAGCGCACGCCCACCGAAGCCGCTGAATAACCATCGACGACCGACTGCAAATTGTGAATCGAACGTGGAAGCTGAAGCTCGAGCGAGCCAGCCGATTTGCACTCTCACTGCACCCCCCACACCCCCCCCCCCTACCCTCTGCGCGCAAAGGTTTGGCACGAACACCTCCTCTACCGCTACGAGGTGCTGGAGGTGCTGGGCCAGGGCAGCTTCGGGAAGGTGCTCAAGTGCCTGGACCACAAGAGCAAGGAGTTCGTCGCCATCAAGGTGCTCAATCGAGCCCGGTGAGCTCGCGGGCGATTTCCATCACTCGGCTCGGCTCGGGTGTTTGCCGACGCGGTGTCGCGTGCGTCGTTTCGTGTTCAAACACGCGGCACTGCCACCGCACGAAGAAATTCATTTTACATCTACCCGGCGCGGCAGTTGAAGCGACGGCGCAAGTTTCTCAAATTCTCAAATCCGCGCCCTCGCCTCTCCGTCTCTGCCCAGACGGGAGCGCAAATGGGTTCACCGCAGAGAGCGTTGTCGTGAATACAAATGACGAAATAAATAAGCAGACACATGTGTCTCCTTCACATCTCGATCTCCACGTAAAATGTACACCGTTGACTCTCGATTATCCGCGCTAAAGACCGGGAGGACGGTGGTTTATGATTTAAAATCGCGGATAATCCTGAAAATATAACAATTTTCCGCAGATCTCTGTGCCATAAAGCACTAATATAGGAGTACGTTATGTTTAAGTTAAGATAATTTAGTTTTTCAGTGAACGAAACCAAAATTTGTCGTAAAGAATCGGCCGATCGTTGTTTTGTTCTGGTGCTTATCTTCGTTGGAGGCCCTGAACCGGTGATGGAAATTCCACATTGCTATGGCAAGGGCCAGTTTTTTCAAATTTCCACTACAGTGTATTGACTTTACAAGACGTGCTAGACCAATTGAATCGACCGCTGGAGAGTTTAATACGCTGTATTGATTCACAACTTGGAATGAAACTCACCACAGTCCTGTGGTTGCGAGTTAAATTACTCTTAACTGCAGCACAAGCCAGCTGTTGGGCACTGTAGGAGTACGGAGCACACGGCCGGTTTGCTGGGCACAGTCAGACATTAATGCGCACGGCAGCTGGCGAGGCCAATGAAGCAGTAACTGCACTATCAGTGGCGTAGTAAACTACATTATCAGTGGGCGTAGTAACTACATTATCGGTCCAGGTGGGGCCACAATACTGTATTAGCTTTGCGAAATTTTGCGGAAGCCAAACGTTTGCTGCTCTCATTAAAACAGGTCCCTGCAGGGTGGGCTGGTAGGAACATTGGAATTTTGTATTCGGCTGTGGGCTGTGTGTGGATTTGCCACATCCCCAAAAGCTAAGTTCGTAAATGAGATAATGTGACTTCCAAATGTTGGGTGCAATAAGACATATCAAGTCTCTGCGCTGTCTATTGCTGATTTTACACCCAACAGCACGAGATTTCACTTCGTTAAAGTATTGAAAGGGGACGGACGGACGGACAGACGGACGGACGGACGGACACATTAATCTATTGCAGGCTGGTACACTCAGTTTACAACTTCGTTCCTACCAGTAAAATAAAACGTGGATCGTAAACGAATTTAAGCCGCGTTTAAAATACGTTTGTATTCGCTGACACTGCTGTTGAAAACACATCTCCTGGTGGTTGTCAAGAGGGGGTCCCAACTCGTAGCTTTGGCCACCAGGGGGGGCCGCGGCGGTGGGGGTGGGGGGGGCAAGACACCCCCCTGCCTGCCCCACGCTCGCTACGCCACTGCAATGAAGCAATCTGCCCAAAGCAATTACAGCATCAACTGACGCCTGGCTCACAGTGTCCACGTGGCCATGCGCTCTCATCAACAGGTTCAACGAGAGCGTTCATCGGCGCGAGATTGAGATTCTCAAGAGGCTGCAGACGGCGAGAGAGAGCAGCAAAATCATCCGCATGATGGAGCACTTCTCATTTCGCGGCCGCGAGTGCGTGGTCTTCGAGCTGTTGAAGTAAGAAAAGAGTCGCACAGGGGGGGGGGGGGGGGGGGGGCAACTTTTAAATCTAAATGGAACACGTGTATTGTGACGCTTTCGCTTACATGCCGAACGAATACCGTTATAAGGTCACACTCGTTACGCAGAAAGATACCGCGCTGGTCTGGCCAAGGAGCATAAGCCAACGTCAGGCGAACTCGGATCATCCTCGCAGCAGCGGCTCTTGGCGAACCATTTGACAAAGACGGTGGTCACCGCATCGCGCGCTTTCAGATGCGCTTCTGCGGCCGTCTGGAACGCTCTTTCCTTCCGAGATTAGGAAGCCACTGGAGCCAAAGTTGTTGCCATCCGTCATGCTCTCACGCTGATATAACCCGTCTCACCCACGCACATGATGAATGAAAACACTATAAACTATACTCTTTGGTTATTTCGGTAAAGTCACGTAGGTAAAAAAAATAAAGTTAATCAAATCACGACGTTTCGGAGGCAACACAAGCCCATATCCCTCCTCTACCCCATATAAAATAATCTCTTATCACAAATACTGTAGCTCTCTCGACAGTAATTTTGCTGTGCTAGTTACACCTGATGACGGAAGCTTGTGTTGCCTCCGAAACGTCGTGATTTGATTAACTTTATTAAATTTTTACCTACGTGACTTTACCGAAAGAACCAAACAATATGGATCATTGCAGTCACGAAAACTTCAAATCTAGAACTATAAGCTATACTTTAATTTCACCAGGTAAGGCCCACTGAGCTATGTAGCTCTTTTTCAGAAGCGACCTGGCCATCACAAATGATAGCTCAACGAAGTGGCTAATCACCACGTGGACATTTATTGCTTCTAAATGTGTAAGGAAAAAACCGGAGGACTCGAATTAAACTCCACGCGACCGTGGTACCAGAGAACATGCAAACTACAAATACGCAGCAGCAGGCGTCAGGGTTGGGATCGAACACCATGACATTATGTATACCGGGCGAGGTAGTTAACATCTCGCCACCTCGTCGCCCCGTTTCCATCGTGGTCATCCTCTTGGTGCCTTTCCTCCTTTGAGCGTCACTCTGCTGCCACCAGTTTCCACCTTCGGCCCCGCAGAGTCCCTTCGAGCGAAGATGATCATTTTCTGGCATTTTGTCGATCCACTGCTGGACGAGGGTCACCCCCACACTGGGGCGGTCATGGCGGGTTGTTTGACCATACTTCACCACGTTAGCACGGAGGAGGGGAGTTACAGGGACACAGGAGGACCGGTTCAGGTGTCACGTGGCGCTGCTGGTGGTAGACGCGGACGGGAATCGAACTCAGCCCTTCGGGTTCAGGGTCCAATGCACGAAACTCTGCACCACCACTCTTGCCAATTATACTGCAGTTTTCACACGTATATCAACACAATACTACATGGTTATGATATAGGCTACGAATACCAATACTAAGAATTGCCAGGCATTAATCAGTACAACCTACACCTTACAGTGAAACGCACCCATCTATCCCGACGATGTGTGTTTGTTCTATTATACAATGCGTGTTTTCATAACGCGAATTGTATACAACGTGATGATTAATGTATTAGGGAACACATTTTTTTTATATATAACGCGGGTGCGAATTTGATACAACGCGATCAAGTGAACGGAATAAGCGGCCGTGCGGCTCCCTCGTTGTAGCATCATCACACAAGGTTGGGATGCTGCTGGATGCTTCTAGACGCTAACCCACGCGTCTCAGTCTTTGTTCAGCCTGCATGCGCATCTCACGGCGTCATCGCGGAACTGTGCTTTACCCTATGTTACATATTACTACGTGTTCTTCAGGAACGCAAACTACTGACGCGTTACAGGAGAACAGACTGGAAACTGAACTTCTTTCGCACCGTACGTAGCCAACCGTGCTGATCGAGGGCGACACACGATGCACACACACGCACACACGCACACGCACGCACGTCGTCTGTTACAGTGGAAATCTGCGGTCGCAGCTGAAGCTGACTCATCGCCAGGGCTTCGGTCTCGAGATGGTGCGCCTCTTCGCCATCTCACTGCTCAAGAGCCTCGAGCAGCTCCGTGACGCGAACGTGATCCACGGTGACCTCAAGCCGGCGAGTGGCGACGCGACTGGCTGTTAAGCACCGACCCGCTCGCTGAGCTCCCAACGGGCCCGTTGATATATCTCACAGGAATATATTCCGAGGCCTCCCAACCCTCCCAACGCCACCGAGATGACAGCGCCGGTTGGGCCCGGAGTATATATATATTTTCGTGGGCCTCAGCAAACCAGATACATTTTGTGGGCTGAAAATAATTGCGCCGCCGTTCGTTAAAGTGGATTGCCTCGATATTTGTTTCCGGTCCGGATACATTTTTTTTAATTCCTGGCTCTTCCGCGAGAGAGCGAGACCGCCCGACATTGTTTTATTTTTGTTGACTTTGTCCCCCCACGGTGCAGGGAGAGCGATGCTCAAAACAAGTGGGGTGCCACGGTGGCTAGGAGATGTTAACTACCTCGCCTGGCTTACAGGAGGTCGTGGGTTCGATCCCTGACCCTGATGCCTGTATATTTTGAGTTTGCGTGTCTCTCTCTCTCTCCCTGTGATCAAGTAGATTTTCCTCCCGGTCCTCCACTTTTAACGGCACTATCAGCTCGGGGGGTAGGTGGTGGGTGGGGGGAAGAGTTAGGTGGAGCCCCAGTAATTGATTTGTCTCACAGGGTCGCACCTATGGGCCATTGTATGTCGCCGCTCCTGTCGCCGAATCACATCGTGACGCTCGCGGTCTCGAACATTTCACGCCGTCGGGATGCTCCGTCTGCCTCCAAATGCGGCCGCGACAGCTCCCTAGGAACTCTTTCCAATGATTACACGGCTGCTCTAGTGAAATTAAAATAAAACTTGGAACGTAAATGAAAGCTTTAAAATCGCGTTTTAAATATTTCTTGTTGTTCTTTTACGCTGTTGTCATGGTGGTTGTCAAGAGGGGGGGTGGGGGGGCAACTCGTAGCTTTGGCCACCAGGGGAGGCGGCAAAGACACCCCCTGCCCCCAGGCTCGTTGCTCTCCTGGCTGCCGATGTTGACGGTGACCGAGCTCGGAGTAACGAAGTGTGTCCCGTCTCCTCCTCCCAGGGGAACATCGGCATCTGCAGTTACGAGGCTGGCGAAGTGAAGCTCTTCGACTTTGGCTGCAGCTGTTTCGATCATGAAGAGCGTGAGTTTGCGGCGCTCTTTCCCAACAACCGCTCGAATTCATTTTCGGCGACTAAAAACGTGGTCACATCTCAAGGTTGCTTTTCAATAATCCAAAAAAGTTCAACTGCATTCGGCTAGGAGTTGCGGTGGTCAAAGACAGCAGCCAACGTTCGTTCGTCGCTAATTGGCGGTGACATTACCGCAGTGCATTTGCCAGGCCAAGTGCACTTTGAAAGGCTCGCTGCTGCTGGCAGGAGGTCACGGGACAGACCCGGGTGCTATGGGTTGACTGACTGAGATGACTGGCAGATGCACCACTTGTGCTCCCCACTGTGCCAACTTGCTGTATTTTAGCTACCCGGCGCTCCACTGGTTGTTGTGAGCGTTGTTCCTCCGTCCTCCATTGTTGCAGGAGGGCGACTGCCTCCCACTGCCCAGTAGCGTCCTTTCACGAGCCCCCTCCACAGAGGCCGATTTGAACACAGTGATCTGCAAGTCCACTCAGCTCCACATCCTCCTGTGATACATCAGTTCATATCTTCTCCAGCCCGTGACACCCCCATTTTATCCGGCCACATAGGTCAGGACAGGGAAACACAACCGAAGATTAATTTACCAGGGCCCAGCACCAACAACAATGACAACAACAATGTATGTATGTATGTTGAACGTCTTTTGCACCGTACGTAGCCAACCGTGCTAATCAGATGTGTGAAACAACGAACCCCAGGGACAGCCGGGGGCAGCCCGCACAGTTCCAACAAGTCTCAGCCAGGGGATCCAATGTACAAATGTTCGTGTGGCGATCAATGATGAAAAATAATAACGAGGTCACTCAGAAGAAATGTCGAAAATGTAGACGTTTCTGCCCACTGCCCTTCTTATTGATGAGGTCTACAGAAAAAAAAGACCAGTACCGTACACCCATATGTCCAATGTCCAGGATCTTTACCACCAGTGACGGATAGAAACATGTTATTCATTTTAACCAGCCCGTTATAGGAAGCGGTGGTGTGATTGTTAGTGCAATTCAATCCAAGCGTCCTACTAATAATTTACATATAAAATATACCTACGTGACTTTACCGAAATAACCAAAGAGTATGGATTCCTGCAGTCACGAAAGCTTCAAATCAAGATGAATAATTTACAGTCAGTATTGCGGAGTAATTAACACATTTTTCCACTTTCAAATTAGTCCTTAAAAATGAATTGGCAAAATATCCCAGTGCAGGACCCACCTGAAATAGTCTTGAGACTCAGTAAGTCTGTGTGTGTGTGTGCATTCGTGTGTAGAAATTGCAGAGTATGGATAGCAGGTACTCACTCCGTCAGTCAACCCCAATCTGTTAATCTATGATGCCTGGGTCCATTCCACTATAGTGCCGTGGTGACGAAATGTTAACTCCCTTGCCTGGTATGCAGGAGGTCGTGGGTTCGATCCTGATCCTGACGCCTGCTGTATATTTGGAGATTGCATGTTCGACTTGTGGTCACGTTGATTTTTCTCCGGGTCCTCCGCTTTTTCCCTCCACATTTATAATCAACATACGTTGAGAGCATTTCCACGTGATAATCCACTTTGTTGAGCTATCATTCGTGGCCAGGTCCATTCTGAAAAAGAGCTGTACAGCTCAATGGGCCTTACCACCCACCCCTCTCGTGCGCCATGCCAGCCTTCATAGGTGCTAGTCGGCTGCACTTGCCTTAACGGTCTGTGAAGACTATAACGGGCATCTTTGCCTTTGTGCCTGTGCCACCACACGGCAAACAGACTTTACTAAGATCCAGACCCGACACTACCGAGCACCCGAAGTCATACTGGATCTGGGCTACAGCTTCCCTGCCGACATGTGGTCCCTGGGCTGCACCCTTGCAGAGTTGCACTCGGGCCAGAAGCTATTCCCAGGACACACGAACGAAGACCAGCTGCATTCTATCATGGAGGTACGACGCCACTTACACACATCCCGCTTTGGCGGCGACTGTCCAGATGTCTCGTGGCATTTGGCAAAAAGCAATATTTTTTTTGTCATCGCTACAAACGCCGTGGCCTCGCACTCGACTAAACTAAAAACGATTTTGATTTAAAGCTTTCGTGACTGCAGTGATTCATATTCTTGGTTCTTTCGGCAAAGTCACCACGTAGAAGGGAAACAATGAAATGATAAAAAATGTAAAATAATAAAATTCTCACGACGTTTCGACTGCAACACAAGCAATCATCATCAGGTGTGAAAACCACAGCAAGAACATTATTTTATTATTTCCCTTCTACGTGACTTTACCGAAAGAACCAAGAATATAAACTAAAAACTGTTTAAAAACTTTGTTTTTACCAGGTAATGCCCACTGAGATATTTAGCTCTTGGGTAGAGAACCATCTGAGGACCCAATCACAACCATCACCTTGCCATACATAGCAGGGGTTGCAAAAAAGATTTCCAAAATCTGGAAGAAACACTAGATCCAGGTTTGATTCAACACAGTAAGCAAAATCCGTGACCTGATCCCATCTTTGAAAGATGTGATTCCTGACATGCAGTACCCTGGTGTCTACAAACTTAGTTGTGTCTGTGGTAGCAGTTACATTGGGGAAACGAAACGACATGTCTCGGACCGTGTTCGCGAACACAAGGCAGATTTGAAACACGGCAGAACCAATACCTCTGCCGTGGCTGATCACTCCTTGAACGTGGTGGGCTCACACGACATTGTTTTTTTCCGAGACCAGGGTACTCTGCAAACCTTCGGGCTACCATCAAAGATTTGTTCATGAAGCCATCCAGATAAATAAACACGGACATAACTTCAACCGAGAAGATGGGTACACATTGAGCAATCACCGGAAGGACGTTATTAACCATTAGCCTTAACTGGTTATTGATGTTTCCATCCTACCTGCCATTGTCAGCAGTTATTTCCCACTCTCTGAATTACATTACCAAGTTAAATGTCTTTACTTTAACGGGATAAATGTCTCACTAATAAAGCAAATGTTGCCCCCTTTCCCTCGATGTGGCGGTGGCTCTCGTTTTTTTAGCAGATTATAACTGGCTGTGATGTTGTTGTGTGTGTGTCTCTCTCTGTGTGTGGGTGTGTCTCTCTGTGTGTGTCTCTGTGTGTGTCTCTGTGTGTGTGTGTCTCTCGGTTTCTCTCTCTCTCTGTCTCTCCCTGTATGTCTCTCTCTCTTGGTGTCTATGTGTGTGTGTGTGTCTCTCTCTCTGTGTCACTTTGTGTCTGTCTCTGTGTGTGGGTGTGTCTCTCTCTGTGTGTGTCTCTGTGTGTGTGTGTCTGTGTGTGTGTCTCTCTCTGTGTGTCTCTCGGTTTGTGTGTGTCTCTCTCTGTGTCTCCCTGTATGTCTCTCTCTCTTCGTGTCTCTTTGTGTGTATGTGTGTGTCTCTCTCTCTGTGTCACTTTGTGTGTGTGTCTCTTTCTGTGTGTGGGTGTGTCTTTCTGTGTCTGTGTCTCTCTCTGGGTGTGTCCCTCTGTGTGTGTCTCTATGTGTGTGTGTCTCTCTCTGTGTCTCTCTCTATGTGTCTCTGTGTGTGTGTGTCTCCCTCTCTCTCCCTGTGTGTCTCTCTGTATGTATCTCCCTCTCTCCCTGCGTGTCTCTGTGTGTGTGTCTCCCTCTCTCTCCCTGTGTGTCTCTCTGTGTGTGTCTCCCTCTCTCTCCCTGTGTATCTGTGTGTGTGTGCCTCCCTCTCTCCCTGTGTGTCTCTCTGTGTGTCTCCCTCTCTCCCCCTGTGTGTCTCTCTGTGTGTCTCCCTCTCTCCCTGTGTCTCTCTGTGTGTATCTCCCTCTCTCCCTGTGTGTATCTCCCTCTCTCCCCGTGTGTCTCTCTGTGTGTCTCCCTCTCTCTCCCTGTGTCTCTCTGTGTGTGTCTCCCTCTCTCCCTGTGTGTCTCTCTGTGTGTCTCCCTCTCTCTCCCTGTGTCTCTCTTTGTGTGTCTGTCTCATGTTGCGCGCTCTATCCCCCTAGTGGCTGATCTACCGTCATTACACTCGACTCTCGATCATCTCCGTGCCTTTCCTTCACCCTGTTCGCTGCCTTTCCTTCACCCTTTTCAGCGCTCTATCCCCCTAGTGGCGGATATACCGTCACTGCACATTGACATGTTCATCTCTCACAATACAATGGCCACATCCTCAGCTCTTCCTCGTCGTGGGGGTGCATCAACAACTTCCCACTTGCCTCGGCACAATCTCTAGCCCCCACCCTCTTGCCCGAAGCGGCACCCCCCACCGCCCCCCCCCCCCCCATCTGGGCTCTATATATATAAGGACTTCATATTCTTGCTTCTTTCGGTAAAGTCACGTAGAAGGGAAAACAATAAAATAATAAAAATATAAAACAATAAAATAATAAAAATATAAAACAATTATATTTTTATTATTGAAAAATAAAAATATAAAACAATTGTTTCTATTTTTATTCTTTTTATATTTTTATAAAAAATATAAAACAATTGTTTATATTTTTTTATTTTATTGTTTTCCCTTCTACGTGACTTTACCGAAACAACCAAGAATATGAATCCCTGCAGTCACGAAAGCTTTAAATCAAAATATAAGGACTTGTTTCAGCAGCCTGTTTCTCTCTCCCACCTGATGACGATTGCTTTCGTGGCGATCGAAACGAACGTGATCTATTCTTACTTTTTCTACCTACGTGACTCTACCCAAAGAACCAAAGAGTATGGATTCCTGCAGTCACGAAAGCTTCAAATCAAGATTTGAGTCAGCAGTGGAATTTACACATTCTTTACGAAAGAAAAATCATTGTTTTTGTTACACAAAAAGGGACTACAAGTATTGAACGTGGAGAAACGATGGACTGAGTCAACTCCCAATATGTAACTAGCCCTGAGTTGGAAATTCCACATTCCTACGTCGAGGCCAGTGCTCATTGCACTTAGCTGCTCCTGTAAATGTGTCCTTTGCCAGGCGTATAAATCGTGCACCGATTTGTAGATGGAAACCAATTCTCGCGATGCATGCATTAAATCGTTTATACGAAAATATATTATTTAACGTGTTATGCAAATAGCATACGTGCATGTTACACGTAGGCTATTGGAGCAAACTTACTGCACAAACCAGAGATGAAGGAAAACAACAACCCGAGAAGCAGTACAAGCAAGATGGTGAAAATGAGACCAAAAATAATTGATTCTTAACCAGTAACTTCCGATTCATCGTTAATTCCTCGCCGTGGGGATTAATCGTCACCTCTCTCTTAATTCACAAGCTCCGTGCGAATGTCATGTGAATGTGCAAGTGTTTGATGAGGAGCGGTGGCGCAGCGGTTAGCGCATCGTGCTACTAACCCGTCGAACCGAGTTCGATTCCCGCTCACGGCGAATATTTAAACCGGTCCTGGGCGTCCCCTAGGTCGACTCGGCCTCAAACGATTACCAGGTGTGATGTGTAAACATTTGCCGCTGGGGAGACAAAGGCGGCCGGGGGTGCTGCTGACCACCCACCCCCTCCCGTGTGCTGTGTCGGCTACAATAGCTGATCGCCAACAGCACAAGTCCCCCCAACAGTCTGTTAAAGGTTCCATGGGGGATCTTTGTCTTTGTTTTGTGTCAGGTGTTTGGACTCCCGCCCCAGGACATGATCGAAGAGTCCCGTGTCCAACTTGGATTTTTCGGTGGGTTTCACACTGTCACTGCCGCTGTCTGTGACGCGCTGTTTGTAACTTCCATTCGTGCGGCGCGAAATCACGTAAACCAAAACAATCTCCAAGCGCCAAGCAATTCGAAGAGTACGAACTGGGAGCCGAGCCGATATTTAGGGAGCGTGGGAAGCAACATAACACTTGTGAAGAATGTGGGCAATAAATATACACAAGCAGACCAAAGTACGTCGCATTATCTGCTTCATTATTACGTTATTTTTTTATCCTCCATGACGACGCTGATGACGTGTTCCATCGGTGTTTTATTTGTGTGTGTGTCAAACTAGGACCCATGTCTAATCGAGAGGGGGTCCTTGCCAAGGGCAGTTCACCAGCATTGTTGGTCTGAACGAGCGCGTGTCCGCTGATGAGACATTGAATGTCGAAGCCGGTCCAACGCGTTTGCTTGTGCTGAACCAATGATGCTGAAAAAAAAATCACTCCCAGAATGCCATGTGGCTCATGGGATGTGTTAAATGTTTTTTTTTAAATGTTCGTTATGTAGAGAGACAGGTACGGGAAGAGGTTGTATACTATGAATTGTTAATTTAATATCTTTTTTAAAAACAATGTTTACAGTAGTTGTTAGTGACAAAGGTAAAACGCCTTCATACTTTTACAAAGGTGGAACCGTGCTTCTTTCTGAGCCAGATTGAGAATTCCACATTCCTGTGGTAAGGGCTAGCATTTAAAAGTTATACAGTATTCATCCAAATTGTATTGTGACGTACACTGCACATACTGCACATGCCAGAACCACTCTTAGGTTCGTTCGGTAAAGTCACGTAGAAAGAGAAAATAATAAATTAAATAATAACATACGACGTTTCGATTGCAACACAAGCAATCATCATCAGGTACAAATTAAATAGAAACAAACCTAGTAAACTTAGGAATACAATACTATACAACATAGAGAGTCGGTTAACATAACAGTCAGCACCCTACTTGGTTGATAACGTTCTTCCAAAGATTGCTAAATTTAAGAGAGAGATAAAACACAGAACCGGAGACACATAGATGGACACATAAGCAGAGAGAGAGAGAGCGATAACAAAGCCTACGCACTGGGATATTAATAATGTATATCTAAACCACAGTCCTAAACGAAACTTCATTGTATACGAGTGACCAGAAGCTTCCTTCGGGCCATGATCTACTGGGGAATTTATTTCCATCACAATTGTTGCCGGCAACCGCGAGCATCTGCGGCAACTTGGAACGGAGTGACTGAAGATTCTGTAGTCAAGAGCGGCAGACGTTTTTCAGTACAATGGTGATGCTGTGTTGGCAGCGGCGCACAAATCACAGTCCATACAAACAGCATCAACACATTCGTCAATAACACTGTGTCCTTAAAATAAAAAAATACATGTAAGGTGGAGTACCGGATTAAGCTGGTGCAGGACCTGTAGCATATGTTATAAAGGGGCCCTAGATTAAAAAAAAACACACAAATATTATAACACAAATTTGTAACTTGCATAGTGAAGTATTTGTATTTTTTGTATTTGCTATACAGCCAGATAATACGACAAATCGCTAATCTTAAACACCCAGTCGTTCATAAAAGTTGAAGGCGGTATAGTACTATAGTAATAGAGCAAGTGCAGAATCAATGAACCCGAATTGATTTCTTGAAATCATTTAGCGCGGGGCCCTTAAAAATGCGGGGCCCGTAGCATATGTAGCTACTTTTGCTACTCGGATAATCCGGCACTGATAAGGTGACGTTTCGGGAAATGACCCTTTTTAACAGCAAATTCCAATATAAGCTTTTCTTACTGGAAAAGCAATAAGAACGCTTCCACGTTCACCTGTCCACATGCCAACAAAACAAACACATTCTCCTGCGGAGGGAGCTGGTAGGAACGTTGGGTTGCTCGGTCAATGGCCAGGGTCACACGGCGGCACCACGTGGTGTATTCCGCAAATACGCCCGACTGTTGAGACTTTTGAGCGGCGAGACTTTTGACGATGGCAGTTGTTGTTGTTGGCAACCTTTGCCGGTAACAATTGGCCTCGCGTTTGCCGTTAAGTTTGCCCCAGGAGGTCCGTGGCCCCTGCGCTTTGCCATCCACCACGTGGTCGACGCTGCCCTCTAGTGGTGGCAGCAAGGCATGATCTATTTTATACTCGTTCTATTCGGTAAAGTCACGTAAAAAACAACAAAAAATATAAAATAAAATAAAAATAAAATAAAGTAAAATAAAATAAAAATAACATATAAAATAAAACACGTGACTTTACAGAATAGAACCAAAGAGTATGGATCCTTGCAGTCACAATCTAGAAATAATCTATTTTAGTTCAAACGTGCGACTTAACCAGGTACGTTGAACTTCTTTCAGCACCGTACGTGGCCAACCGTGCTACGAGCTCTAATGCAGAGACAACCTGGCCGCACATGATGATACGCTCATCGAAGTGGCTTACTTCATCACACGGGGAAAGAGAGAACACGCGAACTCCAATTACGGCAAACCCTTGCCCCATGTTCTTGAAAATAGCCACATTCTGCGAATCCGCGATCCACAAATTCAAAGGCAAATGGGGAAACGAGGGGTTTGGCTCACGGTTTAAAATGCGACACCCATCCCTCCTTTAGTTTTACGTTACCCTGCATCAACCCAAATATTAAACAGGACGCATTTTTTTTTAATGTAAAACGCGATTAATATTCTATCCTGTTGAAAATAATTTGAGGAAGAATCGTGCCGCTGAACCTCACGGCCTCCTCACTGGAGGCTGGGAACACCGCGTGGCCAGGGAACACACCAAGGGACGGCTTTCTTTTGAGCCTCGACCCAATTGGTGCTCGACCAGATGACGCCAAAAGGCGCCAAAAGGCGTCATCTGGTCGAGCACCAATTGGGTCGAGGCTCAAAAGAAAGCCGTCTCTTGGTGTGGACCAATCAGTTTCAAGGACAATGCATATATTATCATAGTATGTTTTTTGTTTGCATTTTGACTGCAGGTATTGTGGTTAATGCAGACGTGAATCCTTGTAAAAAGGTTTCAGTTTGGTTGCCAGAAAAAAGGGGGAAAACCCTATTATTATTAGTGGCCACATCTTTCTGGCACCAATCTCTTATGTCGTCATTAAGCCATTCTCTATTAGGTGTATTCCTCTCTTTCCGGTTCCTTACATTTTTCCGAACAAGAACAACAACACATTTAGTTTTCCTGTTGTCCATCCTACACATTTTTTTTTCCAAATAGTGCCAGTTTCCTTCTCATCACTACCTGCATGAGTTTTTTTTTCTTCTGTATGTATGCTGAACTTCTTTCGCACCACGCGGAGCCAACCGTGCTAATTTGAGGTGAGGGGGACCCACAATAAACAGCACGGATGGCTGGGGGCACATTTTACTTAACTTCTACGTCGACAGTGACTGACAATAAAAGTAATTGGCCCTTGGGCAGGACACGTCGTAGCTAGATGGGACAAGGGCCAGAGGACCGGAACGACGGCGGTTGTGGCAGCCAAAACGAAGGAATGCTCCCGAGAGGACGGCACTGTGAGAGATGGAGCGATGACAGCCACTGCAGCAACACGATATATTGCCAAATAATTCAGCGTGTACACATTTCTGGTGTGGCACGTGTCGTTACGGGTACTTACGAGATCCGACCGCGTCCGTCCACTGAGCTGTATTGGCTTCCGGTTGTTGAACGAATACATTCTAACGTTGCACTCATGACACACAAAGTGCTTGCCACAAATGAACCACAATACCTTACTGATCTCATCAAGGAACATGAACCGTCACGCAAATTCAGGTCATCCTCGCAGTGGCTACCCATCGAACAAAGACGGGTCACTGCATTGCGTGCTTTTGGATGCGCTTCCTGCGGCTGTTTGGGACGTTCTTCCTTCCGATATCAGGATGCCACTGGAGCTATGCACTTGTTACTCAAAAGTGAAACCTAATTTCTTTAAAACTGCTGTTTGTGTTTAATTTGGTGTCCTTCCCCCGCACCTCCAATTAGCACGGTTGGCTACGTGCAGTTCGAAAGAAGTTCAACACACGTACAGATGGCGACGACCTTCATCCAGCAGTGGATTGGCCGTGTCCAATGGTGGCGTTGAAGCGCCGTGCGGTGTTACGTCGACTGCAGTGGCGCACGCTGAAATGCATCTTTGCACTCCCCTACTTGGTGCTCCGACAGATGACAGCGGCCGTGCCCAGCTGCCCCGCAGCCTCGTGAGGGTCCCGGGGAGCCGCGCCCTCCCGCTGGCGCTCCGAACGACGGACGAGCACTTCACCGACTTCATTCGGAGCTGCCTGCAGTACGCGACGCGCTAACTTTTCGAATGCAACAGCCGTGGAATGACAAAGGGCACTTTCATTTCCCTTCTCCCCCCCCCCTCGTCTCTCCCCTATCCAAGTGAATAAGTCGCCAATTGACCAATTGGCCCTTCATATGGCGGCGTTTGGCAAAAGCAGCAGGGTAAAATTTGTTTGTAAGCTTCACCATAGCATGCCGGGTAGCTGAGTAGAAGTCACGAGTTTCTCCAGAGCACACGTGTTTTGGGCAGCTTGGTTTGCACCTCACCGCATTAGCAGGTTGGTGAGTCCCTAATCCCTGAGGAGCACGGCGGTGGTGAGATGTTAACTCCCTTGCCTGGTGTGCCAAAGTCGTGGGTTCGATACCAACCCACACGCTTGTATATTTGGAGTTTGCATGTTCTACCCGTGGTCGCGTGGATTTTTCTCCGGGTCCTCCAGTTTTTCCCTCCATATTTAGAAACACGCGTTTAGAGTATTTGGCTGCGACACAATTTCACATAATACGCCACTTTGTTGAGCTATCATTTGTGGCCAGGTCTCTTCTGAAAAGAGCTATAAAGCTCAGTGGGCCGTAACTGGTCAAATAAAAATAGCCGTTTAATTACTCAATTTATGGAGGAAATATCCACACTTTCCATGCATTGTTTGGACACTGTGCAGAAACAATGGGCACATCCACTTTGTTGAGAGAGGCGGTCGGTCACAGTCAGATAAACAAAAATAATCAGGTCTCGACCCTGGACTTGAACAGGGGCAGGGAGTCGACAGCACGGATGGGTGGGGGAAAGGCGTTCCAGACCCTCGGGAGCGGCAGAGGAGAACGAGCAACCCCCTCCCACTGCAGTACTTTGTGTGTAGTGTGCGATCACGGTTCGTGTTTCACGGCTTGCACGAGGTAATTGCAGTACTTTTAAAATTAATTTTTGACGTTTGTGAACAATTTCAAAACTTTTGCTCGGGAATGTTTGTCAGTGGCAGCCAGCGCGCATCGGTCACGCGACGCAGCCGATGCTCATCACCACAAGCGCCGTTATTTCCGAGGTTAACCAACAGCACCGCTCCGGTGCTGCTCGAGCGATCTCCCCCAGAGCCAGGAATCCCGCGATGGATCGCCGCTCTCTCGAGCGGCCCTGCCAACCGAACAGACGACGTTGTCTCTCCGCCTTCTCGCAGGTGGGATCCGGAGTGGCGCCTCACGCCCCACGGTGCCATGGATCACGAATGGGTACGGGCCCCGAGGATGCCCCCTGCCCCATCAGCCGCCTCTGACCTCGACGGTGAAGAGGGCCCAGGGCCACCGTCCGGCAACGAATGCGGATCCGCTGCTCCCCTCCGTGATGCGAAGGACCCAGGCGCAGCACTGCACGGACACCCGGATGCGACCTTGGCATCACATGATCACCGGGCAGACCAAGTCATAGAGGAGGATCTTGTCTTTGCTCTCGGCCGTAAGAAGGACACTGCTGGAACACCTCTGATTCAGGAGGACCTGACTACAGCTCGCTCTGCACAGCAGTGCCCAGCCTTGGCTTCCTGCGCTCGGCAGGAAGCTGATGGCACATCTCAAAGTCACGAGCGCCTGGTCACATCGTCAGTTGCACAGCGGGACCCAAATTCACCTTGTGGCCCGAAAGCAGAAGCTGCCAAGGCTTCAACAAACGAGGGCAACTTAACCATGACCCCGGTTGACCCCAGCCCAGCTGCAGCATCCGACTGCAACAGGAGTTTGGCTACAGATTCCTGCAATAAGCAGCGGCAGTAAGTGACTACAGACACACACACTACAACAAGAGCAACAACAGCCACCATTGGCCGGCTAGTGGTGGTGATGCTGCTGCAGCGCTTGTGCCAGGATGAGGTGCACTTTGAGGCCAAGTGTAGTGGTGTGGGTTTGCCAATAGAAATTCACGGGACAGATCCAAGTGATGAGGATGTAACACAGGAAAATACACTGGCACCACTCCCCACCGTTGTTGCTTGTTTTGATCTATCTGCCCGGTGCTCTGCTTGTTGTTATGAGCATTGTTCATCCACTTCCCATCTTTCCTGGGGGGGGGGGGGCAATTGGCACCAGCCACACAGTTGCGTCCGGATCCAAATTTGCCAAATTCGAAAAATACCCACAAATTACCCAATTGGGATTATGCATGGAAAAAAAATGTTATATCCTACTGACAAGCTCGTGCCCCAGGTCACTCTCACAAATTGAACTAATGCCTTATATCTTCGTGTTCTCTACACGAAATACACTTTTAATTTCACAAGCGTGCCTCCAAAGAGACCATCGCCGTCTGCACTGGTAACAGTAAATGCACCGTCACTGCAATATAGCCTTCAACTGTTGTCTGATTGGATTACTCTGTAATTGTTATTCGCTTTTATCATAGTTCTTCATTTTATTGGATTTTCGAGTGTAGTCATTGACATTGTTATTCATCAGCTTTCTATTTCGCTTAGATTTGATCTCTACTTGTGAGTGTAGTCTTAATTGTAAGTACAGCGCTTTGAGATACTTCAAGATGAAAGGTACTGAAAACAATAAAGGTTATTGTTTTACCTATTTGATAGATTGTTGGGGGAAAATACTATTAGCGAGCACCTATTAAGGTCGGGACGGCTGAAAAGGGGGTGGTGTGACCAGCAGAAGACATCACCAACATGTATAGAACTACTCCACACGCAGAAACAATGAGTGAAGCAGACTTTTCCCGTTATGTATGTTGAACTTCTTTCACACCATGCGTAGCCAGAATCAGAATATACATTTAGACTGGAGAAATCCAATGAGCTATAAAGCTCTTTTTCACAGATGTCAAAGTAGGCGCAGGTCAGAACGTTACAACAACAAACAATACGAAAACAGAATAACGAGTGCAACCGTGCTAATCGAAGGCACTGTGGTAGGACAACAAAGCACGCATTCACAGATGGTCATCTTATGCAGAGATTAACCTCCCACTGTGGTCACCAATAAGATGATCACCGCTGCAATGTTTTCCCGAGCAAGAACACTTTTTGACTTGTCTTTTGGTTGCGTGGCGTGCGTTCGCACAGGGCGGCTCGCACTCCGCGCGAAACGATTCGAGCTGCTGATCCAGAGGATGCTGAGGGGCCTTCTGCGAGCGCAGGCCAGGCGAAGGCCCCTCCGGCTGGGGAGGTCGTCCAGGCTGTGTCGCGTCGGCACAATAATCCACCGCAGCGTTTTCTCTTCGCCAGCAAGAGACTGCGTCCCTTCTTCAGGCGATTGCTTCACTGCCATTCCTGCTGCTGCGGCGATGGAGACGTTGCTTATTGACACCGTTGAGAAGCTAATGTGTGTTACTCATAATGTGAACTTGTTTTGCAAATGCGCGGGATGTTCTATCACACTATCATAATATTTTAGAAAAAAGCTTTGCTGGCTGGCTGGCTGGCAGGCTGGAGGGAGGGACACATCAAGTCGCGGTATCTCTTCACTCTCCTTAACACTTTGACCACGGCGAAAAAGAGCCACGTTCTTTGGAGCACGTCCGAAGTTCGGCTTCTGTTGATCGCCTGCGGAGCCAAGACCGTCGATCCTCGCAGAGTGGCGCTTCTCTGTGGCAGCTCCCGTCATGTGGAACTCTGTCTCCCACAAAGGAAGCATTCTCACTCCCTATAGCGCAGGGGTCAGACACCAAATTTACAAAACGAGCCATTTTTTTTTTTCAAATTCGGTGAAAAAACCCCTCTGTTTCAAGTGCCGCAATGCATGTGCCTTTGAGACGGTCCTTAATAAATAACGTCACGAAGCAGTCCTTAAAGAGCCAAATGCGGCTCCGGAGCTGCAAGTTGCCGACCCCTGTTCTCGTGTTGGGACCCAGCTGAATGTGCAACCCTTGTCCAGGCCAGTGCGCGAGGATCTGTGAGCCTGTGCGCATCGCGCCTCCGAGTTCGCGCCAACACAATGACTTGTCTGTTGGTCAAAATGTGTGCGCATTACAAATTGTTTCACGATTTAATATTATTATTACCTTCACAACCTCGTGTACTCGGGGCTTAATTTCATCTGGGACTCAGCTGTAAGTTACCCAAGTAAAACCAGGCCTTGTTTAGGATTTTTTGTGATTTGGTCTAAATGCTAAAGGGTCCAACAGTCAAACATACACAGCTCATCAAAGATCTAAGGATTGGTAGGAGAAACATCCAAATTCGCCAAGCGTGGCTGCCTTGTGTATTATGATGGTGTTGTAATATATTGCTGTATTGTACATTCAGTGACTTTTTTTTGTAAATTCTCAATATTAAACCAATCATATTTAAACCAAACTCTTAGAACTCTTTTATTGACTATTGCATCGGGATATTTCTGGTGTACAGTACAACTTGACTGCATAACGTGTCTGAACACAACATTTCAGGGCACTCATGGGATGGGCAAATTGTGGCAACAAAGGGGAGGAAGTTAACGATGTGAATGGTGACAAGGATGAGGAGAGACAGTTGCTCGTGGAATTTATTCATAATTGTACTTAAAAAATAATCTGGCCCCAGCCGACTTACACTATGCTTAAGCAATATTGTTTATTTATCATATGGTGCAGTTGTTTTGCTTTGATGTCTGTTTGCTTCGTCGCTCCACTTCATTTCAGTTGTGTTTGCTTTTTGTAATTTTGGTGACCACCCAGGTCACTCTTGCAAATGAGACTCAGCCTGGTCTCTTGCATTCTCACCTGGTTGAAAAAAATCAACTGTGAGAGCCAGTCCCGCTACTTTGATGTCATATCCACGAAGCTCATTGTTCACCCTAAATCGCATCCGCATAAACCATCCAAAACAGATCGTACAATGTATAACGATGCAATGCCCGATCCAGAAATGCGAAGGAGACATCACGGCGATACACTCCACTGTTCCTGACGCGGTTATCTATCTTGACCACCTGAATGTCAAATTGTAGTTGTTGTCCACATCTACATCAGCCTTGCTAAAGAAAGAAAATATATCGTCTGATCATGGAGATGTCCCATTTTTAATCGATCGAAGATCAGAATTAACTTCCTCAGGCATCACATCAGGAATATCGTCTCTCTCATCTGATACATTATCTTACACCTGTGGCTTTAGAAATGTATTGCTGTGGAGATCAGCAGGAGATCAGTGGAACGTGTCTCTACAATACACACCCTAGGGATGTGTATTCGGTATGGGGGTCAGGGGGGGGGGGTCGTGGCGCTGCGCTCCCTTGACCTCATCGTCTGCTTTTCTCGCTTTTTCCGCCCGACCTTCTCCCAATGCCGTGAATGACTCATCGCGGCTGGCCCGGTAACCTTTTTTTGCGCCCATACACTTTTCAGACAATTCCTGGGGCACCGCGATGTAAATTGTCCTGCGACGGTCAGCCAATCCCCTGGCACCGGGAATCCGTGGGACTTTCCTCATAGGGACCCTTCGGATTAAACCCCGTTGTGCCGAGCAATCCCACACCAGAACAATACGTGTGTGCGCTGTGTGTGTGTATTCAGTGTGGGGGCCGGGGAAGGGGGGGGGTGCTTGCAAAGTGGCTTCGAGGCTGTGGCACCACACGTGAATACATTAATTGATTTAAAGCTAAAAGTGGACTTTAAAAACCGGTCATTAAAAAAAACGTTCTTAAATATTATTTGGGTCTTTCGGTAAAGCCACATAGATTGAAAAATATTCATTCCTGCAGTCACGAAAGCTTTAAGTCAAGATGTTCTGAAATGTAACACGTGCTTGGCTTTCGCGACCAATATCCATAATAGAGGTTTCTGGGTTCGATCGCGGAAATATAAATGTGTCAAACTTGATTTGGGGCTTTCGTGACTGCAGGAATTACTCTTTGGTTATTTCGGTAAAGTCACGTAGAAATAGAAAATAAGCATGCTAGTATGTAATTTATTATTTTCTATTTCTACGTGACTTTACCAAAAGAACCAAAGAGTATAAATGTGTCGTTAAACCCGCCACCACCCCACAGCCAATTAGTAAGGTTTGTCACGTAAACAAACAAAAAAAATCCAATTTGTTTCTAGTATAGCACACCGGTGTGTTGGAGAGTAAACCCACAGCATTTACAATTCAATGAATTGTAAATGGTTTGTTTACGTGACAAACCTTATTAATTGGTTGTGGGGTGGTGGCGGATTTAACGACACATTTGTATTGACGTGATCTAACCCAAACACCTCGATTATGGATGTTTTAAATGTAATTCCCATCAGGCCCCATGGTGTAAAGTGCAGTCTTCAATGTGTATTATCCACTAGCGGTATCTCTCTGGCTCTCCTCTGGTTACCGCGCTTATGAAGGGTCATTGCCCGAAGCGTATTCTGCTGTGTGTAGTTTTGGGCCAGTTCAAGTAAATCTGAATATTGAGCCCAGTGGTTCCAATCACACGTTTTTGTTATTGATTGTGCAACCACCGCTCAACGCGACATTCCCAATGAATCATTACAAGCACGTCATGTAAACGACAAAAAATAAACACGTGACCTAAACAACATTCCCTTAATTCTATAGCACGTAATTAACATCGCGAACAATGGCCCACCCCATATAAAGTTCATATGGGGTAGGCTCTGCGCTTAACGCCATGGGGTGTAATCTAGATTTGGGTCTACTCTTTGGTTATTTCGGTCAAGTCACGTAGAAATAAAAATATATTTCGATTGCAACACAAGCAAGAGGCATTGGGTCTGTCTGTGTGTCTATGTTGCGTGTCTGTGCTTTGTCTCTCTCTCAAATTTAGTTCTACCTGATGACGGTTGCTTGTGTTGCAATCGAAACGTCGTACTCTATTATTTAATCTATTTTATTTCTACGTGACTTTACCGAAATAACCAAAGAGTAATTACTGCAGTCACGAAAGCTTCAAATAAAGTTTGAACCATTGGGTCTGATGAGAGTTTACGTGTTTCCGATGACCAGTTTTAAATATGAGTACAGGTGTATGTATAATTAACTAATAGCTATTGAGTAACAGACGGACTCTTCAGTAATCTTAAACCATCAACAATTGCTCCTCAATAAACGCATTTATTTGCAAAGTCAATTTAATAAAATGTTGCCGGGCACACTGCATTGTGGGAAGATTTTGTTCGTGTGAGATCCGAAAATGAAATTTAACAGACCTAAATTCCTGAGGCGGAGGAGTCTGAGAAATAAAACCTTGAAGCACAACTTTGAAGCATAAGGAAACCGTGCGCTGTAACGTCAAAACGTTTGCCTAGCACTTAATGTATAAACTAAAATGTATTGTCACGTTTCGTGCCATCACGAGCATTAACATAATAACTACGGATAGAGATATCACGTCCCATCCGGGATGTTTTGTGTATTAACATAAACACGCCCGTCAATGCATTAATTAACATAGTTTATGCTGCCACGCCCCCTCAACGGCGCTTCCCAGCTAAAGCGCCACCGCGGTGAAGCGGCCGGCCACTCCGTCAATCCGATCGCATCGAAGCCATCGCCAACGACGCCGCGGCCCCATCTTTGTCTCTACGTGAGCGCGAGCCGCCGAAGTTACTCGCGAACGAGGCAAGTTACGCGACGCGACGCCGCCCGATTGTTCGCGACGCGGGTCGCGTACAAGCAGTCGGGGGGGGGGGAAAGGGGGCGGGTGTGTGATGATGATGATGAGGGACCGCCGCCGCCGCCATCTTCCAGTGAGCAGGCCTCCCCCACCTCCCCCCATGGCTCTCGTGCCTCATGACCCGCTTGCCGTTCTCGATGTATCACTACGATCGAGGCTCGCTCGCCGCGTTGTTTGTCGCCCTCTCGAGCTTGGCCCTCGTCCGCCCCCCCCCCCCCCCCCCCCCCCCCCCCCTTGTGTGCGCTGCGTGCGGCTGTTGAGACGACTCCGGAGCGCGTCGCCGGCGTAAGATGGCGGGGAAGGTCGCCGAGGGTGCAACAGGCCCGGGCTGGCAGTTTGGTAGGGGAAAGGTGGCGGGGTGTGTGAGGGGGCAACACGAGGGGCCAGTATGGGGGGGTCGGTGGCTGGCTGGGTGGGGGGGGGGTGTCAAGACATAATTATATGCAAATTAGATCGTTAATTGGGGCCTTGCTTTGAATGGTCGGTGACGTCACGGCAGCCATTGGTGGTGGTCAGGGCATTGGGCAGCGGTGGTTGGGATTTTGGTGATGGGGGGGGGGCATTGCCATATTTGAGGTGTTTGATGGGGGGGCCCATGTGGTTAAAGTTGTTCAATATGAAAGAGCCCGGCGTGGTGATTAGTATTACCTCCTTTGCGGGTGGCTGTGGAGTCTGTTCAAATTCCAACATTCGCTAGCCGAGGAGCCTATTGTCCCCCATATAGGACAAATAACCACCGTTTGGGGGGGGGTCTTACACCCCCCCACACACACACCGAAGTGGTACTCGTTTGGTGTTTTTTTTTATCGATCACAAAGATGATGACTCGGGCCACTTTCGCCGCCCCCCACATCACCGCCGTCAACTGAGCCGGCGCCATCCGGGTTGGGTTTATGTAATTGCTTTAACGCGGCTGTGAGAAGTATACATTATTCGCACACGAGGCGAACCCAACTCTTGGTTTTACATTTGAGAAGAAAAAATAGCAACGGTAAGAATAATAGACCCGTGGACGATGTGTATAGGAAATGTACAAGACTTAAGCTAGCATCGTGCGGAGGGTTAAAAGGTTGTCCGTTTGATTACAGTGGCTTAACACGAGAAGGGAGGTTTATATTCAAACGCTGTAGATGTGCGCCAAAAGCACAGTTGTATGTAATTGGTTACAAATAATAAACCAGTAAAATGTTATGAAACATGTCACGATCAGTAGGCTGGAATCGCTTGCGCTGTGGAAACCTGGCTCTTCAAATGGGCACTGGTTTCCATTTAAATATGTAGCACACCGGTTTCATCGTCACGTACTTTTTGTGAGACACCTATCTTATTACATCCGGCGGCGTGGTGGTGCTTGTTGGTAGCGCTGAGCTTTTAAAATTGGAGGGTCATACGTTTCAGCTGGGGTACCACTCGTCCCAATATCCCTCTGGGGGATATAAAAAAAAATGTGGATGAAATGAGTACCACTTTGTGAGAGAGGTCAACAGATGGCATGCCACGGTGAGCATCGCGTACCATGGAAATATGGAATGGAAAAGTGTTGGCCGATTTCTGTTTTGACTCATGTGATAAATAACGCACCGAGATGCGGCCCTTGTCAAGATGCATTCTGAACAGAAATATGTTCTTATGAATTTATGCTGGATATGTCGATAAATCTGCACCATGATGCGTGTTATATCTTACAAGAGTAGACCCATTTGAAATATGCCAACATCCCATGCTCGATGTGATAATGTCGGCCACAAAGCAGACTTTTGTGTGTTATATGCCACTGACAGTGTTAACAGTGCAGATTTGGATGGAATACATGTAACGCTCGACGAGTAGAGGTCAGGTTAAGTGTTGATAGATGCTTATGGATGATGATGGGTTTCTAAGGAAAACAAAGCTAATAGGAAGTTGTAAATGTCGATTGGCACCACTGGTTTTTACCAAGATGATGTGATGCTGTATAAGCTGAACTTTGATATTGCAACATTCATGTGGACTGAAGAAAAGTGATGGTCAGCTGCCATCAGTCTGCATAAGCTGACCTGCTGATCTTCTACAGCTGGAACCCATTGGTTAATGTCAAGATTGGCAGAATTTGGAATATGTTGATATGTTGAACTACTTTCACACACCGTACGTAGCCAACCGTGCTAATCGTAGGTGTGGGGAAGGACAACAAACTAAACACAAAAAGCAGAAAGAAATAAATTTTCAATGTAGATGTTGAATGGTCTCTCTTTTTTCCGGCAATAAGACCTGCCTCGTGCTTGTGTGTGTGTGTGTTCACAAGTACTGCTCTCTGGAGGCTTAAATAGATTAGGTATGCTACCGGAGAGTGAGAGCGCTTTGGGATGTAGGGACAGGAAGTTCCTTGGATTGTGGTCACATTTTGATTAGGGGCTGAATTGCTTGCAAAATATAATTAATTGTAAGAGAATGTAGGTCGTATGCAGTGTCTTAATTCATGAAATAACAATGCCCTTTACTCGGGTAAGCCTAACTTTTCTAGTTGCAAGACACTTTCAGGATGTTGAGCAAATTAAAAAGTGGCGTTGAGTGATGAAATGAGGCATACCCAGAGAAAAACCACGCATATGATTCGGTCATGCTCAAAGCTCCACGTATATTTTCAATTGTATATTGCAGTACGGTCTTCTGACCATCGTGTTGTTGTCTGATCATGCTCATCTCAGTTGGTAGCTGTGACGCAAGTTTTTGTTTATTAGACATTAATCAATTGGGAAAAAATGGTTATCTGGTACTGTGAAGGTAGTGTTGCACTTTTATCCTTCCAGTGCAGCACAGTGAATTTTTATTCCAGTTTTTTCATGTACAGTGAGGGGAAAAAAGTATTTGATCCCCTGCTGATTTTGTACGTTTGCCCAGTGACAAAGAAATGATTAGTCTATAATTTTAATGGTAGGTTTATTTGAACAGTGAGAGACAAAATAACAACAAGAAAATCCAGAAAAACGCATGTCAAAAATGTTATAAATTGATTTGCATTTTAATGAGGGAAATAAGTATTTGACTCCCTCTCAATCAGATTTCTGGCTCCCAGGTGTCTTTTATACAGGTAACGAGCTAAGATTAGGAGCACACTCTTAAAGGGAGTGTTCCTAATCTCAGCTTGTTACCTGCATAAAAGACACCTGTCCACAGAAGCAATCAATCAATCAGATTCCAAACTCTCCACCATGGCCAAGACCAAAGAGCTCTCCAAGGATGTCAGGGACAAGATTGTAGACCTACACAAGGCTGGAATGGGCTACAAGACCATTGCCAAGCAGCTTAGTGAGAAGGTGACAACAGTTGGTGCGATTATTCGCAAATGGAAGAAACACAAAAGAACTGTCAATCTCCTTCGGCCTGGGGCTCCATGCAAGATCTCACCTCGTGGAGTTGCAATGATCATGAGAATGGTGAGGAATCAGCCCAGAATTACACGGGAGGGGATCTTGTCAGTGATCTCAAGGTAGCTGGGACCATAGTCACCAAAAAAACAATTAGTAACACTGCGCCGTGAAGGATTGAAATCCTGCAGCGCCCGCAAGGTCCGCCTGCTCAAGAAAGCACATATACATGCCCGTCTGAAGTTTGCCAATGGACATCTGAATGATTCAGAGGACAACTGGGTGAAAGTGTTGTGGTCAGATGAGACCAAAATGGAGCTCTTTGGCATCAACTCAACTCGCCGTGTTTGGAGGAGGAATGCTGCCTATGACCCCAAGAACACCATCTCCACCGTCAAACATGGAGGTGAAAACATTATGCTTTGGGGGTGTTTTTCTGCTAAGGGGACAGGACAACTTCACCGCATCAAAGGGACGATGGACGGGGCCATGTACCATCAAATCTTGGGTGAGAACCTCCTTCCCTCGGCCAGGGCATTGAAAATGGTCGTGGATGGGTATTCCAGCATGACAATGACCCAAAACACACGGCCAAGGCAACAAAGGAGTGGCTCAAGAAGAAGGACATTAAGGTCCTGGAGTGGCCTAGCCAGTCTCCAGACCTTAATCCCATAGAAAATCTGTGGAGGGAGCTGAAGGTTCGAGTTGCCAAACGTCAGCCTCGAAACCTTAATGACATGGAGATCTGCAAAGAGGAGTGGGACAAAATCCCTCCTGAGATGTGTGCAAACCTGGTGGCCAACTACAAGAAACGTCTGACCTCTGTGATTGCCAACAAGGGTTTTGCCACCAAGTACTAAGTCATGTTTTGCAGAGGGGTCAAATACTTATTTCCCTCGTTAAAATGCAAATCAATTTATAACATTTTTGACATGCGTTTTTCTGGATTTTGTTGTTATTCTGTCTCTCACTGTTCAAATAAACCTACCATTAAAATTATAGACTGATAATTTATTTGTCAGTGGGCAAACCTTCAAAATCAGCAGGGGATCAAATACTTTTTTCCCTCGCTGTATGTGTGTGGCAGTCAACTAGGCTGTTAATGAGGAACAATGTGGATTCTTAAGGGATTGGTAAAATGGTTACTTGACTCTTGGCCAATGCCACGGTTTTACCTTCTCGGTTGCCTGCCAAATGCCTGGAATGTGTTGTATTCAGTAGTTACGGTGACCATAGTCGAATAGTGTGTGCTTATCACAACGTAATTTTCTTTTGAGGTGGTGGTTGAGTTTCTACCACCACGAGCTTGGTAATTTCCAGACAAAACTATCAAATTGTAACACTCAGTAGACTAACATCAGTAACAGACCATTTTATGCCAATGTCAGTTGAAATCTTACATTAGAAAATATTTCCTCAAGGGTTGAAACAACAAGTATTGCTTTGTGGATAGTCAAGTCATTGTCCTATTCAACAGTAATTGTCGTTGCCATTATAGGAATTTGAAATTTCCACCAGTTGTTGGAACCCAACGCAGGTATCACCAGCTTCGTCGCACATGAAATTAACCTCTATGCCACCTCTACACCATATAAAGTAATTGTTAAATGTGTATGACGCTTATGATGTTAATCAATTGTCAGTTTTTAAAAGACGTTCTTAGGTAATTGATCAATTTCAACAGTCACGGAATCGATAGCCAAATCCAGTTAAATTTGAGCGATAATTGAACCGATTGGCACACTTGAACGTTCAAACCACACGGCAGGTTCCAGTGTGATTGGTCATGTGCCAGGACTCCTCATCACTACGTAATACTTTTGAAAGTCAGAGGTTGGGCTTTTATTGTTAGACATTTCAATATGCTTGGGAAACCGATAATTTATTTAAATATTTTTTAAACTTGCCTTTATGGGCAATGGAAAAAACCCGAAATAAATGACGACACGGGTTGAACAAAATATCCCAGAGATATTGTTCAAATAGAATATCAGGATGAGCTGGTGTCAACCACCGAATAAAGGTTATGATGATTTCTGTGTCATATGTTTACATGACAGAAAAGAAAGTGCCCTTGCATTATGATACGACAGATTTAAAATGAAAATCCAGTAGTTATTATGAAGATTTACACATGAAAAACCGACACTTAATTGTAATTGGTTGCTCAGGTAGACACAAATTTCGTCTGTCGATACAGCCAATGCACAGAGAAATACCACTTGGCCTGAAATGTGAGCATGCTCATTACTCCCTGGCTCATTGCAAGATGCGTGCATGTACATTGTGTCCTTGTTACTGTGAAGTGCAGTGTCACTTGGCCTTAGAACATACAGTTTTCTCATGTTGGCTTTATCGGTTGCTCTATCACTTAACAAATTCAGTTTTGACATTGGCTGTCTGCTTAAAAGTTATGGATTTTAGAATGGTATATTACGTGCAACTGACGCATGGTTGATTACAGTCAAGAAACCCCCGTGACTGGGAAGAATGGGAAGACTTTAATTCAGTAGTTGTTTGATAAAGGGCTATACATTATGATTATTAGTATGTTCCTCTTGTGCTATGGCACAGGGATCATGAGGTGAAGAATTTCCGTTCTGGTCACTTGCTCTGCAGGGCTCCACGCTGCATCAGGGAATGGTCCTGGAATACAAACCTGGAACTACTTATCACATTTTTAAGAGCCCTTTCTTACCTGACCAGAGACTGCATGACCCGAAAAGTGGTTTGCTGCATGTCATTCATAAGGTCTGTACAAATTCTAGTCCAGAGTGAAAAGTGAGCAGGAACAAAAAAATTGTGACCATGTTGAGACATATCAAATTGTTAAAAATGAAAATCCTTTTTCACTTCTTGGAAGTATTATCTATCCCCTTATGGGTTTCTTCCAGATAATGGTTTCCACCTACATGTGAGCACTTAATGAATTGGACAATAATGCCATCTGCAGGGCCCTCCTTGAAAACAGCCTTAAGACTGTGCATTTCCTGTTTAATTAAATGAGCTTGCTATATTATACAATTTTTAACATGGCAGTATTGTTTAGTGTGCTTGATCTACTGTACACTATTCAATCTCATTCACAAGCACAACACCTTACTAATTGGAGCTCAGTGAGGTGTTAGTGATGTACATTTAAGCTATGGCGCAGTATATGAGGGGGACCCATTAGCTCTTAATGTCACGAGTGCCTTGTTGACGCACGCAAAAATAACCAATGAATTTTTCATTGCCTTGGGGCTAAATCCAGGATGAAGTCAACACATTCCATACAGTAGTCTCCCGGTTACAGTGACTTGTCACACTGCAGTTTACTATAATCTGCTAATTATATAGTGATTTATTGAAACGGTGTTATAACCTGTGATTGAGAATCAAAGGCTCTTTTAGAATTGTGTTCACAAAAGTCTCAGGTTAAATATTGTGCATGCGAATTGTAAAATATGTCCTAATGCCGTACGTTGTCTCTTGACCTACCACTTAAAAAGTCCGTGTTCAAGGAAACTTGGGTCCGTGTTCATCCCTGTTGGTGGCCCTCAGCCAGCAGTTGAAGTTTCACATTCCCATTGCATAGGCAAATCTATCCATAGGACCACTGCTGACTTCCTGCAAAGTGGTACTTATTTTGGCAGCCCTCAAGGAACGACAGGTAGAGTTGACCCCTAACAAACGTTTAAATGTGTAATGTTCCGATTATTATGGGTTTCATGCTGTAATTGTGTTTCCAAATGACTGGGTTTAGAGTCTGTTAACGATATCCTGGATATCCAGGTTGCATAAAGTTCTTAAAATGCACACAACAATAATTATTGTCAAGTCTTTAGTTGGAACTTGAACTGTTACTTCAAAGCAAGTATAGTCCTGTTATTCCCTGCCTTCTTCATTATCACTGGTATGCATTGATGCACAATTATATTGCAGGATGGGCCGTTTATCATTTGTCTATGAAGTACTATTTTTGCTTAACTCTTTTCTGTACATAGTTTTTCCACCTCATGCATCGTTTGTGTATGACTGTAAATTTACTAAAACCTTCAAGTCCAAATATCACCGATAGTGCTTTTTATGGGCTTTTATGTAACTTATTATTTAAACAGTTTATGTTAGGTTTGAAGTAAAATCAAGCACATGCTTGAAAAAGAGCAAACTTTTCAAATTCCCATAACACATGAACAATTGTTGTTGTTGTTGTGTGGTGTAGGAGAAGCAGCAACAGAAGCAACAGCATCGGTGACGGAAGACACGTGTGCCTCTTGTACAGCGGAGAGAGCACGCGCCCCTCCATCCCACGCGAGCGCGACCTGATGTGTGTGCAGCGCGATGTCCGATCGTGCGGGGTCTAACGGCAAGGGGAACAATAGTCGTCCGAAGTACGCTTCCCTGAGCCTGTACAACACTTACAAGGGGCGCTCCCTGGAAACTCAGCGCACCACCAGTGAGTACCATCGCTTTCCGCGAACACCCACGCTCACGCTGCCGTCACTCGCAGAAAAAAAGGCTTGTAAAAATTCACCCCTGCCGGTCTAGCTGTTACCGATTTACCTTCCCGTCCCCCGAGTGATTGTGTGAATTTTCACGATCAGGTGTCCCAATTTGATTATACAATGTATATTTTCGTCTTCTTTCTTTGCTCTTGTATTGCCAATCTACCGATATCATTTAATCTGAGTAACACGTAAATTGTCAGATTACAAAGGGCAGTTTATAAGTAATCTTAAATTACTTCTCTGTTTTCATTGCATAATGAGGTTTGTTACCCCATGTACCCCACAACTGCTGATAAAGCACGTGAATAAATGCGATTCTTCCACTCGCCTAAGATACATTCAACTATATGCATAAAAATATATGATTTATGTTTTGTTAAATTGTGGGTAATAAATAATAAACAGGAAACTGGCAGTTTGACGACCAAAAAATGTAACCTGCCAGTCAAATTGATCCATGTTTTGACAATTGGCTGGAAAACATGGGTTCATAAGGACCTGCAGGACTAAAATGTAAAACCTGTTATGGTAAAATAGATCCCTGTTTCTATTACTCATGAAGCTGCTTTGGATGCAGTTTTAAATTACATTTTAAAAAGGGTACAATAGGGGTGCATGGCCACTTTGTGTTGTGGATGGGTAGGACAAAAGTATACATTTTCATTGTTACTTTAAAAAAATCAGTGTTGCCAGCAAATAAAAGGATGTACTTGCACATATACAAGTGGGCGGGGTGAGTGGTAAACCTTTACTTAGCTATGAGGTCATGTACAGGGGGAGTGGCATCTACAGGGTCCTGTATAACGTCACTAGTGTTCTTCCAAACTGCAGGAGAAGAGAACAGAGTAAGGATTCCAGATGGTTGGGTAGACTTGTTATTCGTGATGTTTGCAATGCCCACAGTCGCAACGCGCCATGGCCTGCAGAGCCTTGGTAAAGTGGCCACAACACGCCGCGTGCCGGCTCCTCCCAACTCGTCCGGCCTGAATGCCGAGGGCGGTACGGACGGTGACGACGCCCAGGGATGGACAGACACTGCCAGGTGAGAGGCAAGGTCACACGCATTCATACACTCGCACAAATGAGCGCAAAAACAAAAGCAAACTCGTCACTTAATGGTGGTGATGTGATTGTGTCAGGCAAGGTTTACTTTGAGTGCTGTTGGAGTGGTGAAAACGCACTGGTAGGAGATAACAGGACTGACCATGGTGTTTTAAGGGTGAATAGAACAGGGTGACTAGCATATTTGCCACCAGAACTCCCCACTGAACCAGTGTTCTGTTTAAGGCCCGTGCTCTGTAGTTGAAAGCGTCACTCCTTTGCCTCTCATTGTTGCCAGAGCTTCCACAGTTGCCCAGTTGTATCTTTCATGATTCCCCTCTAGAGGCCAATCTTCCTACCACTGTCTACGTACGGTGCAGAAGAAGTTCTACATACATACTGCATGGGGACATCTCTTATCTTGCCCATTTATCATCCCCTTCTCTTGGCCAAACAACTTGCTTAGCCATATGGTGGCTGGTCATGCAAGTTTATACAATCCAATAAATGAAGGAGCCTACAAATGGGACTTTTCACAGCTCTTTTAAGTATTTGTAAGCTCCTCGCTTCCAGCCTAGATTAACTTTTAATGAATTGTAGATCAGCCAGCTGAAATATACAAAGCTGGCACAAGTGTCTGTGCAAGGGGATCTGTGTTTTGTAGGAATAGAGAAGAGGGAATGATCATGACAGAAAATATCCAAAGTTTATGGTGGCGAAAGAGGCTAGACTGCTTCCCTACAGTGCTCTTTAGCCAATTAAAATATAATACCGCTCAATAGTTGTTTTATCTGCATATGGACACTCGTGTGTGAATTATCACAAGTGGTTTTGCTGTTGTATCGTATTCTCCAGATTGTAACACACACCCATCTTTTGTTTTAAAGTGGTGTGTGTTGTGGTGTTGGTGTATGCAAGTGGTGATGTGTTGTGGTAATGTATGTTGTGCTGGTCTCTGTCATACAGTAGTACGTGCAGCCACAGGGAACGTGATTCGTGTATCATCATTTAGTTTTTTTTGTTGGTATGTACTAGGATGATGGATGTAATGCGGCGCACACCGTAGTGTGTTGTTTAATGTAGCTGGAGTATGCCATGATGTGGTAAGTGCTATGGTGTTGTGCATGGCATGTTTTTTGGTGTGCGCGCGCTGTGGGTGTGTCGTGCATGCCGTAATGTTGTCCTCGTGGCGCCCGGGTGCCTTCCGCAGTTCGGCTGCTACGCAGCCACAGCAGCCACAGCAGCCGGAGTTGCCGCCGCAGCAGGATTCATCTCCATCTGCCGAGACACCGGATTCCGAGAGCACAGAACCAGTTGCCCCCCCCCCAAGCCAGGTTGGTGCTCCGTCTAAACTGGGAACTGCGAGCCACCACCACCATGAAAGCCAGAACTGCTGAAGAGCACTTTCATTTAAATGAGGCCTACCTTACAGATTTACCTTCGGTTTCCCCTTCTCAGGTCACACGGGCAGGGTGGTTGAATAGAAAAAATTGAGAATGCAATTTCAGTACAGTGAAACTTCTGCTCGCTAATAGGGCAAGCACTGATCTGGCGAGCTGAAAAGTCCAACTAGCTGCTACTATAATGACATTCCAAGTGATGTTGCTAACTATCCGATACATTCACCTAATATTACACATCTAAAATACATTAAAATCTACTTTATTCATTTATTCTATGCTATTTAAAAACGTGGTCAAATAAAAGGTCATGATCGTACTACATGAATAGTTTGTTGGATTTACAAAAAGTCTGAGTATATTTGGGGCCCCTGGTGCTGTGGGTCAACATCAGCATCGAGCGAGGCCAGGTATATCGCTGGGCACGCCGCTGTCTCGTGTGCCGTGCGCCATTATTGACGGCTGGCAGCACTGACTGAGGTTAAACGGAGGTGTTTCCTCTGCTTGCGTGTCTGCGCGTGTACAGACGACGCCTGCGAGTGCAGAGGTGAATACGAGCGGGGCCACTGGCCCCCCAGCGAATGCTGGTGGGAATGGGGGCACAGTGGCCAGAACCTCCCCCCCGCCCGCCGCTACAAGCCGATCCTGGGCCCAACCGGCAGCCAAGCCCGTCGAAGGTAGGCTCCTGCAAAGACAAAAGATCCCCTGTGTAGTCTTCAGCATACTGATGGTACAAGTGCTGTTTGTGAGCACGTCATGAAGGGCGACACTGCACACGAGGTGGTTGGTGGCCCGCATCACGTGGCGATGCATGCAGATCGCATCAGGTACTTATTTGAGGCTGAGTCGAACGAAGGGAGGCCCAGGACTGATTCGGATAATCGTCAATGGTGTTGGCCATGAGTGGGGAATCGAACACTGGTCACTGGGTTCATTGCTAAGCACTAGACTATCGCTCCCCACACACGCATACATGTACACAAACACAAGCTGTGTTTAGCATGACATCGGTTAATGTTACGCCTGATCTGCAGTTGGCTAAATGTCATTATTTTGACAGCCTTATAGGAGAATAATACACAGAGTAATGTTTTGGGCATTTTTATTAAACGTTTTTTTCTGAAATTGTTCTTTATGTAACCTTTTTTATTTTGCAAAATAGGCAATGTTTTATGTTTCAATGGTTTTATTTTACCGCTTGGTTAAATAAGGAAACCTACAGTGGTTCTCAATAAGGGCCACTCATAAAGATATAGGCCTAATAAAAAAATTTCTGATAGAAAACGCAGTGTTCATGAAGATTCCCTATTTTTATTTTGTGCAAACACACCACAACCAATCGGTCCATGAACTGAAATGTAATGGTCTAATTCACATGAACCAAATGCAAACCCTGCTTCAGGTTATTCCAATTAGGCTTTATGACTGGCTTTTACCCTATTACGTTATTTAGCTATTTTGGGAACTAAAATTTCAACCTGAGGAGAGTGCCTGTTTAAATAACCTTCACTTTCCTGGTGTTCTTCCCAAGTGAGCTTCTGAATGTACTCCCCGAGGTTAGATGCAGCTACAGTCTTGACTCTGATGTGATGAATTAATGTGTTGTAATGTAGCCGGATGGAGTGCTTTTGGAATGCTGACTTTGAAAATAAAAAGCAGTATACTAATGTGCGTGAACAAGAGATTAAATTAGTACATGCGCCAAAGTGGTTGACAATTGTGTATATGGAGCGATGAGGTCAGTTCCTGTGCAGGCGTGGGATTGATGCTGGCATTGCAGAACAATGACTGTTGCTGATGGTGTAAGGAGGCCTTCATCCTGCAGTGGATAGATGGTAGCTGATGGTGATGATCATTGATGGTTTGGAATTAATTAGCAAGGTTTTTGCGTTTTTTCTGATGGTCTTGACATGACTTGGATGGAGGCATTTAAAATACAAATTTCAAAGCTCATTGACACTAAAATGTACTGTTTTAAGGGAGACTTGGATCACCTTTTAAGATAATTACTTTGCTTTTACAAACAGCATGTTAGACGGACAAAGCAAATAGAAAAGAGTTTCAACCTTAGTTGTATAGGTTAAATTATTGATTCTTAAGCTTAAGAGACTTGTGCCAATTGTGTGTAAGCAATTCATTTAGTATATGCGTAATATAATGATTTTTGGCTACTAAGATGTACCGTGAGCGAGTGCAAACAAGACAAAAATTTATCTATTGGAACCTTTTTTGCCAGTATCAATATTATTTGAACAAAACATAGCTTTAACCTTCCTGGCAATAAAGCAGGGGGTTAAGATGTTCAAACCCTAAACAGATACCTACTTTAAAGTATCAAGTCTGCATTAACCACACGCTTGTGGGAAAAAATGCAAACAAACACGCTCGGATAATATATGCATCGTCTTTGAAACTTATTGGCCTTACACCAGAGACAGCCTTCATGGTCTTAATTGAGACCCAGGTGTGTGGCATTCAATCCGAGATCCCCCTTTGTTGTGCTGAGAAGTGGCCTGCTGTGTTGCCGAGTGCAGTTGGAGCACGAGTGGGCGGCCTCGCTCAACTCTCCCAGAGGGAGTTCCCGTCGCTGGGGGCGGGTGGGGAGCAGGTCCCGGCCCCTCCCTCCGACGCTACGTCTGGGCGCGCACTAAACCTCCGCCCACAGAGTGCGTACTTGCACACATGCATGCATATGCACGCACGCGCACTGACATGCACAATTGTGAGTTTCCAGGAATCCACACAACTGTGGAGCAAGTGGCTCAAAGGTTGCGAGTTTGAAATCCTGGTTGGGGCGTTAACTCGGCCCATCATCCATCTGGGGTCGACATAACTTGTATCACTTTGTGGGGAAGTCAACAGTGATTTTTCCTATGGATATGCTCGATCATGTCATCAGAATGCAGAACTTCTATTCCTGCCTCAGGGCTGTTAACAGGAGATGCGCAGTGCCTTTTGAGCAGGAAATGACTGTGTTGGAGCCACACAGAGATGCACTGGAAACATTGTTCAAAGTCAACTTATCCCAGTATTCCAAACCCTCAAGAAAGCATTTGAGGCTTCATGTTTTGGCAGAAAGGCAGCATTTTTTTCTGATATTTGTCAGATTCATACCTGATAAATTTTGCTTGAATTTATAATTTAATTTTAAATTCACAGTGACTAAATATGACTTGGAGGGAATACGTGCATCCAGAGAACCAAGAAGAAAAATAATACAGGATAGCAGGGTATCTAGTGGAGAAAATAAGTCCGCTGTACAATAAGGGTGATAGAGATGGCACTGATTTAGGAAAGGCTCACAGTTAAAGGAGGAGTAGAACAAAGATATCTTAATAGGCCTGGACTTGAACAGGGGGGAGGGAGTTCCAAACGTTGATGGCAGCAGAGGAGTGACTTCATATTTAACAGAAGTGGACTGGATGTTTCTAGAGACACTTGGTGGTTGCATTTGAAATCTTCATACAATGTCTCTTGTTCAAGGAAGCCTGAAGCTCAGCTGGCCGATTTAAATGTTGTGTGTAATTACCAATTTTAACATGGGGGAGGGGGGGGGGGGACTGAGTTTTAACAAAACCCATGGATGTATGAAGAGCTGCACAAATAGGTCAGGAACCAACTTGTTGTGCTGCCATCTCCTGGTTGCATTGCATCCTGGCAAATTTTGGGTGTTTCACGGAACATGGTATAATTGTCTTGATTCCCAAAGAAGGCCTTTGTTGCTGAGATTGACACCTCCTTTGCCAACGCATGAATCAGGCTGTTGAGTTGGCACTGAGTGAATTGAGAATAATGGACTGGCTGTGTATGTGTGTGCACATTCAGATGTAAGCAGCTGGCGTGAGGGTGGGGGTCCGGGCGGGCGAGAGGAAGGCCCCAGTACAGGGCTTTTGCCCATCCCCACCATGGGGGGCCCCAACGGGGGTCCCCTTGCTCATGCTGCTGGATACCGCCCGGTACGTGCACCTACCTTGCACGCTGTACGTTTATTTCATTGAAGCGATCACCCGTTCTTGATGGTCGTGCCAATGCTCGGTGCTTGAATATAACTGCGTTGGGGTTGCGTTTTATAGTGCGCCCGATGTGTTTTCGGGTTGTGCCGCCTGTTGGGCACGATGTCGGGCACGAAACTTCAGACCTCATGGCAAAAAACATGCTGTGCAACCCAAAAAACACGAGATATTTGCCATCGAAATTGCAGATTTTAAGTTAAAGAATAATCCTGTTTCGTAGAGAAATACAGTTTGCAATATTTAGGTCTAGTTTTAAATGTCTTAGTCAAATATGTCGTGCTAAATTGGTTTTCTTTTCTTTTGTATAAAAACAGCAAATGGCTAGATGCGCAATTGATCTTGGGGCAGTGCTCATTCCCATTGGCAGCCCGTAGCTACAAGTGAAAATGCCCTATTCCTTTGGCATACGCCGTTCTCCTCAGAACGACCGCTGTTGAAATCACTCATGGTGATGTCCGTTTCATTGACCCAGGACGGAAGTTGTGGGCAAAGTCAAACTCAAACCAGGAGTTGAACTATTGGCTGTTTGGTTGGCGGTTCAGGGCTTTGCCACAGTGCCACCTGGCTGATTGTCAGCCATGGTGAAACCTGTATTTAGGGAAACTTCACCGATTAAAAAAAATGTATGGGGTAGGGCGGTGCTCTTTGAGCGGTAATTGTAAAATAAAGTCTTGCGTTGTTTGCCACAGGACGGTACGCCGTTTGGGCCCAGGTTTGGGCCACCACCTGGTGGCCGGGCCTACCCTGCAGCACAGCAGCCTGATGGCAGGTGAGGTTACGTATGAATCTGGCACGTGTGTGTTGACTTGAATTGATGTGCACGGTCTGTGTGTGTTGTGATATCAGTTTCCCACAATATTGTCAGGCTGCCACAGTGGCGAGTTGTTAAATATCTCACCTGGTATGTAGCAGGTCGTGGGTTCAATCCCAAGAGCCGAATGGCTCACAGGGTACATCCTAATAAATGAAACTGAGACTGACGCACGTATATTTGGAGTTTGCATGTTCTCTCCGTGGTCGCATGGATTTTTCTCCAGGTTGTCCGTTTAGAGAATTTGGCTGCTTTAAATTTCCACATGATAATACACATATCAGTGGGCCTTACCTGCTAAATAAAACGTAATTAAAACAACACTTAGTGATACCAGTTTCCCATAATTTATTTAACTTTTTTCTTTTTGTGCTTTGCACTTGCCATAAGATTAAGATCACTTAAAAGTTATAAGTATTCTATTACTGCACCTTTACAACATAACATATGTTGCACATGCTGTCAATTACACAGGCAATCATTGAATAAATGTAGAAAATTATGAGACGTTATCGCCATGCCAGTCGGTTGCTTCAAAAATCTATTTGATTGGAATGTTATGGAGCTTTTATTTCAGGAATATTTTATCAGGAAGTAAAATAAGGGATTTTTTTTTAAAGTATGATATAACTATTTTGCAAAACACACGATGCAATTATTGTGGATCATATATTATACGATGTATTGTAGTATCATATTGCAGCAACCTGTGCACATGCAGTGTGCATGTTCATCGTATTTGACCTGTGTGTGGTTGTGTGTGCATTTAATGTGTGTATTTGCATTATTTTCATATACTCTGAATCATATTTATTTAGACTGAGGAGAAATCCGATGAGCTATGAAGCTCTTTTTCACAAATGTCCAGTGTGGGTGGGTCAGACAGTTACAACAGCAAACAATAAAAAAATGATAGGAGTGCAAAATAGAAAAAAATGGTCGGAAAGTCACTAAATATAAGTAATGAACAAAGTCATGATTTATTTATGCCAGTGAGATTTATTAAGATTTGGCAAGGCAGCAAAAACAACACCGTCCCAGACCATACCAAGAGAACACGCAGTCCCTCAATAAAGTGGCGCATTAACGTTGAGCTATCAATACACAGATAATGATCAAAGTGACATGCCTGCGTTTTGTTTACATGTGCTCTGCATGTGCCCCTGTGTATCCTCAGACGTGGAGCGCGGCCGCCCTGGCTCACAGAAGCTGACCGGCCATCCATCGTGAAAGCAAATGATCTGAAGGAGCTGGACACCCTGGATACAGAGGCTGATGATGGCTGGGCTGGTGCGCATTTTCTTCACTCACTCATGACAATTAAAATTTAAAATGATTTTTTTTTGTGGCAACGGTAAGTTGAGGTTTGAGCGGTGATGCAATGGTTGGCACGCTGCACTATGGACACGGCGGCCTGAGTTCAATTTCCAGCCATGGCGTGTGTGATATCAGAACCGGTCCTATGCCTGCCCCTCTATTCCCAAATCCGCAATGACATCGCTGTAACGTATGGTACGAAAAACCTCATGACCCGACATATCATGGGGAGGTCTAATCGATCAGTGGATTGAAAATGGATGGAATGTGTTTTTACCTAGTTGTCCCATGACTTAAATGCACTGGATATGTACCTTTTTTATATTTTAAAATGTGCTTTAATACGGTGGTTACGCTACAGGGAGACTGGTGGTACTGTTTTTGGAACGTGTAGTTTATTTCACTAGCGCATGGCCGTCAACAGATGAGTGCCTTTTTTTTGCGATGAGAAACAGGCAGCGGTTTATCGTTTCTTCCCCATGCAGATACTATATATGTCATCGGGTATCTTGTATTTATTCTAATCTCTTTCATCCACATGAATATGTATTAAATGGAAGCTCTGTTTTTAGTTGTGCTTGCTGTCATTTAGTTATTACAAAATCCGTACCCTTTTGCCATTTATTCAGGCTTTTTGTTAGTGCCATATACGGGTTCGGCGTGGGGAAAAAATGAGCGCAAGAAACATTAAAGCCATTGTGCGTGCACACTTAAGACGCAAACATGTAAATAATACTACTAATCAATAATCAGTTTTAAGAAAAAAAACACATACCTTCTCATCCAGTGTATTTAGGAATTTTGACTTTCTGCAAGTAGTTATTCAGTTTTTTCTCTCTTCATCATGCCTTTCTCTTGAATCCTAAACTTTTTTTAGAATCCCAGAGAGACTTAGAATCCCACTCCCTACGTAATTACTTTCATTTGTCGCTCTTGCCTCTCGAACAAACCAAAGATTGATCTGGCTGTAGCCGCTGTTGTGAACAGATCGTTGCCCATTTTGCGCGATACTTTCCAGCCATATTTTTAGGTTGTACACCTCCCTGGTAAACATGGCCGTGAGATAATTCAGAACAATGGCACTTGAGATTCCTCCCACAGAAAACACTAATTGAAGTGAGAGTTTCTCATGTATTTCAATGCGGTAACCGCATAGTCTTGATACCCTCTACATTGTTATTACTTAAAGAGGATAGTTCCTGGCTTCATAACTTAAAAGCGGCTTTGTCCATCCTCGTGCAGGGGTGCAGGATGAGGTCGACTACACGGAGAAGCTGAAATTCAGTGACGATGAAGATGAGGAAAGGGGCGGGAGCACACGGTCTTGGTGAGTTACACACGCGCACAAGCTGCTGTGCGTTGCGCATGCGCTGATAGTGGGACGGCAAACTGCCACGTGCAGTGGAGTTCTACACACAATTGCAAGTGGACATGTTCACTTACGTGCACGCTGACGCACTCGGAAAGCACACTTATTTGAGTGATCTACCCGATTGTCTTCATCCTTCATGTCATTGATTTAATGAACTGACGTATTTTATGCATTGGTAATGGAAGATGCAACTCAAACAAATAGCTTTCAATGCTGCTTATGTAACTGGGATGTCATACGCCCTATATGCTTTACAACATCACTAGATAACTAAAATGGAGTTACCCTAACTGTAAGTGGGATTTTTTCCCCCAGAAAAAAAACAGCTATTTGGTTTTTGGTTTGCATCTTCCTTAAAATCACTATCATAAAATTAAAATTTGTATCGCAAGTGAAAAAGGTAATTTAAAGAATTAGTTGGGAGCTATAAGGCGAAGATGAGGGGAGGCTATAGTAGTGCAGTAAGAATGAGTGATAAGCACGTTACAAAGGAAATGCAGTAAACCGTATAGAAGGGGAATATGGAGGTTTGAACAAGAACTTGAATGTTGGGATGAACAATAAAGATAATGGAGTTTCTGATAGCAGTGGCAGTAAGGAGGAGCAACCGCCAAGGAGGGGGAGGGTAGGTTAAGTTGACATTTGGCCCGGGTTACTGGACAGTTTGCATTATTTTAATGTTGAAGCCTGTTTTGTTGAAACATCAACCGTTGCTGTGTGGGGAGGTTGCTCTGCTACTCCCTGTAGTCTGGAACTCCTTCCCACTGGCCTACATTGTTGACTCCTTATTTAAGTCTAGGCTCTCAAGCCATCAACTGCATTATGACTGTCTTGTCTTTTTTCTTCCAAAACATTTGTGTGTGTGTGTATATGCCTCGTTTACATGTGCCACTGTGTATGTACAGCATTTTGAGAAGCCGGGTACATTAAGACACTTTATTAATTCAAAATTTTGTTGTTAACAAAATGTGCCATGCTCATGATGACTTTCACCTGGCTTGCCAGATATACAGATGTTTGTTTGCTTTTTCCATCAATTTGAATTTTGTGGCCACCTATTAACGATTATGCAAAGTCTTAGGTTGTCAAAGTGGATTTGCCACTGGCCCAGGGCCACCAAAGGAGATGAGCTACACCCTCCTCTTGCATGAGAAAGGGAGACACTGTGACCTTGTTTTGAGTAGGATTGCCGCGATATAATTTGTCAAAATATGATCAAATGTTTCACTGACGATTATCGCGATATCGGTTTCCCATACCTTTGTAATTTGTATTATACAATTTTATTGTATTGTTTTTTTGTGCTTTGCTGTACAAATAAAGATTGCTTAAAAGTTCTTCAATTGAAATTCGCTCAACATAAGCCTTCCATAGGTATAAGTATCATTAGACAATGAACTTCAAAGACGAAGTCATATAATCACCATACCATCAAGATTACTCCATAAAAATGTTGTTTAAGGACTCATTTCATGGGTAATATTTATTTTGAACTTTAATGATTATATTTGTCATTTCACATTTTTAAATTATATATTTTAACAAAATTGAGCTACACTAATTACCGAAAGAACCAAGAATAAGAATATGGCAATGATATTTTGCAAAGTGTAAAATACAAATATATTGGACCCTACAGCATATTAAGCCTCATTGCATGGCCATATCACGGCAACACATGGTTTGATTAAGGTCATGAGTTCAATGCCTGGAGAGTCTCAACTGCCCCACTGTCCCTTCAAGGTCTGTAAACAAGCACCACCTGCTGAGGCTGCACCACTTTGATGGGAACACTTTACTGGTTGTACCGCCACGACTAGTCCTCTCCCTTGTGGGAACGCGGATTTCTACTGTCGACTGTGCACTTAACAATGAAGATTAGTGCTACCTAACGTTACAGCGCTTGTGAGCAAATCGCCCGCAATATAACCGATCTCGTCAGATCTCAGAGGCAAAGCAGAGTAGAGCCTGACTTGTGCTTGGATGGGTGACCACCACACATAAAACAGGTGTGGTCGGCTGCTGTGGGGCCAAGTTGTCGGCGCTGGTCAGTGCAGCAAAATCATGTGCTCTGCTGTACTGAACTATGCTCCACTGCCTATGCTCCCCACCTTAATCACCTTGCACTGACCTGCGTGGTGAAGTATGTCAAAGTAACTCTTAACAAGCCTATGTGTTAAACTAACTCCCACAAGCCGCACGGTGTGGGGTGGCTGTCATAGAGGAGTGGATTGACAAAAGGCCCGCACACACACACAACATTGCAGAAGAGGTGATGCTTTGACCCGCGATTGTGATTGTCATTATTCACCAGGGCTGACAGTGCGGGTCCAGGAGCTGTGTCCGAAGGGGGGGCTGCTCGTGGCTCTGATGCCTCGTCTGGAGCTGTGTCTACGAGCTGGGGAGATACTGCCCCCTCCCCCCCTCCGTCTGGGCCTGGCTCAGCCAACTGGGGAGATGCTCCTGTCAGGCCGCGGCCACAACACCCGGTGTGTGTGTGTGTGCGCGTGTATATTGCTGCGGAGCAGTAGTGTTGTGGCTGTCATGCTGCGCTATGAACCTGTCGACCAGAGTTTGATTCCCGCCAAGGCCAACACTCGTGGTGATTATTTTAACCAGCCCTGGGCCTCCCCTATATTAACTCTGTCTCAAATCAGTACATTATGTGATGTGTGTTAATACTAGGAAGACGAAGGCAGCCGGGCGTGATGTTGGCCACCCACCCCCCTCGTGTGCCATGCCGGTATTCATAGGTGCTTGCTAGCAGCACTTTCCCAATCAGCCTAATTAGGCTATACAGGTTCAAGCATTGTGCTATGGATCCAGCGATCTGAGTTCAATTCCCGGCCACAGCTAACATACGTGGTGGTTATCTGAACTGATGCTAGGCCTCCAGTAGGTCCACTTAGCCTTAATGAATCCCTGGTACAGTGTGTAAACCTCAGCACTGGGAATATTGCTGACCACACCACCCCCTTGTGCACTGTGCCAGCCTTCATAGGTGCTTGCTAACATCACTAACACCAATAGTCTATAAGGCTATATATAAAGTGGTCATTTGTGTATTGGGATTGAGGTGTCATGACAATCTGGCCAGGTGCTCAGTTCACAATCAGAACATTGTTCCAGTACCGGACAGGGTGCACTCTGCCCATCATCCTTATTTGCAGGATTAAATTAGTACCACTCTGTGGGCAACAGAGGGCAGTGCAGCAAAACACTCCTGCTATGTCCTCATGTCTATACCCCTTGCCTGCAACCTGCACTGTCCAGGATGGTGAAGTATGGTCAGGTAAACATCCATCATGACCCTCGTGGGGATGTAATTTATTGACCTTTTCATTTTAACACGTAGGCCTTCGCGACCAATATCCATAATATAGGTTTTTTTGGGTTACATCGCGTAAATATAAATGTCGTTAAACCCGCCATCTCCCCGATAGCCAATTAGTAAGGTTTGTCACATGAACAGAACATGCTTTCCAACACACAGGTGTGCTGTACGCGTAACAAATTGCCATGTTCTGTTTACGTGACCCCTTACTAATTGGTTGTGTCGGGTGGTCGAGGGTTTAACGACACATTTGTATTTACGCGATCTAACCCGGAAAACGTATATTATGGAGCCATTTTTACTTCCACAAATTAATGTAATGAGGTGTGTATGTTGCTTAACCCCATTGGCTTCCATTGCACTGTGCTGGTAATAATATAGTCTATCAACCAGCACTTTGTGCAGGTATCAGTCAGCAATTGGTTCAGATTCTTCATGGTTGTGCTAAGAAGGCTGCGTTGTTTGACTTAAACTTTTGATTGAGTTTTCCACTGCCAGTTAGATATTTATTCACCATTAGACTGGCTGACATGTTTTTAACTGGGTAAGCATTGCGTCACGTTATATATGGCTACATTATATTTCCCTTTGCAGGCATCGTGGAGTCAACATCAGCCGCCACGGGAGCCCATGCGTGGGGGTCATGAGCACAGGGGAGGTCCTCCTATCGTGGTTCCTCAGCCGCTCTTAGCAGGCCCAAGGGGGCCCCCTGCCCTCATTGTCAATCAACAGGTATTGATTGGTCATGCCAGCTTGCACTCTGCTGCAAATTTAATTCCTCGCAGCTACAAATAAAATGCGTACATTTTTTAGCATGAAAAGTGTCGTCATACATTGTATAAGTGAAATAGACTTGGGCAACATGGCTGAGCGCACAGTCTGCAGCAGTAATAAGTTGTACCCTAATAATCCGGACAGGTGGCATTCTAAGTGCGTGACCAAGCAATCTAAAAGTTTAGCTTTAAAATCTCGCAATGGCAGTCAGCTGAGCCTATCATTTAAACTGTAAAATTTCAGGAAACATTCAAAAATATGTACTCGGAAAAATAATAACAGCTATGAAGGTTTATAATTGTAATAACTTTATGATTGTGTGGACGCGAGCACCCAGGCTGCCTTGCCCTTGGCTGCCAGCTTGCGTTTACCTCACACCAGCTGTGTAATCTTCACTCTGTCCCGTTCCCCTCTGCAGCGCTATTTGGGAGGGCCCCACCAAGGTCCAGGGCACCTTCAGGGTCCTATTCTACACCATGGTCCAGGGCCTCATCAGGGCCCTATGCTCCACCTGGGTCCCCACCAAGGTCCAGCAAATTTCCAGGGTCCCCACCAGGGTCCCGGACCCCACCAGGGCCCCGGTCCTCACCAGGGCCCCGGGCCTCACCAGTGTCCCGGTCCCCACCAAGGTCTTGGGCCTCACCAAGGTCTTGGGCCCCACCAGGGTTTTGGGCCCCACCAGGGTTTTGGGCCCCACCAGGGTCCCGGGCCCCACCAGGGTCCCGGGCCCCAACAGGGTCCCGGGCCTCACCATGGTCCTGGGCCTCACCAGGGTCCCGGGCCCCACCAGGGTCCCGGGCCCCACCAGGGTCTCGGGCCTCACCAGGGTCCCGGGTCTCACCAGGGTCCCGGGTCTCACCAGGGTCCCGGGCCTCACCAGGGTCCCGGGCCTCACCAGGGTCCCGGGCCTCACCAGGGTCCCGGGCCCCACCAGGGTCTCGGCCCTCACCAGGGTCCCGGGTCTCACCAGGGTCTCGGGCCTCACCAGGGTCCCGGGCCTCACCAGGGTCCCGGGCCTCACCAGGGTCCCGGGCCTCACCAGGGTCCCGGGCCTCACCAGGGTCCCGGGCCTCACCAGGGTCCCGGGCCTCACCAGGGTCCCGGGCCTCACCAGGGTCCCGGGCCTCACCAGGGTCCCGGGCCTCACCAGGGTCCCGGGCCTCACCAGGGTCCCGGGCCTCACCAGGGTCCCGGGCCTCACCAGGGTCCAGGCCTCCTTAAGGGTCCTGGGCCCCAACCCATACCTGTTCCCCCACAAGGACCTGCTATCGGGGGCCCAGATGATGAGGCGTGGCGCACCCGTCGCCGTGATCAGCAAGGTGGCCCTGTGGCTGCGGATGGTCCTCATGGAACAGCTCCACATAGAGGCAGGCCTTTACAATGCATCTTGATACATCTTAATGCAGTTGCACCCCTCACAACCTTGGGCTGGATAAAACAAGTACAGTAAAACCTTGGATTGCGAGTAACTTGGTCTGCGAGTGTTTCGCAAGACGAGCAAATTTTTAAAATAAATATTAATTTGACGAACGAGCGAGGTCTTGCAATACGAGTAGTGTACGTATACGCTTTGTCTGCCGAGCGTCACGTGATCACAACTGATATACGAGTGCTTTGATATACGAGTGCTTTGGATTACAAACACGTTTCCGGAACGAATTATGCTCGCAATCCAAGGTTTTACTGTACCATTTTTTCCCCCCGAAGTCAACAGTCGCTGTCCTATAGAGAGAGACTGGCTTCTGTCAATGTAATGTGGAATATTAATTGGCTCGGCTGCTATTCGGCGAGTGCCGCCCAGCACCTGTGTAGGCAAGGAAATGCATTGACTTTTGTACATTTGTATTAAAATAATTGTTGTGGATACAGAGTATTAGATGCACAGACCTCATGCGAGAAAATAATGCTGAAATTATTTATTTTGTACAAGGTATTAACTTGCTTCCGATGCCCGTTGTGCAGGCGGGGGCACGTGGGGCAGCAGCGCAGAGGTGTCGGCAGCGGTGGAGCGAGCGCGACAGCGCAGGGCGGCCGAGGAGAAGAGGATGGAGGAGGAGCGTCTGGCAGCCTGCGCTCAGAAGCTGCGTCTGCTAGAAAGCAAGATGGCCGCCAGCGTTCCGGCTGGCAGCGGCGGTGGAGCTGCGGCAACGGCAGCCGGGGCAGCTCCCGCCATCGGCGGGGCCAGTGACAGCACTGGCGAAGACACCGTTTCTGAGGACGGGCCGAGCGCTGTGCCAGCATCGTCGGCGGCCGCATCGGCGCCTTCGGTCACAGCGGCGGCTTTCAGCGCGGGGGAGACGGCTTTGAGTGTGGACATGGCCGCTACGGTGGGAGACGAAGCCACTCCGGGCACAACCACGGGCGATGCCGTCCCAAGTGTGGGGGACGCCGGGCATTTGGCAGGTGGGGCTGTTGCAGCGGTTGGGGGAGAAGTTTCTGCGGAAGCAGACTCGACTCCAGCAACAGCGATCGTATCGTCAGCAATGAGTGGAGGTTGTGCCTCCCCACTGCTCGACACACCTGTCTTGAACTTAGGTACAGCCAAAGATTGTGTCGCTGCGAGCACAGTCGATACCGATAATTCGTCCACCCCTGACTCAGATTCGACAGCTAACGAGAGTCACGCACCAAGCACGCGTGGGCCACCTCTACGAATCGTCACAAGGAATGATGGCCTGGGCAATGCCGGCCCGAGACCCGACAGCGGCAACGACAGCGGCGGTGGTGGCGGCATCATTCGGAGTGCCAGTGGTGACCATGACCAACCCAGGGGAGTGGTGGTGGACGACCGTAGGCCCAGGGGGGGGACAGTTGGTACCGTCGGGCGGACTGTGGGTGCTGGCAGTGGCACCTCTGCACCACCAACAGCTGATGCTGCATCGGTTCCCTTCTCGGGCTCAGCGGTTGGAGCAAAGGCGGTGACTCGGGTCGGCCCCATTGGGACTGCGGCCTCACCAACGGGAAGCGATGGCGGGCCCGGTGGAGGAGTGAGCGGGCCGCTCGCACCCCCAGTAGCTGCACCGATAGTCAGCACAGGCCATCCTGTTGGGCCTGTGGGGACGGCGACGGCCGAGAGCGCCGCTGGGGCCAGGGGTAGCACGGAAAAGCGGCATGCGGTGGCCGAGGGCGAGGTCATGGTGGAAGCAAGCGCTGTGGGTGGCCGAGCAGGGCCACCTGGCGGAGAGTGGCGTGATGGTGAAGGCCCGAGCAAGCGGCGGCGGAGGGACAGCCGTTCTCCCACCGCGGCCCCACCGCAGCACCACCCAGGTAGTGGCTGACACATCTGCGATGAGGTTTTTTCTAAGACCTGTGCTTCTGTAAATCCTCTGCACACTGCACTGCCAAGTGTGCATGCTGCTGCTTTTTAGTGTTTCAAGCCACATGTTTCATCTTGGAAGCTTATCAATGTAAATTGTCTCCATTCTCATATACGCAGTGGGGTGGCACCCATCTGCATTGACGGCCTTTAGCCATTTACAAAAATGTCCATTCCTGTTGTGAAGAAGATTTGTATCTCATGGAGCTGTACTTTAGGTCTAGGTGGATTTAATGAGGTTAAGAAGAGGTGGTGTTCTATGAGCCACCCAGTCACCTGTAAGTTGCATCTCTGAAATTGGAAGGAAATGGAGACTCTTTTTCCTTGGCACATCTTAGACAGCGCAGAGCTCTCAAGGTACGGGTGGCATTACACTGGCGATTTGCCTTGCTGAGTCAGAACCAAACCGTGATACGCTAGGCTCACAAAACATCTTAAGTTGACATTGGGCCTAGCAGGGCTTATGACAGAGGTGTCATTGCGTGTGATGTTGGCGACACGGCTTTGCTACTGGAGTGGATAAAAACAACCTTGTGCATCCTGAGCCACATTTGGTCTGCTCTGCACGTCCCAGGGATGACTATTTTTGGACAGTTGAAAGGAGGTATCGGTGTGTGCTTTGTCTGATGATGGTGCTTGGTTATTGTCTGCAGAGCCACGGCCGACGTTTGTCCGCCAGGAGAGCGAGGAGACGCAGCCCCGATCAGAGAGCGCCCCGCTCCCTCATGCACACGCGCATACTCATGCTGGGGCCAAGACCTACCATAAGACGCTCCCCCCGCGCTTCCAGCGCCAACAGCAGGTAACGTGCACGTGGGGAATTTGTTTCCCTGTGTAGAAGGGAGAGGCATTGCAAAATAAAGCAAATGGTTATTTTGTAAATGAACATTTTAACTTTGAATCCGAGCCTCCAGATGCGAGTTTTAGCAAAAAATTATGATTGTTACAACTAGGCTTTGTGATCTCACAGGTGCGCTTCAAGTCTTTTTCCTCCATTCTAGGAGTAAACCAAATAGCACTTATATCCTTCTTAATTCGTTTTACAGCCGTATTTGAATTCTAAGCCAAATAGTGAAGTACATATTTTGATTTAAAGCTTTCGTGACTGCAGGGATTCATATTCTTGGTTCTTTCGGTAAAGTCACGTAGAAGGGAAACAATAAAATATTTTGATTATTTATTGTTTCCCTTCTACGTGACTTTACCGAAAGAACCAAGAATAGTGAAGTATATAGTTAAGGTAGTGACGTTAAATGGAAGTGAGCCAGGGATAAGAGCAAAGTAACGCATTGAAATGAGATAATGTTAATAGTTGTGTAGTCAAATGAGAAAGAGGAGGTTGAGACGAAAGGATGTAGTTATTGGAAGCATGGTGTGAGATTCATCATTGGCTAGGTAAGATGCAATAAAGATGAATATAGCGATGAGAGCGAGACGATAGATATGAGATAAAAGATGAGACTTGCTTAATTTGAAGAATAGATGTCATTAAGGGCACATCTATTAAGCTGAGAGATGTGCCTTAAGAGATAGAAATGTGTTAAAATGGTAGCTTGTAGATGAGTGAATTCTGTGATATGTAGACATTTAGAGAAATGTATGTAGGTGTGGCAGGAAACCATGGTATAACTTGAATATAGGTTTAATCAGGATGGATAGAGGTAAATATCTATTTGTTTAAGAGAAGAGAGATGGTAGATGTATACAGAAGAGTTGGCTGATAGAAGAGAAGATCTATTCAAACACGTTAAAATATATGGCGATATTCAGACCTGATATAAGAAAGTTGATTTTGAGAAATATAAATTAACATGATGTAGAAGAGCCATAAAATGTATTTAAATATGATACAAGAGGGCGTTTACCGGATGTGTATTGAGACGATATTGGAGATGTTTCCTATGAGATAAAAAAGAGCGAGATGTATTAAGCAGACAGAAGTCAGATGTGGATGTCAGATGAGAGATGTATTATTATATGCAATAAAATGAGATAAGAAAAATGTATTCATGATCTAGGAGATAAATGACGTATTCAAAAGAGAAGAAGAATGATTGTATAATTAAAAGTATGTCGGTACAGCACTAACCAGATTCCGCAGACTGGGGGGGGAGCCGCCTTGTCCCGGATTTGTCATGATGAACAATACATTGTGGGAATTGCTCCATGTTAGTCTATGGAACCCAATGCACAGAGGTAAATAAAAAAATCCATAATGGTATATCATTACTGTTCAATAATAAGCAATGTTTCCACCTTGCTAACACTTAGTTTTGCGTTGCTTGCTTTTCTTTCTTCTGTATGACGACAGGAGCAGCTTCTGAAGCAGCAGTGGCAGCAATGGCAGCAGCAGGGTCCTGACCCAGGCCAGCCCAATCAGTGGCGGGGAGGTTCTGCCAGTCCCCAAGAACAGAGCCAGCCTACTCAGTGGCGGTCAGCCGGTCTACCGGACCCATCTAGCCAGCCTCCTCAGTGGAGAGGGGTTATGGGCAGTGGTGTCGTTGGGCCCGATCCGGCCTCTTCCATGCAGTGGCGTGGTAGCGGCGGCGGCGGTGGCGGCGGTGGCGGTGGTAGCGGGATGATATCCGACCCAGAATCTCCCACATCACGGAGGGGGGGTGGCGGACGGCACATGCCAACGTCCCCACAGGCGTTCGATGCATGGAGGCCTCCTCAACCGTATGTGGACATGCGATTTGCCACAGGTGAGTGGGCGGGGCACATCTCCGTTTTGGAATGCAGTTGCACGATTTCGTCAATGTCAGGCATTCTGCCAAGGTGAAATTGTCCTTTCAAAATGCCCGTCAAATTATTACATCGTCGTGATTTAGAACTGCCCTCAGCAGTGGTAGAAATTTCACATTCCTTTAGCAGGAACCTATCTCCATAGGAAAAGCAATCTGACCAAAAGGAGGTATTCATTGTACAAGCACCCAGTATATTACGGTCAGAGTTAGACCCTTTACCAGTAACTGACCTCGCGATAAAACGATTAAGTGACTGGCTGCTCTAAATGCGTTTTTAAGCACTTCGATCTGTTTGCGAGGAAGCTGCCACTTAAGTGCCATGACAACAAGAGATCTGTCTGAGTGTCGTAACCATTATTGGGTGTGCCTTTGTGCGTGTGCTTGGTGTGGGTTCAGGACCTACCTCTAGGCGCGAGCGAGCTGACAGCGCCAGCTCAGAGCCGTATGAACCCCGTCAAGGTCACGTGGTGGAGCGTGATGTCCGTGTGGGGCATCCCAACGTCAGCAGGTAAGAATCGGATCCTTCCATTATTCAGGAAAGTCCCAATGAGAGTTTGTATGTTGAACTTTTTTTCGCACCGTACACAGCCAACCATGCTAATCTGAGGTGTGGGGGAAGGGCAACAAACTAAACACAAAGCAGTTTGCAGGTGGTCCTGTTTTGTGATATTATGGCCAGTTCATACTTGTTAAATTTTGCTTGTGGGAGGGAGTTGGAATCTCTGGCGAAAATCCTCACATACGAACTGACTGCAATTGAAAATAAATCCAGTTGGCCTGAAGGATATTTGTTATTGTTGGATATATGGCCTGTAAATGGCAATATATAATGGGTAATGCATAAAACTGAATTGGCATAATCATGCCCATCGGGTTGGGGGAAGGTCCCTTGAGCTGTGGTGTGAGTGTGCAGCGATGGTGCTGTTAATGTATTTGTATATATAGCATAATTCATGCAAAATATCAATACTAAATAAATTGTAATGCAAGTAGTTTTCGCATGAGGCGTGGGTAACCACAGACATGCGGGACGACAGCCAGAACCGGTGCCAACAATTGCCCAATCTCTGTTGTCCTATATTGGGATGTTTGGCCAACTCCATGAATTAGTGTTAATGTGGGAGAAAAGTAGAGTACCTGGAAAAAAAATCTGTGTGGGCTTGAGGGGTTGTGGGTGGAAAACACTAAATCCCTGTACAGATTGAATACAGATGAAAATTAATCCAATTGCTGTACAACTGTACCTTTTCAAGCCAAGAGATGGATGGATATCTCTATAGCCTTGGGTTGAGAGTTTCACAAATTCATGTGGTCCGCTAACTCGTTTCCAAAGTGCTTCATTGCAGGTGTGGCACAAGTGCAATTGAACCTATACCATGAGGGGGATAGTATCGAGGTTCTTGGCACCTGCCACACATACCATTATAGGTAATTTTTTTCTTAGGTTAGGATTAGAGAATATCGGAGAGAGAAATGTGTGCATCAGAGGACTTCAGCTAGAATTGAAATGACAGTTTGCGGCATGACTAATTATTGTGCTAAACATAAAATTTTCGGTACGGTGGTAACACTTCTACCTGCCAGCAGGTAGGCCCTCGGTTCAATTCTCAACTTTGGTGCCATTTTTTGGAGTTTATGATATTCCCCCCTTTGTCTTGTATTGGTTTCTTCCTGGGTTCACCCTTCCATAACTTGAAAAAAAAACAATGTAGTTGGCATTGGCCAAACATCGCAATGCTGAAAAATCACTTGAAAATGATCAAATTTGGATTACACAGCAACATGGCCCCCGAGTGTAAACTCTTGGGAGGACCCTCCTAAAAGAGAATATTCAGACTCCCATGAGATTTTCCTGGGTAAACACTTGCCATTATAATAATGTTAACATGTTTAGTGCTCATGTATTTGTGAAATTAACGTGAACGTGTATGTGTACGCGCGCGCTTTCAGGCAACACTCGGACACGGAGGAGCGCCGTGGTCCACTGCTACGCAATCCAGATGAACCGGCACATGGACCTCGGGACCAACAGCCTCAGCAGCAGTTGCAGCAGCTGCCAGAGCAGCCGAGAGGAGGACCTCATGCACAGGCGCAGCGCAGCAACCAGGTACTGCGTCATGCTTCTCATGAGCTGCAACACCACTCATTTGTTGCGTGCATATATGTGCTTAACATGTAGGTTTTCGCAGTCCCAATCTATGTTGTATGTGCACCCTACGTAGCCACCAACGGTGCTAATCGGAGGTGCGGGAAAATATGATATTGCTGTTTTGGAGAGTTTTGGTTTTCATTATCATGAACCCGCCCCACCACTGCCTTCAGCTGCATACACACACTACACCCCTCGCCCAGAACCCCCACCGCTATCCACATGTGCCGTCTTACTCCAATCAACTTAAATTTTAGACCACAGTTGCCAAGACTCGCAGGAAAAAATGCGGCGCTGCCTTTATAAAAACAAGCCCAAAACCCGCCGAAAGTCTGTCCATATGAAGGAGATGGGTGGGACCCAAAGAGGAATGGGTCAGGGCCTACAAAGGAAGGTGTGGAGCCTAAAGAGGAAAGTACGGTGCCTACACAAGAAGGGATGGTGTATAAACAGGAAGGAGGCTGCCTGAAGGGTCTAAAGAGAAGTCCAATTATGGCAACCTCCAATGAACTTCGCCATTTTGTTTGGTTTAAGAAAATGAAAGCATATCACCAAATATGTGTAGCAGGTAGCAAACATTTAATGCCGCCGATGTTGCTGCAGGCCAACTGCTATTATGATTCGTAATAGATTTTGGGTTATGTCATGTAATGATCTTGACCAAATCTTTGTCAGTCATGACGTATTTAAAAAGCATGGTCAGGTGATATGGTAATTCTGGCTTCCTGGATCTTCTCTGGATGTTTGTAGTTTCAAATGAAAAATCATATCTAATTTATATTGTTGTGAGATTTTTCTTAAATGTATCTGTGAGCTAAAACAATAAGTGGTGGTTTAAACACTTGTACATGTGACACTACTGTGTTTGGGCTGCGTTAGTGGTGGGTAGTAACACTGTTGTTGTGAAATCATTACGTGACCTAACTCAATTGGTTGTAAATCGTATATACTCTTGCGTGTGCCTAATATGTGGGTGTAGTATAACGGTTAGCGCTTAGCGCTATGAACCTGGTAACCTGAGTTCAATTCCCACTCACGGCAAACACCAATGACGATTATCTGAACTTCTTGTAGGCGTCTTCCCTCTGTTGACTCGACCAGAAATGAGTGCCTGGTGTGGATTGTAATCCTTTCCACTTGGGAGACGAAGGCGGCCAGGTGTGGTGCTCGGCACCCACCCCCTCGTGTACCGTGCCAGCCTTCATAGGTGTTCGCTAACAGCACTCGCCCCAAGAGCCTGTTAAGGCTATAAGGGTATATTTCTAGATTTGAAGCTTTCGTGACCGCAACGATTCATACTCTTTGGTTTTTTCGGTAAAGTCACGTAGGTAAAAAATCAACAAAATAAAATAAATTTAAAAACAACTAAAATAAATCACGACGTTTCGGAGCAAAATTGTGCTGACGGTTTCCACCTGAAGACGGAAGCTTGTGTTGCCTCCGAAACGTCGTGATTTAATTTTGTTGTTTTTCATTAATTTTATTTTGTTGATATTTTACCTATGTGACTTTACCGAAAAAAGCAAAGAGTAAGGGTATATTTGTTTTATATGTGACAAACTATGTGTACATAGGGTGTGTGGGAGTCCAGTTAATGTTTTCATTGGATGCAGTATTTGCGATGCTCTTATGAATATAGTGTTGTGTGTGGGAAGAAGCCTTATATGCCTGGTTACCAGCATTTGCAGATTAATGCCGGAGTGGTGGAGTAGTTGCCTGGCTCCAGGTGTGGCAGCTGAAGTCGTCCACTTGAGAATGTCATTCCCATGACTGCTGTGGCCGGAGCATGTTATTAAAAGGGGGAACGGTTACTGTTGAGAGATGTGCCGCATGTTCTGTTACCGCACTTGTATTGCATACATTACCTCATAATAAAAAATGACAAACATTCAGGTTCTGCATTGCTGTAGCAGTTTTCATTTATTCAAATAATTATTACATTTGTCAATACTGAACTGCAATCAATTCAACATAATAATATACTTTTAAGACCTCAAGTCATTTTTCATTTTTATAACTTTAGCAAGCAACGTTTAATAATTTCATTCATTCAACATAGCATTCATTTGTATATATTTTATATTCTTTTTCATGTTAAAGTGCTTCGTAATTCTTAATTGTTAAAGGCACTATTCAAGATATACCAATACAGAGCACTATAATCCATTCGCTTCATATTACACTTTAAACTGTGATGAGTCTTAAGGTTTGGATTTTATTTATGGCTTTTGAGATGTTCATTATCACTTCCCTTCGGAGACACATTCACACATCTGTAGGCTTGCTCAATTGTCCTTGGTGGTAGGTAGGCACTGGTTTCAATAATCACCCTTACTCATCCGTGGGTGTTCCCAGGCTTGGTGCAGAATCTGTCTTCATGGCCTCTGCTGCCACCGTAGCCAACTTGTGAACCTCGTTGGTTGAGACGATGGTTTTTTCTGTGGTTTTGTCGTGTAATTCTTTTACGACAGGTTCCTCCACTGTTTGTTGAGGAACCTTGGCCTTTATTCCTTGTCCTTTGGGCTTAGTCGATGCAGTCTTTGCAGGTTTTACAGATTCCTTCGAGGGTTTGTCAGTTTCCTTGATAAGTTTAGCATCTTCCTTTATGGGTTTTGCATCCTTCTTAGTTGGTGTAACAGCTTTCTTGAAGGGCTTGGCTTCCTCCTTTGTTGGTGTAACAGCTTTCTTGAAGGGCTTGGCATCTTCCTTGGTTGGTGTCACAGCTTTCTTGAAGGGCTTGGCTTCCTCCTTTGTTGGTGTAACAGCTTTCCTGAAGGGCTTGGCATCTTCCTTGGTTGGTGTAACAGCTTTCTTGAAGGGCTTGGTATCCAACTTGGTTGGTGTAACAGCTTTCTTGAAGGGCTTCGCTTCCTCCTTGGTTGGTGTAACAGCTTTCTTGAAGGGTTTGGCTTCCTCCTTGGTTGGTGTAACAGCTTTCTTGAAGGGCTTGGCCTCCTCCTTGGTTGGTGTAACAGCTTTCTTAAATGGCTTGGTATCCAACTTGGTTGGTTTAACAGCTTTCTTGAAGACCTTTGCGTTCTCCTTGGTTGGTGTCACAGCTTTCTTTAAGAGCTTAGTATATTCCTTGGTTGGTGTAACAGCATCCTGGATAGCTTCTTCCTTGGTAGGTGTAACAGGTTCCTCAATATTTTCTTCCTCAGTTGGTGTAACCGATTTCTCGATAGCATCTTCCTCTGTTGGTGTCGCAGCTTTCTCTGGAGCTTCTTCCATGGTTGGTGTCACAGCTTTCTCGATGGCGACTTCCTCAGTTGGTGTAACCAATTTCTCGATAGCGTCTTCCTCTGTTGGTGTCGCAGCTTTCTCTGGAGCTTCTTCCATGGTTGGTGTCACAGCTTTCTCGATGGAGACTTCCTCAGTTGGTGTAACCAATTTCTCGATAGCGTCTTCCTCTGTTGGTGTCGCAGCTTTCTCTGGAGCTTCTTCCATGGTTGGTGTCACAGCTTTCTCGATGGCGACTTCCTCAGTTGGTGTAACCAATTTCTCGATAGCGTCTTCCTCTGTTGGTGTCGCAGCTTTCTCTGGAGCTTCTTCCATGGTTGGTGTCACAGCTTTCTCGATGGCGTCTTCCTCTGTTGGTGTCGCAGCTTTCTCTGGAGCTTCTTCCATGGTTGGTGTAACAGCTTCCTCAAAAGCTTCTTCCTCAGTTGGTGTAACAGATTTATCGATAACCACTTCTTCAATTAGAGTAACAACTTCTTTAGTGGCGTCCTCCTTTGTTGGTGTCACAGCTTCCTCAAGGTCCTCCTCGGTTGGTGTCACAGCTTTTTCAGGAATTTCTTCCTTGGTTGGTGTAACCAATTTTTCGATAGCGTCTTCCTTGGTTGGTGTCACAGCTTGCTCAATGTCCTCTTCTTCAGTTGGTGTCACAGCTTTCTCAAGAGCTTCTTCCTTGGTTAGTGTCACAGCTTTCTCGATGGCTTCTTCCTCACTTGGTGTAACCAATTTCTCAACAGCTTTTTTGATGGGTGGAGCTTCTTCCTTGGTTGGAGCGGCAGCTTTCTTGATGGGCTTAGCTTCTTCCTTGGTTGGTGTGACAGCTTTTTTGATGGGCTCAGCGTCTTCCTTGGTTGGTGTGACAGATATCTTGATGGGCTCAGCTTTTTCCTTGGTTGGTGTGACAGCTTTCTTGATGGGCTTAGCTTCTTCCTTGGTTGGTGTGACAGCTTTCTTGATGGGCTTAGCTTCTTCCTTGGTTGGTGTGACAGCTTTCTTGATGGGCACAGCGTCTTTCTTGGTTGGTGTGACAGCTTCCTCGATAGCTTCTTCCTCTGTTGGTGAAACAGCTTCCTCGATAGCTTCTTCCTCTGTTGGTGAAACAGCTTCCTCGATAGCTTCTTCCTCTGTTGGTGAAACAGCTTCCTCGATAGCTTCTTCCTCTGTTGGTGAAACAGCTCCCTCGATAGCTTCTTGCTCTGTTGGTGAAACAGCTTGCTCGATAGCTTCTTCCTCTGTTGGTGAAACAGCTCCCTCGATAGCTTCTTCCTCTGTTGGTGAAACAGCTTGCTCGATAGCTTCTTCCTCTGTTGGTGAAACAGCTTCTTCTATAGCTCCTTCCTCTGTTGGTGAAACAGCTTCCTCGGTTGGTGCAACAGGTTCCTCAATAACTTCTGCCTCAGTTGGTGTGACAGCTCTCTTGATGGGCTTAGCCTCTTCCTTGGTTGGTGTCACAGCTTTCTGGATGGGCTTAGCTTCTTCGTCAGTTTGTGCGACAGCTTCATCAATAGCTTCTTCCTCTGTTGGTGAAACAGCTTCCTCGATAGATTCTTCCTCGCTTGGTGTCACAGCTTCTTTGATAGCTTCTTCCTCCCTTGGTGTGGCATCTTCCTCAGTTGGTGCAACTGCTTTCACAATGACTTCTTCCTCGGTTGGTGTGACAGCTTTCTGGATGGGCCTGGCCTCTTCTTTGGTTGGTGTGATAGCTTTCTTGATGGGCCTGGCCTCTTCCTTGGTTGGTGTCACAGCTTTCTGGATGGGCTTAGATTCTTCGTCAGTTTGTGCGACAGCTTCCTCGATAGCTTCTTCCTCTGTTGATGAAACAGCTTCTTCAATAGCTTCTTCTGTTGGTGAAACAGCTTCCTTGATAGCTTCTTCCTCTGTTGGTGAAACAGCTTGCTCGATAGCTTCTTCCTCTGTTGGTGAAACAGCTTCCTCGATAGATTCTTCCTCCCTTGGTGTGGCATCTTCCTCAGTTGGTGCAACTGCTTTCACAATGACTTCTTCCTCGGTTGGTGTGACAGCTTTCTGGATGGGCCTGGCCTCTTCTTTGGTTGGTGTGACAGCTTTCTTGATGGGCTTGGCTTCTTCCTTGGTTGGTGTCACGGCTTTCTTAATTGGCTTAGTTTCTTCCTTGGTTGGTGTTACGGCTTTCTTAATTGGCTTAGCTTCTTCCTTGGTTGGTGTTACAGCTTTCTTGATGGGCTTAGCTTCTTCCTTGTTTGGTGTAACAGCTTTCTTGATGGGCTTAGCTTCTTCTTTGGTTGGTGTTACAGCTTTCTTGATGGGCTCAGCGTCTTCCTTGGTTGGTGTGACAACTTCCTCGACAGCTTCTTCTTTTGTTGGTGAAACAGCTTCCTCGATAGCTTCTTCCTCTGTTGGTGAAACAGCTTGCTCGATAGCTTCTTCCTCTGTTGGTGAAACAGCTTCCTCGATAGATTCTTCCTCTGTTGGTGAAACAGCTTCCTCGACAGCGTATTCTTCTGTTGGTGAAACAGCTTGCTCGATAGCTTCTTCCTCTGTTGGTGAAACAGCTTCCTCGATAGATTCTTCCTCGCTTGGTGTCACAGCTTCCTCAGTTTGTGCAACTGCTTTCACAATGACTTCTTCCTCAGTTGGTGTGACAGCTTTCTTGATGGGCTTGGCTTCTTCTTTGGTTGGTGTCACGGCTTTCTTAATCGGCTTAGTTTCTTCCTTGGTTGGTGTTACAGCTTTCTGGATGGGCTTAGTTTCTTCCTTGGTTGGTGTTACAGCTTTCTGGATGGGCTTAGTTTCTTCCTTGGTTGGTGTTACAGCTTTCTGGATGGGCTTAGTTTCTTCCTTGGTTGGTGTAACAGCTTTCTTGATGGGCTTAGCTTCTTCCTTGGTTGGTGTTACAGCTTTCTGGATGGGCTTAGTTTCTTCCTTGGTTGGTGTAACAGCTTTCTTGATGGGCTTAGCTTCTTCCTTGGTTGGTGTTACAGCTTTCTTGATGGGCTTAGCTTCTTCCTTGGTTGGTGTTACAGCTTTCTGGATGGGCTTAGTTTCTTCCTTGGTTGGTGTAACAGCTTTCTGGATGGGCTTTGCTTCAGTTTGTGCGATAGCTTTCTCAATAGCTTCTTCCTCTGTTGGTGAAACAGCTTCCTTGATAGCTTCTTCCTCTATTGGTGAAACAGCTTGCTCGATAGCTTCTTCCTCTGTTGGTGAAGCAGCTTCCTCGATAGCTTCTTCCTCTGTTGGTGAAACAGCTTGCTCAATAGCTTCTTCCTCTGATGGTGAAACAGCTTGCTCGATAGCTTCTTCCTCTGTTGGTGAAACAGCTTCCTCGATAGCTTCTTCCTCTGTTGGTGAAACAGCTTGCTCAATAGCTTCTTCCTCTGTTGGTGAAACAGCTTGCTCGATAGCTTCTTCCTCTGTTGGTGAAACAGCTTCCTCAATAGCTTCTTCCTCTGTTGGTGAAACAGCTTGCTCGACAGCTTCTTCCTCTGTTGGTGAAACAGCTTCCTCGACAGCTTCTTCCTCTCTTGGTGAAACAGCTTCCTCGATAGATTCTTCCTCGCTTGGTGTCACAGCTTCCTCAGTTGGTGCAACTGCTTTCACAATGACTTCTTCCTCAGTTGGTGTGACAGCTTTCTTGATGGGCTTGGCTTCTTCCTTGGTTGGTGTCACAGCTTTCTTAACCGGCTTAGTTTCTTCCTTGGTTGGTGTAACAGCTTTCTTAACCGGCTTAGTTTCTTCCTTGGTTGGTGTAACAGCTTTCTTAATCGGCTTAGTTTCTTCCTTGGTTGGTGTAACAGCTTTCTTAATCGGCTTAGTTTCTTCCTTGGTTGGTGTCACGGCTTTCTTAATCGGCTTAGCGTCTTCCTTGGTTGGTGTCACGGCTTTCTTAATCGGCTTAGCTTCTTCCTTGGTTGGTGTAACAGCTTTCTTGATGGCCTTAGCTTCTTCCTTGGTTGGTGTCACGGCTTTCTTAATTGGCTTAGTTTCTTCCTTAGTTGGTGTAACAGCTTTCTTGATGGGCTTAGCTTCTTCCTTGGTTGGTGTTACAGCTTTCTTGATGGGCTTAGCTTCTTCCTTGGTTGGTGTTACAGCTTTCTGGATGGGCTTAGTTCCTTCCTTGGTTGGTGTAGCAGCTTTCTTGATGGGCTTAGCTTCTTCCTTGGTTGGTGTTACAGCTTTCTGGGTGGGCTTAGTTTCTTCCTTGGTTGGTGTAACAGCTTTCTTGATGGGCTTAGCTTCTTCGGTTGGTGTTACAACTTTCTGGATGGGCTTAGTTTCTTCCTTGGTTGGTGTAACAGCTTTCTTGATGGGCTTAGCTTCTTCCTTGGTTGGTGTTACAGCTTTCTGGATGGGCTTAGCTTCTTCCTCTGTTGGTGAAACAGCTTGCTCGATAGCTTCTTCCTCTGTTGGTGAAACAGCTTCCTTGATAGCTTCTTCCTCTGTTGGTGAAACAGCTTGCTCGATAGCTTCTTCCTCTGTTTGTGAAACAGCTTCTTCTATAGCTTCTTCCTCTGTTGGTGAAACAGCTTGCTCGATAGCGTCTTCCTCTGTTGGTGAAACAGCTTCCTTGATAGCTTCTTCCTCTGTTGGTGAAACAGCTTGCTCGATAGCTTCTTCCTCTGTTGGTGAAACAGCTTCTTCTATAGCTTCTTCCTCTGTTGGTGAAACAGCTTGTGCGATAGCTTCTTCCTCTGTTGGTGAAACAGCTTCTTTTTTAGCTTCTTCCTCTGTTGGTGAAACAGCTTGCTCGATGGCTTCTTCCTCTGTTGGTGAAACAGCTTCTATAGCTTCTTCCTCTGTTGGTGAAACAGCTTCTTCTATAGCTTCTTCCTCTGTTGGTGAAACAGCTTGCTCGATAGCGACTTCCTCTGTTGGTGAAACAGCTTGCTCGATAGATTCTTCCTTGCTTGGTGCGACAGCTTCCTCAGTTGGTTCAACTGCTTTCACAATGACTTCTTCCTCAGTTGGTGTGACAGCTTTCTGGATGGGCTTCGCTTCTTCCTTGGTTGGTGTGACAGCTTTCTTGATGGGCCTGGCCTCTTTGATTGGTGTGACAGCTTTCTGGATGGGTTTTGCTTCTTCCTTGGTTGGTGTGACAGCTTTCTTGATGGGCCTGGCCTCTAATTTGATTGGTGTGACAGCTTTCTGGATGGGTTTCGCTTCTTCCTTGGTTGGTGTGACAGCTTTCTTGATGGGCCTGGCCTCTTCTTTGGTTGGTGTCACAGCTTTCTGGATGGGTTTCGCTTCTTCCTTGGTTGGTGTGACAGCTTTCTTGATGGGCTTAGCTTCTTCCTTGGTTGGTGTCACAGCTTTCTGGATGGGCTTAGCTTCTTCCTTGGTTGGTGTCACAGCTTTCTGGATGGGCTTAGTTTCTTCCTTGGTTGGTGTAACAGCTTTCTGGATGGGCTTCGCTTCTTTGGTTGGTGTGACAGCTTTCTGGATGGGCTTCGCTTCTTCTTTGGTTGGTGTGACAGCTTTCTGGATGGGCTTACCTTCATCAGTTTGTGCGACAGCTTCTTCAATAGCTTCTTCCTCTGTTGGTGAAACAGCTTCCTCGATAGATTCTTCCTCGCTTGATGTCACAGCTTCTTTGATAGCTTCTTCCTCGCTTGGTGTGACAGCTTCCTCAATAGCTTCTTCCTCAGTTGGTGTGACAGCTTTTTTAATGGGTGTAGCTTCTTCCTTGGTTGGTGTAACAGCCTTTTTGATGGGCTTTGCTTCATCCTCTGTGGGTGCAACAGCTTCCTCAACAGCTTCCTCAATAGCTTCTTCATCAGTTGGTGCGACGGGTTCTTCAATGGCTTCTTCCTCGGTTGGTGCGACAGCTTCCTCTGTTACTGCAACAGCTTCCATAATAGCGTCTTCCTCAGTTGGTGTCACAGCTTTCTGGATGGGCTTAGCTTCTTCCTTGGTTGGTGTGACAGCTTTCTTGATGGGCTTGGCCTCTTCCTTGGTCGGTGTAACAGCTTTCTTGGTGGGCTTAACTTCTTTGGTTGGTGTGACAGATTTTTTGATGGGCTTAGCCTCTTCCTTGATTGGTGTAACAGCTTTCTTGGTGGGCTTAGCTTCTTTGGTTGGTGTGACAGATTTTTTGATGGGCTTAGCCTCTTTCTCGGTTGGTGCAGCGGCTTCCTCAATAGCTTCTTCCTCACTTGGTGTGACAGCTTTCTTAATGAGCTCAAATTCTCCTTCAGTTGGTGTGATAGCTTTCTTAATCGGCTTAGCTTCTTCCTTGGTTGGTGTCACAGCTTTCTTAATCGGCTTAGCTTCTTCCTTGGTTGGTGTCACAGCTTTCTTAATCAGCTTAGCTTCTTCCTTGGTTGGTGTCACGGCTTTCTTAATTGGCTTAGCTTCTTCCTTGGTTGGTGTCACGGCTTTCTTAATTGGCTTAGCTTCTTCCTTGGTTGGTGTAACAGCTTTCTTAATCGGCTTAGCTTCTTCCTTAGTTGGTGTCACGGCTTTCTTAATTGGCTTAGTTTCTTCCTTGGTTGGTGTAACAGCTTTCTTGGTGGGCTTAGCTTCTTCCTTGGTTGGTGTTACAGCTTTCTTGATGGGCTTAACTTCTTCCTTTATTTGTGTGACTCTGTTCTCAATATCTTCTTCCTCTGCTGGTGCAACAGTGGTCTCAGTAACGTCTTCCTCGATTGGAGTAACAGCTTCCTCGATAGCTTCGGTCGTTTCACCTTCCTCAACTTCAGTTTTTTGTTGTTCCTGTTCTATGTCAGGTTCCTCTTTAAGTTCGTCTTCTGTTTCAACCTCTTGATCGTCAGCAGCATCTAGTTTGGTTTCCACGGTTTCCTCTTCACTGCCCTCTTCAGTCACAGGTTCATGTTCACCTGCTGCTATTCCGTCTATTGTTTCCTCAACTTCATCTTCTGCTTCATCATCTTCTGCCTCTGGTTCAGAAATGTCTTCAGTTGTTTGTTCCTGCGTTTTTACAGCAGATTTCTCTTGTGGCTCACCTTCTGTGGCTTCAGTTTCTTGTTCTTCAGTATCACTTTCAGTCTCACCTCTCTCCCCAATGTCAGCTATAGCATCTGTTTCCCTAACAGTTTCTTCAATTTCGACTTTCTCAGCCTCGACCTCTTCTTTAACTTTTTCGCCGTGCGTTTCTTCAGCTTGTTCCACTCTGAGAGTGGGGAGCACTTGCGTGTCTTCCGCGAGTTGCTCGCTTGCGCTATCCTGCAGCTTTGTGTCTGGCTCGCGGCTCTGCTCCTCGTCGGCCTCCGCTTTGGATACGCGCGGTGCAGTGCTTGTGACTGGTGCCCTAGGCATTTCGCTGCTGTAGTGAGCCTCCTCCCCATCCAGCAGTGTCCTGTATGAAAACGGAAAGAACAGCCATTGTTGGAGGAGGGGTGTTTGTAAAATTATCTGTAGTCATTGTGCACAGGCTGTTATTAATGGTTGGGGGGGGGGGGGAGTGTGAGCAGACTATAGCTGTTCAGTGTGGCAGCAGCTGCAAATGCACCGTGACCTATGGGATGCAGGGAACGTTGCCCAAGAACCCATAGCAACCTGTAGGCAGAGATCTCGATGTCGAGCGCCATCTTCACGTTGAGCAGGTCCTGGTACTCGCGCAGGCGGCGCGCCACCTCCCACTTGGAGTCGCGCAGCTCCCCCTGTAGCTGTTCCATCACGTCCTGTCATTGGTGGGGGAGGAACGGAGGCACCGCCGTGAGCTCGGACACTGCACATTTAACGTAAGCCTTGAATGGTGTTTTGTGCCAAAGCAGCCATTTGAACAGCTGAAGACTCATTGTCCAGAGTTTTAAGCTGCAAGAATTGCGTTGATTGGAAGAGTGCATTTGCTAGTGCAAGTAGCATTCGAAGATGATTTGTTATCCCACGGACCTCCTAGGTTAAGATATCTCAATTAAATGTATTGCTTTCAGCTGACTTTGACCTCATTGAGTCGCTTCTGCGTGATGCACTTAGTTAAGTAGTGATTTTGGCGACTGGTGTTATGGGCTGGTGGATGAGCTTTTACACAATGATAACCATTATAATTGCACTGATAATTATATATTGTATACTTAAAACGTATGTATCCTATAATAATTTGAGTTACTATAGTAAACAATGTATTACATTATTTTTCAAATTCTCAATTCTATACAATGTTTTTTGAATGAGTCTCGAGCCTATAGCCCAGAGAAATTGTTGCATTTTGAGATCCATATTACAAATAAAATTTGCTACTAAACTACAAAATAAATATCCCCTCCTATTATGGCCACCCATATATTTCTGAATAATATCTCACCATGGTTTCACATGCCTAAATAAAGGACGTGTATATTTGGTAATTTGTGAGGGTCAATCCTCTTGTCAAACCTTTTTTCTTCACAAATCTGTGCTGGTTGAGGGAGGGCTATAGTTACCTGCAAGTTGCCCATGTCGATCTGGTGCCTCTCATCCATATCGCTCAGTTGCCTCTCGAGTGAATCCCTGGTTCCCAGCAGCGCGTCCAGCTCCGTGCTTCGCTCATTGAGCTTGTGACGGTGCTTGGAGAGCTCCTCCTTGGTCGATCGCAGGGCCTCCTCGTTCTGCTCCGCTGCCTCTGTGAGCTGCGTGAACTTGGACTGGAAGCGCTCTTCTGCCGCTCCCTCAACCTGCCCTTTGAGCTGAAATTTGCCGCGAATATCACGCAGTGCTGCTGCGATGCTGGGCTCTCCATATTTTACATTCTTCACTGAGACCGAGGAGGATTTGATCTGTCCCAGAAGTTGCTCCACCTCCTCCTCATGATTCTTTTTGAGGAAAGCGATTTCATCGAACAGAGCCTGTATCTGCTTCTCATTGCTCATTCGTACCAGCGGCACAGCCTCTGTGTGCTTGCTGAACATCTTAAAGAGCTCGTCAGCTTCATTGCGTAGACGAACTTCTTGACCGCATTTCTCTTCAAGCTTCTTGATCTCTTCCTCCAGATGCTCCTGCTCCATCTGCACGGATGTCTTTTCTCCATTAATGTGTTCAATGAGCTCTCGGAGCTCTTTGATTTCACACTCGTAGACATCGTTAATGCCAGTGTGAGTGGTGCCAGACTGCCTCTGTTTAAGTGCTGAGATCTCATCGTCCAGGTCTTTGTTGTTCTGCTCGAGATCGTGTACCTTGGTAATGTAGCCCGAGAAACGCTCGTTGAGATCCTGCAGGAGCTGCTTCTCGTTGACTCGAGCTTGCTGCACGGCATCTGTGAGCCCGATGGGGCGGCTGTGGTCGAGGCTGTCGGTGTAGTTGAGAGCAGGCATGCTGTAGCCGTGCACGAGGCCGCTGTAGCCCGAGCGCTCGCCTCCGAGTCTGGTTGACGAGTATGATCGGACTCCGCTGGAGAGGATGCTCTGGAGCCGCCTGCTGGAGTGAGGCGCGTCCCCGTGAGCTCGTCGGGAGGAGCTGCTGATGCTTGAGCCGGCGTAGCTCATGGTGGCGGTGCTGGAGGAGGTGCTACAGTCCGATGCGGGCTCGGAGCTGCTGCTGTCTTCCTCTGCTTAACTCGCCCCTTAAATACACGGTTTATGCTGAGCGCAGCAGAATGTCACAGCTCATGCCGCATCACACCTGTAGGCAGATTGCGGCTCTAAAAAATGCAGTCTCATTTCTTGGCTGCCTTACCCGTCTGGCCCGTTGTTGCTGCACTCTGCAACTATTGATTTTTTTTTTTTACATTGAAGCTATGTTTGGAATTGATATTTGTGAAGGCTTTAATGTAATGATACTTTTGTTTTAAAAAAAATTCCATTTTATATACTTGTGATTTCATATTAGTCATCAGTTCTGATGGAATAATTTTTTAATCAGTGGAAGCTTTTGCATTGTTCTTTGGACAAATTAGGAATATATTTTACATGCTTCGGTTCAGTTTGTCGTATGCAGACCAGTTATATAAACGGAGACCCCACCAAACATTTTTGGTTGACATTGGATATATTGACCAGGGCTTGTCTTTTATTGACCTTCTAAAATTTCAGCTTTCACTTGCTTTTGTTTCTGTGCAATTTCATGTTTTTTTTAAGTATTACAAAAATACTAATCAGGAAATTATGACATGAAAAGCCACTTGCTTGCTGTGATTGATTTTAGAAAGTGTTAAGTCAGCTTTTGTAATTTTCATCCTTAAGTGTGACTCCTGTTTTACGCAAGATTTTGCCGTGCAGTGGTTTATGCTGTACATATGTCAGCACTGCCTGTTATGTGCAAAATCTCGTGAAGGAGAAATGCAGAGGCTGGCTAACAAAACATTACTTCAAATTGCAGCCTTCACTTTGCAAAACAGTGAACAATATTGATCAACTCGGATGTAATTCATAAGAGGTTTTTGGGTTAGATCGCATAAATGTGTCGTTAAATCCACCAGCACTCGACACAGCCAGAGTTGGCTGTCGCCTGAAGATGCTAGTTGTAATTACTGGCGAAACGTCTTACTCGAATTGTAAATGTTGTGGGTTTACTCTCAACACACCGATGTGCTGTACTAGTAACAAATTGCCACGTTTTGTTTACGTGACAAACCCCTTACGAGTTGGCTTTGTCGGGTGGTGGCGGGTTAAACGACACATTTATATTTACGCGATCTAACTAAAAAAAATCTGTGGAAATCAATGGATATAACATTTCCAAATAGTAACACTTAACCTTACTGGAATGTTAATCGCTTTTAAAATGGATTGTGCAGAGTTTGACTGAGGAAGAGGAGATGGGGCCTAAATCGGGGAGGGATGGCAGGGCCCTAAGGCTTTAGTGGGCTTGCACCCAAGGTGTGAAGGAAGCGGTGCATAAAGAGGGATGGTTCCCGAAGTAGTAAGAGGTGGGGGGGAGCAAAAGGAGTAAGGAGGCAGTGGTTTAAAGAGGAATCGACGGGTCCTTATCAGTAAGGGGTGGGGCTTAAAGGGTGAGGCAAGGGGGGGGCATAAAGGGGAAGGAGGGTGGGTACTCGGGAGTAAAGAAAGAAGTGGACTTAACTGGTAAGATGATGTGGCATAGAGGAATCAACGTGGCCTGAGGGGTGAAGGATGAGTCCTAGAGATGTACTTCCCTGTTGATTTCAGTTAATAAAAGCAAAGCATAGAATAAAATAATTGTAGCAAGCAACATACCTTTCTTTAGTGCCCAGGGTGTGGCTCACAGGCAAACTTGTCTGTAATGTGATTCAATTGTTCCTTTGAAACAACACATTTTAGGGGTGATCACTATTTTTTTCAGTCATCCATAACTTATTGTTGCTTACAGATGAAATAAAAGAGACATACACTGGGTTGTCACTGAAGAGAGTCAGCTAGCTTGTTGTTTAGTCCCAAAATATGTGTTTTTTAAGGATCCAGCTTGGCAAACCTGTAGAGGCTGACAAAGACTTTGAAGACTGCAAGGAATTCTTATACCCTGAGGACTTAGCATCACTGACCAGACAGAATAGCCAGTAAAGGACCCATCGAAGTGTTCGCTCAAACCTCATGTTAAAAAGGGCCCGTCTCCAAAGCCAGTTAATTGTTGGTGGCCTTATCCACTCATGGAGTGTCCTGTAGCAGATTTAGCCAGGATTCTAGTGACAGAATTAAAAATGGTGGTGTCAGCAATCAAGGTTAGGATGGAAGCCCTATCGGCCATTAGCAACTCCCATGAGCGGCGTGTGTTGTGGGTCTGCCGCCCTCTCATATCCCGACATTTCAAGGCTTTTAAGGCAGATCAAATGGCTTTTTGGTCAGTGGTTTATTCAAACTGCAGTCACCATCACACTCCCAACTGACACTTCCGGTTAGCACGGTTTGCTTTGCACAATGCAAACGAAGTTCAGCATAAATACAACTATAAATGTGGGCACCACGATGGTGAGAGGGCCCCACGATGGTGAGAGGGCCCCACGGTGGCAATATGTTAACTATCTCGCCAGGTATACAGGAGGTCGTTGGTTCCATGCCGACCCTAACGCCTGTGTTTGGAGTTTGCATGTTCTCCCCGTGGTCGCGTGGGTTTTTCTCCAGGTCCACCGGTTTTTCCCTCCACATTTAGAAATGTGCGTTTAGAGTATTTGGTTGCTTGAAATTTTTTCACATGATAGGCAACTTTACTGAGCCATCATTTGTGGCTATATAGCTCAGTGGGCATTACCTGGAAAAAAATAGCAATAGTACATGAACACCATCCTGTACCTGGCACCCATAAAGTTATATTCATAGTGAAGAATGTATTTATTATGTTTTAGATGTGTGGGCTTGGCTCTCAGTTTGTTTTCTAGTGCTTTACTTGGGAGGGCAATAGTGCCCAAAATTGTTTAATATGGGACGTCTAGTCACCTATAGTAAATAAGGCGACAGTCGCCGAGTGTGAGGAGTGCTAGGATGGGCCGCTCCAGCGCTTTGCAGATGCAAGCCGAGGAGAGGGCTGCATTGGGTGGGCTGACTGGAGGAGTTTGACATCTGTGAGACTACTGGACACTTTTCGATTTAAAGCTGCAGGGATTCATATTCTTGGTTCTTTCGGTAAAGTCACGTAGAAGGAAAATAATGAAAATAAAACATAATAAAATACAATTCTAACGACGTTTCGGCCACAACGCAAGCAGCCGTGTACATGTGTGAAAAATAACTTCCTAGCCCATTGGGTTCCTCCAGTTTAAGTAAAGATTCTGATTCTTTTGATTTTGAGTTGTGGACGCCCTGTGGTCAGGATAGCGGCGGCCAAGGGGAGCATTGCGGGGTATCCAATGGGGCCCCCTGGGGCCGGCAACATACTTACCCATTGACCTCCCAGGAGAGACCCCGAGAGACAAAGGCAGGTCGGAGCCATTGGGCAGTTCCCATCTGCTTTTCCAAGGTGAAATTAACCCGGAATAGGCTCATGCGCTGCTGGTAGGGCCCTTGTTTGAGGGCAAAATGCAGCTAAGGATTGTGGCTAGTGTAAAAGACCTATGCCAGGAGACTGGAACTAGCCAGCAAGAGGGACCCTACCCCCTTGCCAGAGTAAGATGATCTGGGAGTTCTGAAAGGAGCTAGAGAGGAAGGGGAATGTTTCTCATTGGTTGAAGCTACTTCTGAAGAGGGTGAATCATTTTAATACATTTTCCAGGTAAATCTCAGAAGGTTCAGAGTGGTGGCTGAGGGGCCTCCAGCGTCAACCAGTAGCGCTGCAGCACATCGCCCATTTGGCCCTCACAATCCTTTTCAATCCTCGTCAGGAAATATCTGGGCTCGGCAGCACCCTCACCTGGACGTTTTATCAAATTGCCACCTGATTTTAATCCTCTTGTGTCAATACAACAGCTCTAGATTTAATTCTAGATTTAAAGCTTTCGTGACTGCAAGGATCCATACTCTTTGGTTCTATTCGGTAAAGTCACGTAGGTAAAAAAATAAAACAAAAATCACGACGTTTCGGCCACAACACAAGCGGCCTTCATCAGGTGAAGGGATCAGGCTGTCTCGAGGACAGCGCTGGAGTGAAACACAGCCACGCTCAGACCGCGGACCTTTAAGCTGTGTGCGAAGAAACAAAGTGCCTTGACAAAGGAATTAGCATAAAAATTAGCATTTGATTGCCCGACTTAGCATGAAGAACGGTGTAGAGGTGGTGTACATGCAGGTGAACATGCCGGTTGGCGCGGGGGGGGAGGGGGAGTTTACCTGTTGATGGTGGTGTGAAAAGGGAATTTTTAAGAGCTGCGAAAGTTTGGGGTACCACTATTTGAAAAATATACTGTACCATTGAAAATTAGTTTAATGTTTGGTTCGATTTAGAACATCTTTCCAATGGTTGCTTAATTTGAAACCATCTTCTCGGTTGAAATTGTGTCTGCGTTTGTAGATCTGAATTGCCTCGTGAACAAATCTCTGATAAAAACCCGTGGGTTTGCAAAGAACCTTGGTATCGGAGACAATTATAATGTGATCACCCACAGCGTTGTAACAGTGATCAGCTACGGCAGAAGCATTCGTTCTGCCGTGTTTCAAATCTGATTTGTGCTCGCGAATTCGGTCAGAGACATGTCGCTTTGTCTCCCCGATATAGCAATCACCGCAGGTACAACTCAATTTGTAAACCCCGGGGTACTGTAAGTCAGGAATGACATCCTTCACGGATGGGATCACATCACGAATTTTGTGTACTGTACTGAACCGGACCTGGATCTTGTGTTTGTTTAGAATTTTGGAAATGTTTTTTGAAACACCTGCTATATATGGTAGTGTGATAGTTTTGACCGGAGTATCAAGTGGTTGTTTCAGTATGGAGGGAGAAACAGCTTGGCGGATGGTATGGTCAGAGTATCCATTCCTTTTGAGGGCCACGTGTACATGTTTTAATTCACTGGTCAGGTGGTGTTGGTCCGAAATGCAATAAGCCCTATGGTATGAAGTTTTGATGAGAGAATTCTTTTGGGCTGGGTGGTGGTGGGAATCAGGTTTCAAGTAAGAATCTGTGTGGGTGGGTTTCCTGTAGACAGAATGCCCCAATGAGCCATCAGGTCTCCTCTCAAACAGAACATCTAAGAATGGTAGCTTGCCATCTTTCTCCACTTCCATGGTGAATTTGATGGCAGGATGTCTGGAATTGATGTGGTGTAGGAAAAGGTTCAGAGCTGGGAGGCCATGTGGCCAAATGACGAAAGTGTCATCCACATATCTCTTCCACAGGGAAGGTCTGAGGGTGGAAGTCTGGATGGCGTCTTGATTCAAATTTCTCCATGAAAATATTGGCTATCACTGGTGGCCATAGTGACTCAACCAACTTTCAAAACCTAATCCCCAAGACCAGGGAGTTCCTGAACTGGGCAAAGACCTGACAAATGACAAACTTGCCATCTTTTAAAGTGTATTAAAAAAATGTTGCAGATGCACTCAGCCACCACGGGATGGCTTTGACCCTGGTTAGTGAACACTCTGTAGTTGCTCAAGGACCTTAGAATAACAAAGACGCTTTGTCCGCTCGACGCCGAGCTGTTTGTAACTGAGACCAATCACTAGTTACCTCGCTTTCCTACACATGGATAGTGGGTGGGGGGGGGTGGGTGGGAGGCTTGACGAACCCAGCTCGGTACTTTTGGATGCGGATGACGTCACCACCACATGTGAGCACACCTTGCCCATCCATGAATCCAGTCAGGATTTGTTTTGCTTTCTAATATAGTACGGTATTCTCCACAATGACTCTTATTATTATTCTCGTGGTGCAAGGATTGTAGGTACAATCAATGCTTACAATTTAAAACCTTTGAGTTGGCTTATTTGGAGCCAGATTGATTGGGCAGTATTTTTTATTGGTTTTTATTGTAAAGTGCCCCTGGGGGACTTTGCATTATAAATGCTATCATTCATACTTTTTTATAATTGTACTTCTACAAAATGGATACTCAAGAGATTACAGAAATTGAATATATTTAGTTTTTCCTGGTTAATCAAATCATTACAAAATGTTCTATGCAATGGATACATCACTCTTTGCTTCATGAGCTGTAAATAGCTTAAACTTCATATTTTTATCGTGTTAGTGCAGTGTTGCAATTTTTTGAGACGTAATTATTTATGGTCTTCGATGCTGATGATACAGGGTGTTTGAAAAAGATGGACCCAATTTCAAAGCAGTATATTTCACGATGGCAACATGTTACAATTACACGAAAAGTTACAAACGGTTTAATGAGTTAAGTTTTATTAACCATTTTATAAATGCTCTGTGCCCTCCACCTGCTGTACGGACAACATCGAGAAGATAATTTAATTCGTCCCAAATGCCTTTCAAAGTGTCTTCTTCCACTGAAGTCACCGATGCCATGATTCTGTTTTTGAGGTCATCCAGATTAGTCGCTATTGGTGGCACAAAAACACAGTCTTTGACCTATCCCCACAAGAAAAAGCCGCAGGGTGTGATGTCTGGGGATCTTGGGGGCCAAGAGTCTAGCGCCAAGTCTTGGGGTCCTGTGTGACCGTTGAGGCAGTGTGTCTTGCGAATGACTGAGGCTAGGGGCTGTTTGTGTGCTGGGAGCGGCATCTAGCGGTAATCATGTGAAACTCTATGCCCCGCCCTTTCAAGTGGTAAGAGTTTCATTCATGGGCGGTTCGTGGTTGCAGAGATATATCGATTTCAAATCGGGTCCATCTTTTTTAAACGCCCTGTATTTGAATAACCGGACTAATTCATCATCAAATCAGATGTGTGCAAATATGGATTATTGTCCATGATTTGAGTGGGTGCACATTGATGACATCACACCCCCATTTAAGGCCAAAGACTGGAGGACATTTTCACAATTCTGGCAACTTTCTGATGATGCTGATTGTAAATATCTGCGAAACATTTTGCCCAGTTGTTGAATTTCGTGACATTGCCCTCTGACGTCCTGGTAATACATTGACACTTTTGTTCATGTGACAACTTTATTCATTGGCTGTGTTGATTGGAAAGGGTTTACCACACTTTTACTGACACGATATGACCCAAAAAACAATTATGAGTGCATCCACAAGTTTTAATGTGAGAAACTTGCTGCTGAAAGAGTGGCTATGGTATGAGATCCATAAAGTGCAAAGGACTCAAATGTTACGTGAAATATCATTAGACCTCCTTTGCCAGTACCAAAATGTAATAATAGGGGTTTTTCTGGCAACAAAACTGAAACCTTTTTACAAGGATTCATGTCTGCATTAACCACTACCTGCAGTCAATGCAAACAAAAACATACTGTGATAATATATGCATTGTCCTTGAAACTGATTGGTCCACACTAAGGGACGGCTTTCTTTTGAGCCTCGACCCAATTGGTGCTTGACCAGATGACACCATAAGGCGTACAAGGACAATGCATTTATTATCATAGTATGTTTTTGTTTGTGTTTTGACTGCAGGTATTGCGGTTAATGCAGACATGAATCCTTGTAAAAAGGTTTCTGTTTCGTTGCCAGAAAAAAGGGGAAAAACCCTTATTACATTTGGTACTGGCAAAGGAGGTCTAATGATGTAGATGCTCACCCCGAGCCCTCATTACTTTGATAGTGCATTGTCTTTGAGCTGTATGCCTTTTGGCGTTATCTGGTCGAGCACCAATTGGGTCGAGGCTCAAAAGAAAGCCGTCCCTTGGTATGGACCAATCAGTTTCAAGGACGATGCATATATTATCATAGTATGTTTTTTTGTTTGCATTTTGACTGCAGGTATTGTGGTTAATGCAGCCATGAATCCTTGTAAAAAGGTTTCAGTTTTGTTGCCAGAAAAAAGGGGAAAAACCCTATTATTACGTGAAATAGTTAGCCATAAATTATATATTTTTGTTACCATCTTGGAGTGTCAATGATGTTTGTTCAACACATGATTTGTAGTTCTGTGATATGTCAGAAAAAGTCTGGGCATGAGGGAAAGTGAGCTTTGTGTACCATGCCTGGGAACGAAGTGGGTAACTTAAATTTCAAAATAAAAATGGGGAAAATAGGCAATGTAGGGGGGGAAACAAACTTAACGGGGAAGTTTCATGGTCATCTTGAGGTGGAAGTTGGCCATGCCACTGCTGATTTTAAAAAAAATTAACAACTTAACCTCTTCAATAATATAGTATTCATATATGATGGAATACGAGAAATATTAATGCAGTACAATTTGTATACCATCTAAATTAGTTTTTATGACAGTATAAGATTAACATTTTAGTTTTTCTTGTATTGTATGTAGTAAAAGCAATAACTTGATTTTATATTGAGACTCATGGTGTTGCCCGAAACATAAAATTTTAAGAAGCTATCGTTTTTGATGGCAATGGTAACTTTGTGTGGCATACTTTCTTCTCACATTGAGTTTTTGTTGGGATTTTCTTGGTAATTGCCATTTTTAAAACGTTCTGAGCACTCTTGTGTAAACGACTAACTAAATTTAGCAACATTTTAACCGTGCATAATCAGTTGGCTCGGGGGTTAGTTGTGAAAAAATATCAGTCTCACCTTAAATATACCCAGTTGTGAACCATGATCACAAGGTCGTGGTGTTAAATTGAGGTCTGGAGTCAAAGAATGTGTGCAGCAAATTTCATTTATTTTCTTTTAAGCATCAGCCCTCCAGCATTACCATGTCATAACAGCAACACTTGTTATACTTTGCTAATTTCCTATTGTCCTTTTCCATTGCAAGCATCTGGACACAAAACGGCCTTTGCCGATTTAATGTTTGTCTTGTATACATTCGTGGAAATATTTAACACATGCCACTCTTTTATTAGCCACAGGTACTTTGGCACACGATACAGCTAATGTGCAGAGCACAATGCGGGGCGGGTAACATTGAATGCGAGTTTCAGGTGGTGTTCAATTCGTGGTTCCTTGTAGATCATGGGAAGGTGCTTGTTAAGGGTTGTCGGCTTCACTTGTGGGATGACCTCGATGCGGATCTGGCTTTGCCGTGGTCGCCCTTCTTGGTCGTGGAAACTACGGTCTCCTCGATTATCTCCTCGTATTCCTCCATCTCGGGCTCAGAGCTAATTATCTGTTCTACCTCGACTTCCTGATTGTGGTGAACTGTCTTGGTCAAGAGGAAGGTCTCCTCCGTCGTCTCTTCATAGGTTATCTCCTCCTGAGTAATTTTCACCTCGTCTTTCGTCACCGTCTTTTTTGTAGCAGAAGCTATCGGCTGAACCTTGAAGGAAAGGATCTTGAGGGCACGTTTTGACTCTGTGTCTTTCTTTGGATCCACTGTTTGTGGGACCGTTGTATCTTCCTTTTCAGGCTTGCCTTGTTCTTTTTCACTTTCTTCATCCTTGGCTGGTTTATCATCTTCCTTGATGGATTCGCTGCCACCTTCTTTGGCTTCAGGCTCTGCCTTGTCACTCTCTGCATCCTCGACTGCCTCTTTTGCTGGTGCTTCCTCAGTCTCGTCTTCAGCAGCTTTCGGTGCTTGTTCTTCAGCCTTATCTTTGGACGATGCTTCCACTTTCTTTCCCTCCTGTTCCTCTTTGTGTGCTTCTAGATCTTCACTTGCATCCTCTTTTTTGCCTTCCTTTTTGTCTTCAGCTTTGGATTTTGTATCTTCAACCTTTTCATCCTCCATTTCCTCTTCGGCACCATCCCCCTTATGTTTCTCCTCTTCAGGTGGAGCAATAGCCACGGAACTTTCCTCAGCCTTTTCCTCAGCCTCGACTCTATCAGGACCTTCAACTATAATGCCCACTGCCTTGGATGCTGCCGTATATTTCTCCTCAGCTGCAGCTTTGTCTATTTCAGATTCTTTGCCATCAGCTCGGGTGTCCTCTTCGGTTTCTTCTGCTTCATCTTTAGCCTCTTTCTCCTTGCTAGGCGGTTCCTCCTGGGACTTGGCCTTGGGTGTGTGGGTGTAAATGGACCTTGCTGAGTCCAAGCTCAGGCTGCCGCTGCTAAAGTGCGAGTCCTCTCCATCCAGAAGTCTCCTGTAGGAAAAACACACCATAATGCAATTAAACCAATGATCTTAGGAGGTGACTGGTTGGCTTAGGAAGCCGATGTTTTCATGTGAACAGTATCTGGAACTTAAACACCCCAAATTAGAATCCAGGGAGTCGTGCGATATCACTTTTTGTAGCAAGTTATTGTTGTGAACCAGGTTTCCAATTAATACTTAGTTTCCAGATCGCACTGGTCTTCATTGACAGCCTAGAGCTAGTGGTTGAAATGTCAATTTATTATGGGAGTGGCCAGTTAGGTTACTCCATATATCAAACACTGTAGACTGGAGCAATCAAGCGCCGAGTTGGTTACCAGACTTGGGAGTGGCAGCGCACTCTAATCATAGTGTAACTTTGCCGTGCATACGGCGAATTATTGATAGACTGCATGTACACAGATGGTGAGCACTGGGTAGGTGGGCACAGCCCTCACCTGTAGGCAGAGATCTCGATGTCGAGCGCCATCTTCACGTTGAGTAGGTCCTGGTACTCGCGCAGGCGGCGCGCCACCGCCCACTTGGAGTCGCGCAGCTCCCCCTGTAGCTGTTCCATCACGTCCTATAGGTGGTGTGGGAGGAACGGGCACCACCGTGTGAGCTCCACTGTTTAGGTTAATGTGGCCCGGGACCACTTCTCTAAAGGCATTTGTTTGAAACCACCCAAGTGGCATTGAGACCAAAATGGCTCTTGAGCAAGGGAACTGATTCATACAAAATGTTCCTCAGATCTACGGGGCATGGGGGCAGCATTCCTCTGTCAGCAATTCAGAACCACGTGTCAAATTCCAGTCTTTATATTATGGGAACCAGGCGAACGAAAAGAAAACTCTTCTCAATTTCTCACTATGGGCTCTGTTGACCCGCGATTTTAATTTGCGAGTCGTGTGTTTTTGCCACAGCATCACCTGACTATTTTTAAGGGACTTTGAAGGGGTATTTGAATGTCATGTCTTTCACAAATGAGCCACAAAACCAGTGCTGGTTGAGGGAGGGCTATAGTTACCTGCAAGTTGCCCACATCGATTTGGTGCCTCTCTTCCATCTCGTTCAGTTGCCTCTCGAGTGAATCCCTGGTTCCCAGCAGTGCGTCCAGCTCCGTGCTTCTCTCATTGAGCTTGTGACGATAAATCGAGAGCTCCTCCTTGGTCGATCGCAGGGCCTCGTCGTTCTGCTCCGCTGCCTCCGTGAGCTCCTTGAACTTGGACTGGAAGCGCTCTTCTGCCGCCCCCTCAACCTGCCCTTTGAGCTGAAACTTGCCGCGGATTTCACGCAGGGCTTCCGCGATGCCGGCCTCTTCGTAGTCTACCTTCTCCACCGAGACGGTGGAGGATTTGATCTGCGCCATAAGTTGGTCCATCTCCTCCTCGTGGTTCTTTTTGAGGAAAGCGATCTCATCGACTAGAGCCTGTATCTGCTTCTCATTGCTCATTCGCACCAGAGAAGCGGCGTCTATGTTCTTGCTGAACATCTTAAAGAGCTCGTCAGCATCACTGCGTAGACGAACTTCTTGACCGCATTTCTCTTCGAGCTTCTTGATATCTTCCTCCAGACGCTCCTGCTCCATCTGCACGGATGTCTTTTCTCCATTAATGTGTTCAATGAGCTCTCGGAGCTCTTTGATTTCGCACTCGTAGACATCGTTGATCCCGCTGCGGGTGGTGCCCGACTGCTTTTGTTTGAGTGCTGAGATCTGATCGTCCAGGTCTTTGTTGTTCTGCTCGAGGTCGTGTACCTTGGTAATGTAGGCCGAGAAGCGCTCGTTGAGATCCTGCAGGAGATGCTTCTCGTTGACTCGAGCTTGCATGGCGTCTCCTGTGAGCCCGCTGGGGCGGATCTGGTCAAGACTGTCTGTGTAGTTGAGAGCAGGCATGCTGTAGCCATGCACGAGGCTGCCGTAGCCCGAGCGCTCGCCTCCGAGTCTGGTTGACGAGTATGATCGGAGTCCACCAGAGAAGATGCTCTGGAGCCGCCTGCTGGAGTGAGGCGTGTCCCCGTATGTTCGTCGGGAGGAGCTGCTGATGCTTGAGCCTGCGTAGCTCATGGTGGCTGTGCTGGAGGAGGTTGCTGCAGTCCGATGCCGGCTCTTGAGCTGATGCTATCCTCCTCTGCTCATCTCGCCCCTTAAATACAGGGTTTGTGCCAAGCACAGCAGAACTTCATAGCGTGTGCCGCATCACACCTGCAGGCGCACGTGTGCAGATTGCAGCTTCAAATCATGGAAAAAAAATGCATACTCATTGCGGCCTGCCCGTCTGGCCAACTGTGCCACTCCCATGCTCCTGTTTATTGATTTGCTGTTGGCATTGGCTTTGCTCGCTGGGTGATATTGCGTGCGTCATCTCTAAAGGAGAAACTTAAACAATTTGACCTTTATAAATTATCACTGCACTTGGTACCAAAACGAACGTCAAGTCAAAAGATAATTTTCCAACTGTAATTCTAAACTTGTTTACAAATTAAACGTGTTCTGATACTGTTCTTTATTCATTTTTGACTATTGATTGAAACGAGGTATGTGCATTTTACAGGCGGTGGTTTTATTGCAAGCATATGAATAGGGTATTTAATTTTGTTACATATGTATGTTACATAATGTAATAGCACTGAGAGAAACTGTATGTGTGGGGAGTAGTTGTGTATAGTGGTTAGTGCTTTGTGCTATGATCCTAGCGACCCGATTTTAAAATTCCCGCTTGCAACCAATAAGTGGCAAATGTCTGAACTGGTCCCGGGACCTCTACCAGGTTGACTGAGCCTTGAAAATTAGTACCCAGTGCAGTGTGTAAAATATCCGCACTGGGGAGACCAAGGCAGATGGGCGTGGTGTTGGCCACCCACCACATTGTGTACTGTACCACCCTTAATACGTGCTCGCTAATAGCACTTTCCCCTACAGTCTGTTAAAGGTTGCACAGGGGATTTTTCCTATCCACATTTATTTGAAGGTTGACTTGGCATTGAAACCCAAGTGATTTGTGAATTTTAAAACGTTTTAATCATAGTCATCTTAACAGTGAAATGGTGAATATGAAAAAGCCACAGTAACATTTTGCACATGAAAAGGTTCCCATTTGGTCACATGCCATTGTTGTAAATTGAATGAATGGTTTCATAGTTAAGTCTGCATATGTCTTTGTAATTGGGAAAAGGATTAAGCTTGCTGGGGGAAAAATGTACCCACTGTGACGTTTACATTGGACATTGCTGTATGTAGCAGGTGGCATTTTTGCTATTAGTGCAATAAATTAAGAGTTTGCTGATCACTGATCACAGCCGAGCCGAGCTCATTGGCATTCTGTGTGCAGGCTGGCACTGCTGCGGGAAAATACGTGTGCGCATTGAGTGTAATCTGACCCCGCCTCGAGCCACTGAAGAAAAATGCAGTAGAATTATATTGATATGATCCATTATAGAACATATGCTATTTGAATAAATGGATGCAACCAAGGGTATCCAATGCACAGTTCTTGATCAGCATGGACAGCTAAATGGAAGGCCATGTTCACCAAAAAAGGACATGGCACACAGGGAGAGAGAGGGGGCGGTTTGTAAAAGAAAACTTGGAACCTTTATTAAATTTTTGTTGTATTGCTTATGCCTTGAATCCAGATATTTTGGTGGTGTACATGGGAATCTGAAACTTGATGTGCATGATGTACCCTCATAGCATGATGGTATGCGATGGTGTGCCTTTTTATGGGCATTACACCAAATATCGTTGTGACAAGTACATTTCTGATAGCGTGGAGGGGGTTCAGTTTCCAGGTGTTGGGGCCATTTATTTTTCAAAAATATTGTCCTCGCACCTTGGGCAGAACCCTCCTGAGTAAAGATATTGAATTGAAGGCACTAAAAGCCAAGTACGGTCTGTTCTCCAATAACCCAGCAACTGTGTTCCCGAAGAACACCGTTATGGACAAATCGCATTATAATTCATTTATAATATAGGGTAAAGCACAGTCTGTGATAACACGTGAAATGCATATGCTGGCTGAACAAAGACCAAGGCGCGTGAGTAGCATCTAGAAGAATCCTGCATCATCCCGTCTTGTGTGATGCTACGCCGAGGTAGCCGTACGACCGCTTACTCCTACTCGCGCAACGTAGTTCTGTTAACTCTATTGTGTTATATCCAATCTCGCATCCGTGTTATAGAAAAATCTGTTCCCTGTGTTTTTATCACTGTTAAATCCAATTTGCTTTGTGCAAACACGCATTATTAGGAGAACCAGACTGTATTCCCATGCCGAAACAAGCAGAAAGGGATCCGCCCTCCTTGAGCGAACGGGCCCTTCCAAGAGAATTTGCAATTGGTGTAAATTGCACGTTCCCTTGACGGGACTTGTTGCCATAAAAAGAAGCCTTAACTGAAATTTGATTTAAAGCTTTCGTGACTGCAGTAATTCATATACTTAGCTCTTTCAGTAAAGTCACGTTTAAGGGAAACAATAAAATAATAAAATATATATATAAAACAATAAAAATTCTCACGACGTTTTGACCATAACACAAACGGTCGTCATCAGGTGTCGGTTTGCATTAATTTATTTATTCTTAAACGGTGTGTTTATTTATTAAAAACCGTCAGCGCCACGCTGACGGTTTTTTCAGGTCTTAATTGATTGTTCACCATTTCAGGTCTCCCCCCTCCTCTTTTCAGAACATAGATGGACTCGTCCTTCTAAATAAACTGCCAAATCGCTGCGCGTGGCGCTGGCGGTTTTTAATAAATAAATAACCCGTTCAAAAAAATTTTAATAATGCGGACCGACACGCGTGATGACGACCGTTTGTGTTATGGTCGAATCGTCGTGAGAATTTGTATTGTTTTATATATATTATTATTTTATTGTTTCCCTTAAACGTGACTTTACCGAAAGAGCTAAGAATAAGCCTTAACTGTTCAAACTCTCTTTTTGCATTGAGCTGAAAAAAGATGAAGGGCTGAGCTAAATTCTCACATGGGATTTGAACTCTCTCATACTTACGATTTTTGACCAGTGCACTTGCCCTTCCAGCTATTGTATATCGCAAGTGAATGTAGATTTTCCGTCAGTGGCAGTAGCAGGAGTTATATATCAGGATGCGTTGAGTGCACTGTAATTATACGAGCAAGTTACTGCATCGTAATTGAGCATACTAGAGAGATTGAGATGAAAGGTGGGCTTTTGTTCGGTATTAATGGGTGAGAGTGAGGTGTGAGGAGTGGTGATTATGGTTGAGTATAAGCATTGTATGGTTTTCGTAATTTGTCACGTTTCCATTGCTCAAGTGCCTATCCTGACCAACGGTGGTGTTGTTGTTCTCTCATCTTTCAGGAGCGACGACCGAAGGAATTCCAGGTGCCCGCGCCAGCCCAACGTTCGACGTCACTGGAAAATGGTCAGGCACAGCCAGCGAGTGCTCTTCCATCCCCAACGAGCGGTGCGACTGCGCGCCACCCAGCCCCGTCACCTGCTACCAGTCCCGTGTTCTTGCCCACGTCTGCTCCGCCGGTTCCTTACCAGGGGACGTCCAAGCCGCACCCGGTATCCTCGGCGCCAGGCTCCCAACAGGCGGTGACGACGCCCAGCGGCGCCCCTCTCCCCGCCGCCGCCCCTTACACCAGCAGTGGCGAGGTGGCAGCCCCAGTCCGGGAAAGACCCCATTCGTCTTCATCGTCGGTGGTTTCAGCCTCGTCATCTCAAGGTGGCAGTGTGCCTCCGCAACAGCAGCAGCAACAGCAGCAGCAACAGCAGCGGAACACGGCACCACCCATGTCGTTCTCTGGTCGCCGCGAAGCACGCACAGAAACGCGGTGGGGGCCAAAGCCAGGCAGCGGGCGGCGCAGCAGTGCAGGCACCCAGGCCGGCACCGGTGGGAGGAAGCCGGTTTTGCGTGACATGAAGGTGGGGGAAAGGAGCGACGAAACTGATGATGGTAGGGCAGCAGGTGGCAGCCGGCAGCAGCAGCAGCAGCAGTCCTCGCATCAGCAGCAGGAACCGACGCAAAACACTAGGCAAGCATCCCAGAGCAAAGGCGGCTCGCGCAGCCGGGGCGAGAGGGACGACGCCAAGGCCGCCGACGCTGGAACAAGCGACAAGGCCAAGGGTGACGGATCTCAGGGCTCGGTCAAGGGGCAGGAGCCGATTGCACCCTCGGCACCCGGGCCGCGTGGCAGCCAGCAGTCCAAGGACTCAAGCCGGCAGAGGGATGCCTTTCCCAGTAACGACAGCCATGGCTTTCCGCAAAACCAACGACGACGGGATGGGACATGGCCGCGGGGCCGGGGGTCCGGACCCCGAGCGTTCATGGCGCCTATTGGCACAACTGGCGGGGGCACATCTAGCAGTGGCAGCGCGGAAGGGAATGCCGTGCCTAGCACCGTCTCTGGCCGGGAATACTCTGGCCGAGGTCGTGGGGGTGGTGGTGGTGGTGCTGCCAGCGCTCGTGGGGTTCGACCAACGCCTGCGTACAGAGGCGGCCGTGGTCGGCAGCGTGAGTTTCAGGCGAAATTCCCGAATCAGCAGCAGCAAGTGCAGCAGCAGCAGTACCAGCAGCAGCCCAAGGCTCGGGCAGCGCAGCAGGCGAGCTCACCGGCACGGAGCGAGGGCTCCGAGTACGAGGACCAGACGATCCGACGGAGACGGCAGCGTGGCTCGGAGAGCGAACCCGAGAGCGACAACAACAACGAGGACGACGAGGACAACGACCGCGCAAGCACGGACGCCAGCGAGGGCCCGGCCCCCGTGCCCGCTGCTGCGCCTGCTGCGCCCAGTGGTGGTGCCGGCGGTAGCAGCGGAGGTGGCGGTGGTGGGGCTAGTCGGCCTGAGGGGAGGCCTCATCCTCGCAGGGACGTGGGCTCGGGGAGGGTGGGTGAATCCAGGGGCCACCGTGCAGCCCCAGGAGCCAGGTGGGTTAATATATAGCCACGTCTCTTGCTGGTTGCTAGATGCTCGCATCACAGTGAATTAACATTCTTCAGGCTAGTTCTGTGTTTTGAGAGTGGAGCAGTGGGTCATTGGCTAACACATTGTGCCGTAGTCTCTAGGTTCGATTGCAAGTCATGTGTAGGATCAGTGTCAATTATTATCCGAACCAAATTGCTCAATCCTTATTCTTCATCGCAATCATTGCCCGCGACTGGCAGTCCAATGCCACTCTTGCAAATGAGACTATCCTGACTTAAAGCTTTCGTGACTGCAGGAATTCATATTCTTTGGGTCTTTCGGTAAAGTCGCGTAGATAAGTTCAAAGAAAATAACATATAACTACGACGTTTCGATCGCAACACAAGCGTTCTTCATCAGGAAGAGGGGGTTAGCTTCTAAAGGTAAACTGTTTATAAAGGTTTGAAATGAGCGTAGCCCAAATGTCAGCAGCCAATGTTAATGTGAGTGGTGGGCAGTGACCGCGGCGGTGGTGGGTTTTCCCACATTAACAGGTTAAATTTCTCACCCAAACACAACCACCTCGCTCGCCTCGCTCGAGGTTTTTTTTGCTTTGCGATCTTCCATTAACACGCTAATCTCTCGAATTAACATGGCCAGCTCAGGGCGCCCGCCGTGGAGGCCGCTCAACGATCCCACATCATCATGCAAATTTTTACTGGGCAGCGCTTTGATTGGTGGGAAAACCCACCACCGTCGGAACGCTGCCCACCACTCACGTTAACATTGGTTGCTGACATTTGGGCTACGCTCATTTCAAACCTTTATGAACAGTTTACCTTTAGAAGCTAACCCCCCCTCTTCCTGATGACGAACGCCTGTGTTGCGATCGAAACGTCGTGGTTTTTTGTTATTTTTGGTTATTTTCTTTGAACCTATCTACGTGACTTTACCAAAAGACCCAAAGAATGGGACTATCCTGGTTTCTTGTTCTTACCTAATCAACCAAAATTAACTTGAACCTCTTCTGGGACTCCCATAGGTCGACTAAATGAGTACCTTGTGCAGAATGTGAATATCAACCCTGGGTAGACAAAGGTGATGCTGGCCACGCAACCCCATAGGCTGCCAAGCTAAAGCTATGCATGTATTATGTTGAACTTCTTTCGCACGGTACTTAGCCAACCATGCTACTCGGAGGTGCGGGGAGAAGGACAACAAACTAACTACACAAAGCAGTTCTAAAGGAATGTGTTTTAAATTTAGAGTGCTTTGGAACGTACTCCTGTGTCCTGCAAGACGAAACAGAGGATCATTGTCGTGCGTGTTGTCTATTTGCATGGCCCCATTTTTAAGGTCTGGCCACAGAGATCACCGGTCGGAAAACACCGACATCAGGCGGGGTGACACGGACAAGCAACATGACTACGAGCGAGATGACCGGCCTCCAGCGCCTGACCGCCGACGCGACAACTTCGCTGGCTCCGGGGGAGCGGGCGGCGGCTCCGGCACGGGCGAGAGGGGCAGCGCGGCAGGGGGAGAACGCGCAGAGAGGGGAGGCGCCGTGTTCTCGGCGCGCGGGCAACCGTCTCGCCGCGGACGAGGCGCTGCGTACCTAGGGCGCGGGCGGAACGGCGCGGCCCCCCGGTCGCACGGCGGCGCGAGGGCCGGGGAGGCGGGCGAAGGGGGTGGTGGTGGCCCTGCTGAGCCTGGAGGTGCTGACAAACCCGCAGACAAGTCGCAGGTAACGTGTTTGGCACGGCTCGCGTGCGTTCATGCCAGCAAGTTTGCAACGGTATGAACGTGTTATAGAGGGTTACAAACGAGTAATTGTGTCTTTGCTCTCGTAGTGATTTTGAAATGTCACGTCACTGTGGCGTTGGTGGGTCACGTACGTGTGCATGCCTGTAATCCAGCACCGTTGGAGGCAGGTCACGATACTCCTCGAGGGCATCGAGACGGAGCCATTCCCTGGCTCGCCAGATGGAGGGGATACAGCAAAATTCGGACCATCTCCATTTGTCATTTCTGTATGGAATAATGTTGCCCCCTCAATCGTGCTGGTTTTCTCCAGGTGCTCCTGTTTCCTCCCACCTGTATGAGCACTGTTTAATTGTCTAAAATATTTGTTGGCACCAGCTCACAGCCTGGCTGCCTTCCAGCGTGTCTGGGTTTTCTCAGCATTATGAGATGAAATTTATATGAGCGATGCTATGTGAAACTAACCGTTAACCATAACTATTCATTATGTTGGGTGCCAGTCTCCAATTAGATCAGCCATTTTGAACACTTTCAAATTAAGATTGAAACCTTTAATGCATTTGCTCGGTTAACACTTGCTGTCCCCATCATGAGTTTTAAAGTGTGACTGTAAAAAAATCTTAATTTTGTTTTTTGTCTTTAAATTAAGTCTGTATAACCATTATTAACAATCCTCCATTTGAAAGGGCAAATTCTCTAAATTGATTCATGTCTTGACTTAAAGCTTTCGTGACTGCAGGAATTCATATTCTTTGGGTATTTCGGTAAAGTCACGTAGATAGGTTCAAAGAAAATAACAACGAACGCTTGTGTTGCGATCAAAACGTCGTAATTTTTTGTTATTTTCTTTGAACCTATCTACGTGACTTTACCGAAAAACCCAAATAATATGTTTCATGTCTATTTTCGCTCAGTGGCAGCCAAAGCCAGAACGGCGTTTCACTCGAGGAGGAGGAGGAGGAGGTGGCGGCGGCGGTGGTGGTGGGGGTGGCGGCGGCACCGGTGGTCCCCCATCACGGCGTGGTGGCACTGAGGGCCCACCCAGGCGCCACCAGGCCCTGGGCCACCCGCATGGCCACGCGGCGTCGTGGCAGCGGTGGCAGGATCGACCGCCGCGGTTCACGCGTCGACGCCACTCTCCCGGGTCGGCGGCGATGGCGGCAACCAGCGGCCGCGTGGATCCCTCCTCCCGCGGGCCGGCTGGCACTGCCACGTCTGGGACCGCCGTGTCGCCCGAGGGGGCGGCCATCGGTGGAGGAGGGGCGGTTGCCGGGGGGGCGACAGTTGGAGATGACGCAGCGGGCCCTCCAGGTAACAGCGTGCGACCGTGCCATTGAGGGTTGGGGTGGGTGGTTGGGGGGCGGCTCGTTTGCATTGAGGCTGAGGCATCAGTGAAGCGCACGGCGCTTGCATTGAGAGGGCCAGCTGGGAGTAAGTGGACAAGAATTCCCTGCCTCAAAATGTCTTTAGTGTATTGTTATTTACAATCAATGTGTGGGTTATTTACTGATGTATGGCTGAGATACAGCTCTTTGTAGAGCATCAGGAATCTTCGTCATGAGATGGTGAGAAAATCTCAGCCTGGATCCACTGGCTCCATCAGCTTTCCTCCTCCCCTTTCCTCTTATTGATGGATTTATTATTCTTTCCCCATCTGCATTGCTTTCCCAGTCTTCCTCTGCCTCATCATTTTAAATGCCCTCCCTTCAATTTTATTTCCCACTATCTCCGTTCCTCTTTTCACTCCCTCCGTTGCCTCCTGCTTCCTTCCTCTGCAGTCAGTAAAATGGACACCTTTTGAGGCTGCACCGATTATTTTATCGAAGTCAACAGCGGTTGTCTTTGAGTTAGTTTTCATTATACGAATGTGGATGCCACAGTTAAGAACGTTGTCCACTGCTGATTTAAGCATGGGGATTCAAGCACTTTGTGGCTTACTTTGTAGGTATGATATTAATGTCTGCTTTGCTCTACACTGTGTCGTTTGGGAATTCTCAATGGAATTTGCTGGGCAGTTCGGTTAAAATATTTTGAGTCCATGAAGCAAATGGCATATAGCATTCAGGTGTGGAGGCTGAGATGGGGTTTATTTTAACTCTGTTCTGCAGTGCTTATGGGAGCAAAGTGAGGGCAAGTGACTTTGTTGTTTAAATGATGGGCCGTCATTGGGATTAAAACCCGACCCAAGGTTATTTCCTTCTGATCCAAAAAAACTGTGAAGTGAAGATTATTGACTGAACGCTGTTAAAATGGCTCGGTGCCTTGTGTCTTTTCCAGTGACTTTAGAGGCAGGGCTGGTGGGGGATCATGCCGAGATGAAGTGCATGAAACGCCACCTTCGGGGGCAGCAAAAGTGCCTGTGATAGGCAGTACAGCCAAGGAGTTTGCCGACCAGTATGGACGTATTTTTGAGTGCATGTTATGGGTTATTTTTGTTCTTCTGTTACTCAGGTTTATTCCCAAAAGGGGGGAAAAATACATTCAAAGGAATTAACCAAACATCCCAAGTAGGAACTTTATAAGTTTCGTGTCTTAATAAGGTGTTCGTAGGGTAAGGAAATAAATTATTAGTGTTATTTGTTACATAAGAGAATTGTTAAGATAACACTGTGCTGTTTTAATTTAGTTTTTCTGCCCTGTGTTTATTTTGTGAGGACTACAACAAACGTACAGCTTGCTTCCTGTGTTTATATCACGTGTAATAACAAGCTTAAAATGGCATGCTGGGAAACTGAAACATCCCATTACTCGTTTCACTAAATTGGGAGCCAGTAGTATTACAGGCTTGTCTCGCTTAACGAGCGAGATATATGTTCTGCGGAAATTGCTCGGTTAAAGTGAACGGTCGTCGTTTTCTCATCGACTACTCCCATATTAAAAGCAGAGTTACATAACGGCCCCCAAAATCTTCCACTCTTGAACAACTTTTTTTCACATGAGAAATACAAATTACTGTAAAGTTTTAAAAGAAAGTAATTAACATCAAATTTAACACTTGTCACACGTGAGGAACCACAATGCAAGATCCCCCATATATATAGCATATGATATCACCTCGTTCCAGCCACATTTGAAATCAACACTCTCGCGCACACTCTCCACTCAGTCACACAGCCCTCTCACGCTCTGTCTCTCATGCATGCACACACACCTCCCCCCAAGACAAAGATCCCCTGTATAGCCTTAACAGACTGTTTGGTCAAGTGCTGTTAGTGAGCACCTTTTGAAGGCCGGCACCGCAGGGCGGACGAGGGGTGGGTGGCCAGCACCACACCCGGCTGGCTTTGTCCCATTCGTGGCTATGTTTACACACTCCACCAGGTACTCATTTGAGTCCGAGTCGTCCTAGGGGAGGCCCAGGACCGGTTCAGATAGTCGTTACTGGTGTTGACCATGAGTGAGAATCGAACTCGGGCCGACGGGTTCGTAGCGCTGTGCGCTTACCGTTTCGCCATCGCTCCCCACAGCCACCCATTCCGCCACCCACCCATATGGTACAGTGCCATCACGAGGCCTACACCTGCCACACCCTACCCCTCTCCTGCACCCACCTAAATTACATGGTTCACGCAGCACGGCTGCTAAGCAAATAGCTGCGGGCCGTGGTTTTCCCTCCCTGCCACCACTGGACGTATTTGATAAATCGGTCTCTGCTTGTTACGCTCACATGCAAACATTCGCTCGTTTTTCTAACGAATTGGGTCAAATTCAAATTGCTCAAATTCTCGTAAAAGAACGCTCGTTAAGCGAGACACGCCTGTAAATGTATGAATGGTATTGATCAAATTCCTTACAGCTTCCTTATTCAGTGGAAATCCACACGCTCTAAGTTTCTGTTCACTGAGATCTCACAGCACCGTTTTCGGGTATCCATACCCCATAAAAGCAACCCACGATTCGGTTAATGTCAATGAGCAACACGCATTCAGCTGTGAGGAATTTTAATCCTTACCGCGTGCTTCATTCGCATGTTACTGCTGGCTGCAATTTAGACCTATTGCCATGCTGTTGTCGTCGTCGCTTAAAATAGGGAAGTGGTGGCACGTTCGTCGTTTAAGTCGGTGAGAGTCGCTGCCATACACCAAGCACTCACACAGAACAGACTGGAACATATAACGACTCTGCCAGATTCACCCGTGCGAAGGTGGCATCATCGCAGCGATACCACTCCGCTACTCCTTACACAATCAAATGGCTCTCAACCGCCTCTGTAAAATTCCACTTGTTGCTCTACATCTACATCAATCAGCCTTATGGAAAAGAAGACCAAGAATAATTGCTCTTGTGTATAAGCCTCATAACGACGACTCCTCTGTGTACCTTGCATGCTCCACCAATCCGGATAAGAATGCTCGCCTGTCAACTCGCCACTTATAATAACAAAAGCACGAGGCAATTAAATAATTTGTGACTTTCCGTTATGCATTTCATTGTTCTACAAAGCAAGCAATTGACTGACAAAAGTGTAGCTTTTCTTTGAAGCAGCATGACACCTGCTTCGTTGTTTTATAGTCCTTTTAAAACATTTTAAAGGAATTTTGTAACAAAAGTTAAGCTTGCGGAGGCTCTGGCAGCTGACGGAAGATTTGGCGTTCCAACATGCACCCTTTCGGGTCTGCTTTGTAGGTTATGTCTGACCTTGCTGTTGTACATAACTGTACATGACACCCGTTTTACAAAATAAACATGTGCTACATTATATTCTTGGTTCTTTCGGTAAAGTCACGTAGAAGGGAAACAATAAAATAATAAAACGATGAAATTCTCACGACGTTTAGACTGCAACACAAGCAATGGTCATCAGGTGTGAAAAACATAGCAAGAAAATTTGAAAAAAGTGTGCTACATTGTTAACTGTCTTCTTAGTAACTGTCAAGTGAAAGGATTTTAAGATACAGAAAATCAGTAGTATTTTTTTTTTATGCTGAGGAATGTGTTTACAGATTGTGGTCAGGAAATATTTTATGTTTGTGACAAAAAAGTGCATGCGTGTGATGCTGGAATAAAATCCCTAATTCAAAGAGGTCGCCGCGTGACTTGGGTGAATCTTGATGCCCTTGTCTGAGCACTAAACCAACACCTTTGGGAGTCCTGGGTTTGAATCTGGGCAAGAACCTGTGATTAAACCGGGCTCTCAAGTGTTTGCAAGTTGATGTGTCTCAGCCCGGTCACTCATGACTTATCTTTGCCGTGGGAGGTACATTGATAATTATACTGAAGAGCAGCAAAATAATTTCCTGCACGGCACGAATGAGCACATGTCGTGATAATTAACATCAGTGTAATAGAGATTTCAAATGCATAACAGGTAACACGGTAAGCCCATTTTACACCGCATGGGGGAAACACTCAGAGGTCTATTGAGGAAAATGCTTGTGAAAGCATTTTGGTATTTTCTTTCAGCGCTTTTTCCATAAATAGGATCACGAACCTGAGGTTCTGCGTTCACAAGTTTGAATAATGCTCTAAATATAGTTTAATACTCTAGCTGTGCCTAAAACTGTCTGCAGCTCTCTCCAAGATGCAGAAGAAACAACGAGGCTCATAGATAGTGGGTGGGGGAAGTAAGTTGAAAAAGAGCCTCGTACCTCATCGGATTCCTCCAGTATAAATAGTCATTCTGATTACGAAGGTGGCAACAGTGAGACACAGTGCCCACCTCAACAACTCTCTCTAACGGGATTTGATAGTTGAGATTAATTAAGTGACCAGTGAGTAGTGGCATGGACCAGAGAAACAAGTTTTTACCAAGGTACAACATCTTATTTATTGCCTTGGTTCCTTGACGACAAGGTTATGTCGGTTATAACAAAATCCACATCTATATATATGGTCCCCATTAAAAAAATGCAGAAAAAGTTTAAAGGTGTCTATGTTTAATAAATGTATGTTGCATGTTGAACTTATTTCGCACCATACGTAGCCAGCTGTGCTAATCGGAGGTGCGGGGAAGGACGACAAACTAAACACAAAAAGCAGTTATAAGGAAATGAGTTTTTAGTCTAAGAAATGCGTATTCAATCTAAATAAGCGTTTGACAGTATGGTCACCTCTATTGTTGGCACTGGGCCAGAAGTGGAATTTTCCCATTAGTCTGTCAGAAAAAGCAGTTTACGTTTTTACAGATTGGAAATTATTCACGAGCACAGAGGGGCGAAGGGGAAAAGTAAAACCATCAAAGGGGATTTGAACTCGCAACCATCTGGTTGTGAATTGCACACTTTGAGCCCCACGACAACACCTCAACAGTTCTTCCAGAAAAAGAACAAGGGAAACAAAGTAAAATATGAAAAATAATTCAAGGGAAATGGTGTTTTAAGATTGAATCTGCTTGTTTGATGTTGTGCTTGTATATGACTCAGTTGGGGGAGCGGTAGTGTAATGGCTATTGTGCTGCGCTATAGACCCGGCAACCCCAAGTTCAATTCCCACTTATGACTAATAACAATGGTCAATATTTGAATTGGTTCTGGGCCTCCCCTAGGTCGACTCGTCCTTAAATGAGTACATGGTGTGCTGTTTAAAAATCAACACTGGGGAAACGACTGCCGGGCGTGGTGCTGCCCCCCCCCACCCCCTTGTGTGCTGTGCCCTAAGTACGCACTACCAGCACTTGCACCAAAGTCTGAAAGGCAATACGGGGAACGTTATTGTAAAACGGTGAAGGACTCTCTTTATCCCTCACGTAGCATTGTATTTTCCGATTTCACAACTCCCATTGGAACCTACCTCTGATTGTACATAACCATAGTCTTTTGCCAACATATTCCCTGCCTGCGCATTCCTCGCTAAACCAGCATGTGTTGGATTCACTTGAGATTAGACTCAAATCTCTGAGCTCTGTTGATCAACGGAGACTTTGAATATGCTCAATGTATTTTTTATCCCAAAAAAATTGAAAGATTAAGAAAGGTGGACTGGAACTCATTTTGTGCGGCAATGCACAATGCTACCTGATGATTATTATGCGGTGCACGTACACGATGTGATCCTGTCACTGCTAGGGCCAGCCACAAGCTGCAGAATTTTAGCTGCACTACTTTAGGTACAGATGGCTTGGAGCCCTGGGACTACCTCTTAACCTCAGGCTTGTGGGCACACTCACGAGTGGTGAACGTGCATGGACAGCCGTGGTGGGGGGGGGGGGGGTCCACCCAGGGAGGCTGGTGAGACCACACCATCACCGGGGAGGAGTGGACAGCCACACCCAGTGGAATCCAAAGACGATGAATGACAACCTCGCATACAGTCCTGTGTATGTGGAGGGAGAAAGGTATATTTCCTAATAAGACCGATTTAATTGTATTGGTCTGACAAATTTACATTCAGAAATGTATCCTTAATGGGAGTGAAATGGGAACTGTGATGTGGATTGAAGCCTGAATGGCATAAAGTTGAGGATAGAAGATTCGGGCTATGCAGCCATGCTAAAGCTAATAGATTTGCAGACCACTGACCTTTAGCTATCTTAGCACAAACGAGCTGCATGAAATGCTGAACATTCTAAAACAGCTGCAACAGAACAAGGGTTGAAGATCAATATCGAGAAAACCAAAGTGATATATATATAAGATTAAGAGGTTCGTCAATATTGACGTCAGAATAATGATGCAGCACGTCAAAATGAGGCCAGGTGATAAAATGCATTGGGAGCATTACAGCTGAGGATGACGGGGGTTTAGAAGATCTAAGGACAAGAACTGGCAGTGCATAAACTTATTGGACAAGTATATTGTGAATTTAATTGGTGAAATGCTCAGAAAGAACACACCGATAACATTTGTTGGGAGCAGTAACAAACATTTTATGAATATGTAGCTTATGTTGAACTTCGCACCGTACGTAGCCAACCGTGCTAGTCAGAGGTGCAGGGGAAGGACCAAATCCAAAAGCAGTTCTAAAGGAATTAGATTTCAATGTAGATTTAAAAGTGCACAGCTCCCAGTGGCTTTGTAATATTGGAAGGAAGAGCGTTGCAGACGGCCACAGAATGAATGTGCCATTGAATTAAAGAAAACTCAACAGGACCTAAAGAAACAAGTACGTGTGTTCCGAAAACAGTAAGTGAAACGCCACACACATAAAGATGGTTAATTTAATTAATGGTGATAATAATGGCTTTCTCAAGCGCCGAAACATTGGAAGGCATTTCAACACCCACAGGAGCAAGCTCACTGGCTCGGCACCGAAGAAAACGGCGTTGCATTGTAAACACTTGGAAACCCTCGTGTAAGACGGCCGTCCCGGAGGTAACATGTGCAGCGTTGGAAGAGGCCCAGAAGATGCCAGGTTGTGGATGTCGCGTGACCTTGTGTTTAGTGTTGACCTTGGGAAACGTGGACGACCGAAGGGGAAGAATGAAACCCACGAAAAAATATTTACTTCATCCATTTTCCTGCAGTGTTCTTAGGAGGACTCGGTGATAGTTTTGGATCGTGAATGTTCATTTTGGATGAAGCAAAAGATAAATAATATAATGATCTCTTCTGCTTCGGATACATTTGAAGTGTGCAGATACGACACAGGGTTGTTTGGACAATTAGCTCAATGCTTTGTAGTGTCCATCGGCCACCAGTCTCGTCATATTTTCAGTATAAAGTTATACTTGTCTTTTCTCTAAACTCACTTGAACAGCTTTTGTGGTTATAAAATCGTATTTCATTATACGGTATTGTACAGAATACACTTAACCCTTTCCCGTTCCGAGACATCTGCAAGTTGCAGGGTGGGTCCCGTTCACCGCTGAATCTCAGAACTCGCAATCGTTTGGCGTTAATTTGATGTAGACTCATAGCGCCGCTGTTTTTAAAGACGTACTCACCGCAGAGAATTGTAGTGTCACGACCACACTGATAGCTGGCGCCAAACTGCCACGGCCCTCCCATATGGTCTTGTGGGAGCCTCTATATGTTTTCTGACTTGCAGATGTTACGGTAAAGTTATTTTAGGTTTTCCTCCGATTCTGGGAACGGGTTTATGATTCCTTATCTACATGGCACATTTGGCGATTCTAATCAATCCTGACAGCCGTGAACCAAAATGTAGAGAAAAAAAATCCAGATTTCATTGATGGAGAGCACTCTTAATATTACACCCACTACTAACTTTCCACAGAGGGATGAAGGGCTGACATGACCCCTGACTGAGATTGTAACGTGATCTTCCGATTGTGAGTCGAGCACTCCAAGCCACATCACTACCCAGCCAACATGGACCCTATTTAGCCTGTGTTCAAACTCATCACTAGTTTCTTGCTGAAACGTACTGGGGCACAATAGCATTCAGAGTTTATAAAATCTAAATTGTAATTCTATTGAAGGCAATTAAAAAAATTAGTTGGTTTCTGTGTGCCACAATTGTATGTGTTTTGTGGCTTGTGATAGTATCACGGTGATGATGCATCGCTGCGTATCCCATTGTGGAATGCGCTCACTACAATTATTATTTTGAAAGACAATAGTTGAATTTCCACCACAGTTGCCCAATAATTCCTCCTGTGCATTACTATCAAAGTGAATGCCACATCGTGTCCATAGTCATTGAAGGCACAGAAAATGCACGGTTATGCGTGTTTGGGGCGTGGTGGAGCGGAGCCGGGCGGCTAAAACAGCAACTTGGCACAGTAGGGGGCACAGGTGGTGCATCGGCCAGTCGTCTCAGTCAGGTGACCTATGGCACCCGAGTCTGCCCCGTGACCTGCCAGCAAGCGTTCGACACTTCACGTAGCCTTTACGTGCACACAGCCTGGCACAAACGCCGTGGTGACGTCACCGCCACTTATTGCCGAATAGCGGTTGTTGGTGCAAGTGTAAAGCACAGCGCACTGTCATCCTGAACACTTGTGTTTGGATTCTGCTCATTGTCAGCTTCAGTGGCACGTGAAATCTAAACCATTATTGGACCTCTCTTAGGTTGACTGCTTTTAAACGAGTGCCTGGTACTCGGATTGTAAATGTTTTGGATTTGCTCTCCAACACACCGGTGTGCTGTACCAATAACGAATTGGCATGTTCTGTTTACGTGACAAACCTTACTAATTGGCTGTGTCGGGTGGTGGCGGGTTTACCGACACATTTTATACTTACGCGATCTAACCAAAAACACTTGCATGATATCTCGTACTGTAAGCGAACACCAGCAGTGGGGAGACGAGGGCAATACGGCGTGGTGTTGTGACCACACTTCCTCCTGTGTCATGTCGGCCTTAACAGTCACACACTAAAAGCACTTTTTCCCCTGCAGTCTTCACGCCTGCACAGAAGACCTATGTCTACGTTTGTATGCGTCTGGGTACATGTGTGTGCCTCTGTTTCCTCCCGTCTCTGCGTGTTAATGTGCATCCAGGTGGGGGAGCCCGCTCCCCCGAACCGTCCGACCTAGCTAACGAGGAGTGGGAGACGGCTTCAGAGAGCAGTGACTTCACAGAGAGAGAGCGCAAGATCCGCACTCGAGACATGCACCCCAGGTACAATGGAGTGCCACGTGTTCGGTTGGATCGGTGGGCTCGCGGTACATGCGTCAGCACTGAGATCTGAGATGGCATCACTTGAGTATCTAGGGTCTTATTCTTAGCTCTTTCGGTAAAGTCACGTTGAAGGGAAACAATAAAATAATAAAATATATATAAAACAATAAAAATTCTCACGATGTTTCGACCATAACACAAACGGTCGTTATCAGGTGTGATGACGACCGTTTGTGTTATGGTCGAAACATTGTGAGAATTTTTATTGTTTTATATATATTTTATTATTTTTTTGTTTCCCTTCAACGTGACTTTACCGAAAGAGCTAAGATTATGAATTACTGCAGTCACGAAAACTTTAAATCAATTTTATCTAGGGTCTATTTACATTTTATTTCACGAGGTAAGGCCCACTGAGCTATAGCTCTTTTTCAGAAGCGACCTGGCCACAAATGATAGCTCAGCAATGTGGTTTATCAATCAAAATTTATCGCAGGCAAATACTCTTAAACGCATGTTTCTAAATGTGGAGGGAAAAAAATGTAGGTGACGACAGGGTTGGGATCAAACCCACGTCCTTTTTCCTACGTGAGGCAGATAACATTTTGCCAACGGGTTGTGCCCTTTTTAAAGCGTATTTCAGACACCCGGGGGTTAAACTCATGTTCATGTGTAGACCTTGCCATTTCAGCTCGGGTGATTGTATTGCTGGAACTCCCCCATTAAATATATTTTGTCACTTCAACAAAGATGTACCAAATGGCCTCAAATGAGCATGGAGCATTGATAATCTCCTTTAGGAGCAATAAGTAAGGGATGGAAATTCCACATTCCTGTGGCAGGACACGGTCTCCATGGCAGCGTCCACTCAGTCTTGCACAATTGTTTCACTCTTATTGCTGGTCCTCTGCTTTTCCCTTCACGCCCTCTCCAACTGCCCCCCCCCCCTCCCATAGGGGTCCAGACTCCTCGAGTGGCGATGGCAGTGGTGGTGGCGGAGGCAGTGGAGGAGTAACCGGTGGCGGTGGGGGCGGTGGAGGAGCAGGTGGGGGCGGCGGGGGCGGTCGCGGGGCCGCTCCCCCTCCCGGAGGCCCTGCCCAGGGTTCATCTCGCCGGGCACTGGGGGGCGGCCCTCGGGGAGGAGAGCGGGAGAGGACAAATCGACGGCTGGCGGGGGGCGGGAGGGGGGACCGGGTGAGCGCGATGGCACACCGAGCCAAGAAGGGGTACGTGGCCGGCTGACAACGCTACACACCAAGACAAAGATCCCCCATATAGCCTTAACAGACTGTAGGGGCAAGTGCTGTTAGCGAGCACCTATGAAGGCCGGAACGGTACACGAGGGGGTGGGTGGCCAGCACCACGCCCGACCGCCTTTGTCTCCCCAGTGGCACACATACCCACCCCCCGTGTAGTTCCATGCGAGTTGTCACGGCGACATCACTGCCCGGGCGCTCGGCAGTGCGCATCGCTGCCCCCGCACCGCTGAGCCGACACGATTCATCATCCTCATCGTCACGGTTCATGGGCATTTCGTCATTTGTTTTTACTTTCCTTTGTCTTGTGCTTATATGCTCAAATAGTGCACATCTTTTTGGCACCAATCTCTTATGTCGTCGTCAAACCATTCTCCGTTGCGTCTTCATCTCTTTCCAGTTCCTTCCATTCAGAATAAAGTACAAATTTTTCCTCTGTTGTCCATCCTGCACGTGTCCAAATAGTACCAGTTTCATTCTCACCACGACCTGCATCAGGTCTTCTTTGTGCAATGTTTTATTTACATTATTTTGCTGATTTACATTTCCACATGAATGCACTATCATTCATGATAGCGGGCCTTTTCTGAAAAAGAAGCTAATAGCTCAGTGGGCTTTACTTGGTCAGATAAAACATAGCTTAGTTTTAGTTGTATCTATATTTTATTGTTTTATATTTTTATAATTTTATTGTTTCCCTTCTACGTGGTGACTTTACCGAAAGAACCAAGAATATGAATCCCTGCAGTCACGAAAGCTTTAAATCAAAATTTTGTTTTAGTTGTGTGTTTTTTTTTCAAAGTTATTTGTTTGCCTTTCCTATACTTTTCACTCCTATCTTGTTTGTGTACAGTTGTAATATGGACATCTGTGAAAAAGAGCTTTATAGCTCAACTGATTCCTCCAGTATAAATAAATATTCTGATTCCGATTCATATGAGCTTAAGCAAACACCACGACAAATGCACACAGTTCCGCATGAGCGTTATTGGTGTGTATCCCCTCCCCTTTTAGACGCCACGATGACAAGATGTTAACCACCTCGCCGAGTATACAGGAGGTAATGGGTTCGATCCCGACCCTGACGCCTGTATATTTGGAGTTTGCATGTTCTCCCCATAGTCGTGTCGATTTTTTTCTGGGTCCGCCACTTTTTTTCCCCTCCACATTTAGAATCAACATGCATTCAGGGTATTTAGCTACTGCTATACATTTCCACGCGCTAATCTGCTTAATTGAGCTATCATTGGTGGCCAGTTCACTCCTGAAAAAGAGAAATGGCTCTGTGGGCCTTACCCTAGGAACATAAAAAAGTAGTTGAAGCAGTTTTGGGATTGCTTTTGGCATTGTGCTCGCCGGCGGCGCATGCCCTCCTTTTGAGAATGAACGGGGGAAGACACCTCTCTTCTCGGGTTTCTTGTTGGTCGCGTGTGTGCAGAGTGCCAGAGCGCATCGCCAGCGCCGCAGGGGGTGGCGGCGGCGGTCCCCCATCGGAGCCCCCCCCAGACCCCCAACAGGCTCAGGCCAAGAGGCAGGAGTCGGAGGCCAAGAAGGCCAAGGAGAAGGCGGACGCCATCTCACAGTTCGACCTCAACAACTACGCCAGTGAGTGTCGCGGTGGGCGAGGCGCGCTCGTAGCTGCGAGGCTCCCGGTGGAAACTTGCCGAATGGCGTTCTCGTTTAGAGCACTCGGCTCTTAACCCGTTCCAGTTCCGATGACCCACGTGTACGTCACTGGAATTGAAACGGAAGAAACCTTTTTATATCGATTACCAAGGCTCCCCCACAAGGTCATGCAGGAGGGCGTCTGGCACAGTTTGGCACCAGCTATCGTAGAGTGCGGTCGTGTCACGATGGTTCTCTGTGGTGTGAGTACAATATCTTTAAAAACAACGGCGCTAAGCGTAAATTTTATTTAGAGAGGCCAACTGCTTGCGCGTTCCGAGATTCGGCGGTGAACGGGACCCACCCTGCAACTTGCAGACGTGTCGGAACGGGAAACGGTTGAATAAGTACTTGACGGAGAGACAAAGGCAGCTGGGAGTGGTGCTGACCACACAAACCTCCTTGTGTAGCGTGCATGCCTATGTAGTGTTTATAATGACGAATAAACTTCTTATGAGGCACACTCTGTTTATTGTAATACTTCTCTTTACACAGTCCTTAACACACAGAGGGGTTATACGATCCCCTCACCCGATACCCTTCGAAGGTACAGCCTCCGGACTTAGCGTGACCTACACACAGGTCTCTTGCTAACCTAAGAAGGTACAGCCTCCGGACTTAGCGTGACCTACACACAGGTCTCTTCCTAACCTAAGGAGGTACAGCCTCCTATCTTGGCGGGACTTACTCGCACGTCTACCGCTATCCTAGAGTCCTCCGGCTGGGACCTAGGGGAGGCTATCTGACCCACCGCTGGCCCAGCGGGTCTTGACCACTGGGTACGCCGAGCCTTAGCCCCTCAGAAGGGCTGGAAGGCTGGGTCCAGGGTCCTGGCTATCTTCAGCCCGGGCTTCGGTCTTCATGTAGGGAGATAACTCACCCTTCTTATACCCGTTTGTGGCCAGGTGTAACCCATCCCACATTCCCACGTGGAACTGTCTGATTGGTTCTTACCAAACTGTGGCTACGATCCACTTCGCCTCTTCTGACCCCAACCGTTATGTACACACAGGTAACGCTGCACTGCCCCTTTGATACCTAGTGGCAATGCAGGTTACCGAAGAGTGAGTAGTTAACACCTTTTACACCTTGATAGATGCTTGCAAAACAGCATTTTCCTGTACGGTCTATGATGGTTGATGTGTGTGTGCGCGTTCACACCTGCCTGTTGTGTGCGTGCCTGGTGTGTGCGCGTGTGTGCATGCCCGCAGGCGTGGTGATCATCGACGATCACCCCCTGCTGAGCATGGAGGAGGCGGAGGACCCGCAGAGCGCGGGCGCCGGCTTCACTCAGGTTCTGTCCAAGCGACAGAAGCGTCTCCAGGACAAGAAGGAGGAGCCCATCGCTCCGGTAGAGCATTCCGCGACGCCATGCGGCATGACTTGCCCTCCCCCCAGCCCCCCTTGCCTCGTGTATGCCACTCCTCTTATCCCCACCACATTTTTTTTATGGAATCTTTTTTTTTTTTTAGAACCTTTTTTTTAATTAAACGTGAGCCCGGTACAAAGCGCGAGTGACAGGGAGAGGGGATGGGGGGTGGGGGGTACAGATATTCCGCAGACGACAAATCCCGACGCCAGGTGCCCACGGGGTCGGGGGGAGTGGTGGAGGGTGGTTGGGCGCGCACTGCCCCACTACTCGCATAGTAAGGGAAAAGCGTAACAATCACTCCGTCAGAGTGATTGTTAAGCGTTTCTGCTTGACGTTTTGGATGGTTTGCGTTGACCTGCTGGTTAAGTAAGGGCGCTTACGGCCACGTCAGATCACTAAGATGGCACCGCTGAAATATTCGGTTCAGTCCAGGTTCCAGCCGCCCGTTGTTAATACCAAGGGCACACGTTGTGCCCTCTTACCCTGATTGCACGTTTTCTCTGCCGCGCAGCGCCATCTGCAGCAGAAAATAAAGGCATGTACTGGTGTCAGCATCTGACTGCACAAAGAAGCCAGCTTGATCAATTGGACTGGCGTCCATAAGAGTTGTGTTTGGGTTAGATCGCGTAAATATAAATGTGTCGTTAAACCCGCCACCACTCGACGCATGCAATTAGTAAATTTTGTCGCGTAAACAAAATAATTCGAGTGATGTTTCGCCGGTAATTACAACCAGCACCATCAGGTGACAGCCAGAAGTGTGGAAAGATCCTCCGTGTTAAAATAACTTGGTGTATTCTACCCGCGAGGCCAAGGAAAAATGTATTTGGCTGCCCATTCGATTAACACTCTTTGAAGGCATATAATTAGGTGCTTCACCTGGTGTGGATAAGAGGCGAATTGAAGAGATTCCAGAAATAGGTCTGCTATATCACTAACTTGGGCCGTTATTTCACACAATGGGAAAGTTCCGAATAGAGATTTGTCTCGTGTTAGGAATCTGATAGAACAATTAGGATGTTATTGTGGGGAAAATGCTAGTTTGTGGTCTGCCTCAATCTTAACCATCATGGTGGGTTCCACTTGTGATGGTTAGCTAAATCCTTCCTGTACGTGGGAGGAAACCAGAAAGTGCCTTGTTAAAAAACACCCGTGTATGAGGAGATGATGGCACTCAACCTAGAACAGATATGATTACCACCTATTTGCCTTCCTGTAAACTTCTGTGGGCACCTCAATTAGAATTATGCAACCGAACGATATTTTTCGGGGACGGACACGGAAAAAGTTGCACTCTTTACTTTCACACAGTTCGCTGATGTCGATGACGCCGACGATCATGATGTCTAATCCCTGCCCTCTGTTCACTCAGCAGGTGGCGACCAAGGGCCGCCCCGAGAAGGAAAAAAATCGCAACAGCAATAAGCTGCCGCCTCGCCTGGCTAAAAAGCAACAGCAGCAGACGCAGCAGCAGCAGCAGGCTGCACAGCAACAGCAAGGGCAGCAGCCAGCCCAGCAGTTGGGAATTCAGCTGCAACAACAGCAACAGCAGCAGCTCCCAGCCCCTGCACAACAGCCAAACTTGCAGCAACTCGGTCAACAGCAGCAGCAGCAGCAGCAGTCACAACCTCAACAACAACAACAGCAGCAGCAGCAGCAGGGCAAAGTGCAAGAGTTTGGAATGAACGGAGCGAGTGATGTTGGAGCAGCTGTGGCTGTTCCCAGCAATGGAGCGCAGGCAGACGTTGGAAAGAGAGGTTTGTTGGGGTGGGAGGAGGTGAAAAACATGCTCAAATAGTGAAGGATTATGGGAAATGTCCTCATCGATTGTAATTCTCATTGGAAGGCATGTTACGGTAATTGTAAAACAGTTGGATTTTCACAGAGCGTTCGTCTTATTTCATAATGCTTTGAAACATAAACGTTCAGGTGAACGTTGAGCCCCTCATCAACCTGGTTGAGTGTGGGCTCATGCAGTTGGATAATTCTGCTGAATCATAATAGAGCTATGATAATTACCAGAAGTATATCATAGATGGAAACAAATGATGTTATTTCGAGTGTCGTAGCTTTATTGATTGTCGGATGAATCCCAAGTTTCTGCTACAATACTGTGTAATGGGATTAACAATGAGTTGCAAATAAGTAAACCGGCCTTAAATGAATACCTGATGTGATGTGTAAACAGCAGCACTGGGAAGACTAACACTGCCAGACGTGGTGCTGGCCATCGACCCCCTCGTGTGCCATGCTGGCCTTCATAGCTGCTGCTCGCGAACAGCACTTTCCCCAACAGTCTTTTAAGTCTATACGGGGGGATCTTTTTCTGTGTCTTTATACACATCTTGTGTGTCGGTCTGTGACTTAGAGTGTGCTTTTGTGTCTTTGTGTTTTTCGCGTCTGCGCTTTAACTTTGTGTCCTCTCTCGGCGTGCGCGTTGCAGTTGGGCCTCTGATCGCAGCGCCCGTGCCGCCTCCTGTGAATGCGTGGAACAAGCCCCTGACGGCACGAGCCGGCTCCACGGAGGTGAGCCTCTCCCCCACTCGCACTGTGGGGCGACACGCACAGCACGCTCGCTCACACCCGCGATCATGGACGTGAAGACGCGCACGCACACTCGCGCACACACACACACACACGTGTATACACTCGCACACGTGGATAAGGTAAAGATCCCACCCTGTAGCCTTAAACAGACTGTTGGGGCAAGTGCTGTTTGCGACTACCTATGAAGGCCGGCACGACACCCAAGGCCAGCAACGCACAGGGACAAAGATAAAGACAAAGGTCCCCAATATAGCCTGTAGCAGACTATTTGGACAAGTGGTGTTATCGGACACCTATATGAAGGCGGGCATGGCACAATGGGGTGGGTGGCTAACACCACTCCTAACTGCTTTTGTCTCCCCAGTGGTGATGTTTACCCACCACATTAGGTACCCATTTAAGGTTGAGTCTACCTCGGGGAGGCCCTGTACCGGTTCAGATATTGGCCACTGTTATTGGTCGTCGATGAGAATTTAACTCGGGTCGCCGGTTTTAAAGTGCAATGCGCTATCCGCCATACACTACTACTCTCCAAATGCATGCACGCACGAGACACACGCTCACCATAACTTGCACAAAACGTGTACACCTGGACAGTCACAAACATGCATGTGCACACACGATGGGCATTCGCTCCTGCCCACAGATAGCTGGGCTGAGCCACGTGGTGAGAGTTGGTGCCCAGAGCCAACTATTATCATGTACAGTGAGGGGGCCCATCTATCACCCTAAACAGATGGCCTCGGCTCACAAGTGGGCACCAGTTGTGGCCGCTTGCTCCTCACGCCAAACGCTTTCAATAACATTTCTCCTAGTTTTGAGTATTGTCGTTAAGTATTGTCGAGTCACGAAAGCCGAAGCCAGTCATCACAACTCCTCATCAGGATGGTTCTGCTCAGGATATCTGGCCAACTGTTATTTTCATTGTTTAAAATGTGGGCAAGGGAAACACGGATATTGGAGGAAACACTCAAATTCTGCACAAACTGAATTTTTAAAGCGTCCTTACATTACTGCCTTCGTGTGCAGGAGTTGACGGTCTTTTGTGCCCGTGTGAATGTCTCACAGCTGGCCCCAGGCAAGGCGGAGGGAGGCACGGAACCCGCGCGGGAGGATGCCGTGGCGGTCTCTAGCCCCGCCATCCAGCAGACCTCTGCCCAGCAGGTCCCTGGTCCCGCCCACCAGGCCGTCACAACCTCCGCCCTGCTCGCCCCAAGCTCCGCCCAGCAAACTCCGTCGGGCTCAGCTCACGCTCCCAGCTCTGCGTACCAAGTCGTGGGGTCCACTCACCTGGTGTCGGGCTCTGCGCCCCACCCCAGCGTAAGCTCGAGCCACATCGCTGGGCCCGCCCATGCGGAGGTGCCTCCGGGCGGTGTGGAGGCAGTCGGAGGAGGTGCCGCAGGAGCCGAGCCCAAGGAGCAGAGAGCGCGGTCGTCCCGGGCCCAGCGCGAGCCGGTACGGAGCCAGGACTTTTGCCGTCCGCATTATGTGCAGGTCCCGCACAAAGCCATAGCTGCACTGAGCTGGGGAGCCGAGTCTATCTGTGAACTACTGGACATCTGTGATAAGGAACTTTATGGCTCATCGGATTCCTCCAGTATATATAGATATTCTGATTCTTAAGCTGAGAGTCCCAGTAGGCAGGCCATCCCTGCCAATAATGCCTACCGCCTACACAAAGTGTACCGGTTCTTTCTCATATGCCGTGCCTCTTGTTCAGCAGACAAGGTTACATTGAGAACGTGCATTTTAAACACGTCACCTGCTTGTGTATGTGTGCCTCCTGCTGGTGTATGTGTGTCCCATGTGCTTGTGCGCACATGTTTTACTCGTGCACAATTGCTGTATATGTATGCTCATGTCCCATGTGCGTGTTCATTTGTATGACACCGTTGTATGTTTGTGTGTGTGCGCGCTTCCATTGTAGGTCTCGCGTCCCCATCCCCCTACACGTCTGTGGTCATCGATCGAGTGTCCTTTGCACTCGTGTGTACCAGGTTGACACATGAATCCTGTGTGTGGTGCGCTTGTTTCTTGTAGGTTCGCGAGACTGCAAGCGATCGTGCTGATCCTACGCCAGGCCCCGTGGGGAAGGAGCGCTCGCTGAGGCAGAGGAGGGATGACACCCCGACGGGTGAGGCTACACGCGTGATCAGGCGTGATCTCACACACACACACACACGTACGCCGCACGCACTGAAGGCTCAATACACTTAGGAGAGAGGATGATCCGTTCGTTACGACTGCATTTTTAGTGGTTGTGCTGTAACAGGTGTCTGATGTATTTTCGGGTTGTGCTGCACCTCGTTCAGCGCGATGTCTGACGTTTCACCCCACATGCTCAGAGCTTCCTCCGGAACTGAACTGGCTTTGGACTTAATGTGAAAAAACAAACGAAAAACCGCAAACCACATCGGAGAGCGGATCTGTCCATTGTTAACGTCCTGATGAATACCTTCAGGATTCTTCATACTGGGGATTCGTGGCACTTCAGTGAGACCAACTCCACCAAATTAAGGCAGCAACCACCAAAGTCTGAGTGATCGGTGCTGTTTCAGCAGCATCAATCTAGCCCCGTTCATTATTTCCGGTCTACTTGTTAGATTCTCACTATTTCCCAAAGAAGGCCTCTAAGCTAGAATGGTGGCGTGTTATCTCTCGAAATTAACTTGCTATATAAAGGATCGCGGAAACATGCACACACATATACACACACACAGATGATCCTTGAGCAGTGCTATATACTGTTGGCGGAAAGTGCTGTTAGCAAGCATTTATTCCGTCCTGCACGGCACAAGAAGGCGTTTGTCTGGTCATTGCCACACTTATTTGACTTTATTTCCCCTCTCATGCTCATGTGTACACACAACAATGGATAATCGTAAAAAACGGAGTCGACTTTGGGGAAACCCAGGTCAGGTTCAGATGCCCCTTGCTTCTGTTTTCACTGCAAATAGAACCCAGGTCGCTTAGATTTATTTGTACATTGAGAAAACCCACTGCAGGCCCTCTCCCCCTTGCTCCACATACACACATGCACGTATCTCATCTATACTACGTACCTGCGCCAGGAAGCAAACTTATGATTTTCAATGTAAAGTAAAAGCTTCTTGATGTCTGGTCCGCCCTAGCCTATCTGTCTCTCCACCATCTAAAGAATTGTACAGCATTTACTTTTTAAAATATCTTATTTCTCACTTAATCTATTGTTTTCGTAGACAATGCCATTATCGACATTTCCGTCATTAACGCTGCACAACCCTCCTATGGGTGGTGGAGAGTAAATTGTAATAATTTTGCCCTAAAACTGCCATGTTGCTTCCCCCGGAGAACAAATGTGTATCATGCCTTTTTTTCTATTTTACTAATCAAATTAAGTTAATTGGCTCATAACTCCATCCAGCAACTCTTGTTGTCGCCAGCACAGATGGTCATTCAGCGGTAAAGTTCAGTCACAACTGCCGTGTCCACATCGAAGACGGTTCTTTCTCCGATTGTCTCTCAAAGCAAAAACATAGCTGAGGCCACACGGCGCAATCGGGCAGCGCGATCACGTTTCCTGCGGGCCACTGCAGCCAAGGCTTTTCGTTCTTGGGGCGTGACGCAGGCTGCGCTATGCGTGTCTCTGCAGCAGCAGTAGCAGCAGCTGGTGGTGGTGGCGGCAGCACCACTGGTGCTGGCAACAACGGTGTCGCTGGGGGAGTGGTGCTGGGTGACAAGATAAGCCCGGTCGCCGTCGGAGCGGAGACTGTGAGCGTCGCGCTGTCCGGGGTTGAAGCACCCGAGTTTGTTCCCGCCCAGGCACGGTGTTCATCGGAGGAGCGTCGGCAGCATGGCCACGCTGCCATTAAGGTAAACGGGCACGTCAAGCCCTCTTGTCTCCTTCCTTAGGGGGTGGCGCTTGTATTCATCGTGACCTTCGGTCACAGCTAGATATGTAAAAAAATGTCCAGCCCATTGCCAGACACTTCTTCTGATTTAGAATTGTTGCCCAAGCTATCAGTCTTTGCTTGTGTGTGTGTGTGTACAACTTTTTTTTATCAATCCACTGCTGAAGGAAGGCCTTCCCACACTGTATGAGTAGTGTGGGTTTTTACCGTACTTCATCATGCTGGTCAGGATGGGTTGGTGAATGTGATGTACAGCACAACAACAAGTAGACCCCCGCAACTTGACCCCCCATTCAAATGTTATCCAGACTCAAACTTGCTTGGCTTCGAATGGGAGATCGGGAAGAATTCCAGGTGATGTTGTCATAGGCCAGGGTATCACAATTGATCAACGTGTATCCCTATTGTCGCCGCTCTGTGTATCTGTGTCTCCGTTTACAGGAAACCGTGAATGTGTACACGTCGACTGCTGTATCGACGGAACCCCTGCCGGCCCATGACCCCACCGTCCTGGACACATCGCTCGTGTCTACTGTGAGCCTCCCGTCACACGCAGATAAATCTGCCCAAATTTCACCACGCCCGACCCCCCCCCCCCTGTTGCACCGTGACAGGGGGCTGGGTGTCGTGGCGGTTCGGGCGATTGGCATCTGGGGAAGTTTTTCATAAGAAGTCGTCTGTATTAGTTGTGCAATGCAGAGACTTACTCTACCCCTTCCCCCGCGATAGAAATGTAAGATCTTCACCACTGACTTGGCACTTCCAACAGAGATTACTGCCACCCGATGTGTGCGTTTGAATCCCCCAACTATTATATTAACTCGCCACTTTTTTGTGAATGTGTGTTGAGCACTCCTGCCACACCTGGATAGGTGTTGGAATTGGTCACCTTTCAAGAAATAATCTTAAGAAGTCACCGACTTGTAAGATGCATTCCAAGAAGCACATTTTATTTTGTATAAACGGACATGGGCTCTGTGTTCCATGCCTGTTTTATACGATTTGGATGCATTATTAATCCGTTAAAACAAACTTTTAACATCTCAGATGACTACACCATATAGGGCTTGAGTGCTGTCACCGAGGTGCGGTAATGATGGACTTAACCATATTTCTAATTTATTTTTGCCGTTCACAAATTGTTCAAACTCATGTTAGACAGCGCACGACTCAGTCTAGGTATGCACCTTGAAGATGAAAAAAAAATAAAAGTCATTGCTTCTATAATTTTATATTCAAAGGACCCTGGATCTTTGGGGAAATCTCAGCCATGTGAATGTGCTCTTCTGTTCATCTGTGTGTGGGGGAGCTTGCCCGATAATCATGCAACTCAAGTGTGTGTGTGTGTGTTGGGAGCGGTCAGCTCATTTGCATTGCTGCCTCTACTGTATTTTCCGTTGCAGGTGCCCATCCCTCGAACTGTCCCACGAAGCAGCAGTAACAGCAGCATCATTCCTGGGGCTCTGTCTGCAGCCGACCTCACGCTAAAGGTCAGCACAGGCTTGCACGCTCGCACTTGTACGCAAGAGCACACGTACAGAGATCTAAGGTGCGCAGGTCCTCCATTTAGCATCCTAAACTTAATGGGCGAGTGCTCTTGGCAAGCACCTACCCGCACAAGTACAAAGTCGAGAGGCCATCATTGACTAGTTAATAAAGGCAATGATGAACTTCCAGTAAAATCCAATGGCACCCACAAGAGGGTATTGAGAGCCAGTGTATTCGTGGCAATGTGCCTATGTATGTTGAACTTCTTTCGCACCGTACTTGGTCAATCGTACTAATCGGAGGTGCAGAGGAAGGTTTGGATGGGTGGGGTGGGTTCGTGTTGTGTGGGTTAGTTTGTGTGGGTTTGGTTGGTTGGTTTGAGTGGCAATAAAAAGGCATGTGCAATGGTTATGCCCCCTATTTATCCTGGAATGTCTCGGTGAGCCTCCAGATTAATTTAGGGAGATTCTGAAAGAAGATGTATGGCCAGTTTCTTTTGAGAAGTTGGGAAGGAATCTAGTTGCTGAGTGACTATTCCAAACCTACTTTGCTGCACGTTCATCATCTGGCCACGTCTCAGCCCAGCATATCTTATAGTACACGACGATGTCTGCATGATGCACCGTGCCTGCCTTCCACAGTGTGGGATCACGGGCGCGTGCCACCACATCGGCGGCGCATATTATTATTTTTTTACCGGTGGCACGTTCCACACTGACCCGAGCGTCGACACGAACCGTTGCGTTCGCTCGCAGATGGAGTCGGCGCGGAAGGCGTGGGAAAACTCCCCGCGCCTGGGCGGTGGCGGCGAGCCGGCGCCGGCGCCCCCACCGGCGGGCCCCCCCCCGCCACCCCCCACCACAGCCAGCACCGTGGCGGTCAACGTCGTGGCGGCACCGGGGCCCGGCGGGGCCGTGGGGCCCCTCGCCTCGCCCCGGGACGCCATGGGGCCCGCTGCATACGGCGGCTACGCAGGCACCATGTCGATGGCCGACGCCGGTGTCTCTTCCATACCCGGTGGGTTGCGCCGAGGTCGCCGGCGTTTCCATCACGGGTCCGTCGGGAGCACGCACCAGAGCCTCTCGTGCCGTCACCGGAATGGTTGACGGCAGCCGAACGGTGGCACGGTTTTGCCCGCTTGTTGCAAAAGCACACAGTTCAAACTTTTTATTGTTTTACTCTGCTTCGTTTGTGTGTGGACTAACCAAATTCGTTCGGTGTAATATGTGGCACACGTGTGAACACCCGCGCGACTTGGGATAAATGTTCGGCAACAGATAACATCATTGCTACCTGAACCTGTCCTGGGCACTTCGTGAGGTCACGTCGAATATGATCATCAGCACTGGTTGAATTGAAGATGGTGGCTATGCGTGATGCTGGCCCACCACCATTCCCTCCTGTGCCTTGGCCGGTCTTACCTTCGATGTACCTTCGTAGCTCTTCATTAACAACACAGGAGGAATCGAGATGTACGTGGGAGGGAGCAATTTGGCTTCCAGTTTGACCAAGACGTGTTCCCGTGTGTCCGCAGTGAGCTACCACGGGGTGGTGGTGTCATCCTCATCCGCGTCTTCGCTCGCAGCCAAACCCAACCTGCTCACCTCTGAGCACGCCAGCAACATCTGCAAGGTGAAGCCACAACAGCAGCTCCAGCAGCAGCAGCAACAACAGCAACAGCAGCAGCAACAGCAACAACAGCAGCAGCAACAACAGCAACAGCAGCAGCAACAACAGCACCAACAGCAAGCTCAGCAGGCGGCCAGCCAGCTGTCCCTAATGCCGCAGCTCACCCAGATATCACAGCTTTCGCAGTTGTCCCAGCTGAGCTGTGCGCCATCCATGATGCACCAGCAGCAACAGCAGCTGTACCTTTCTCAGCCGGGACCAGGTGAGTGGCCAGTGTTTAGAGGATGATGTGTGAAAGTAAATCTATAACTCTTTGGTTTCAGATTGCATTAGGTGTTCGAAGTATCCAGACATATTCTCCCATGCATGCTGTTTTAAAGTACTGATTGCTTCTGTTAACAAGATTTGAAAGTCGTCCTGCTGAAATAAGCGTTGGTGCAGCACTCCTCTCCAGTCTCAATATAGGATGACCACCATTGATTTCCCACAGTGATACTTTGCTTTAACATCAGAGGGAAGATGATGGGCTAAGTTGACCTCTTACTGGTATTTAACCTTATTACCTTCCAACGCTCCGAACTTGGTGCCACTCGGCTATATTGGACATCTTTCGACGTGACCTGGGCCTTTTGTTTGACTTTCGCCTTTCCTCTTGCAGCCCCAACCGGACAGTTCCCAACGTACTACCACGTGGACACGTCGCACCTGTTCCCGATGCAGCAGGCACGCGTTGGGGGCGGCCCCCCAGCCATGCAGCAGGGCCAGGCCTACCAGGGTGGGCCGGGCGGTGGGGCGGCCCCACCTGGGCCCCCTCCCGGCCCACCCCAGGCCATGCACCACCAGCCCCAGATGCCCTTCTCGCTGTACTCGCAGCAGTTGGGCCAGCAGCAGGCCGTGAGCCAGCCTGCACCACCGCAGGGGCCTGAAATGTTTGGGCCGTCTCTACAGCTGTTCCGGTGAGTGTGGCCGTGCTTTGTTGTCGGGTGTCCCCGGAAATGTGCGCTCGGCTTGTTTGCGTGAAGGCTGCCGACGTTTAAAGAAAGACGCGACGCAAAAAAAATAGCATTTAACCTTACAGATGTACACCTCCGCTGATTGTGACTTGACTCGTGCTATTCCCTTGGTTAATCTTTAACTAGCGATATTACCGTTTCGTGCGCAGGTCCGGCCAGGCATTCTTGCAGCCAAGCCTGACGCAGCCGTCGGCGCTGGTGCTGTCGGCCGGCAACCCCCCAAAGCCCCTGTACGGGGGAGGCTTCGCGTCGGACATGGGCAAACAGTACAGCCAGGCGGCCCCCCAGCCTGCTCCGCCACCACCACCGCACCAGCCTCTGCCCGCCTTCATCTATGAGCAGACGCCAATGATGGACTCGACTCACCTCATGCAGGTGCCTGTCCGTCTGCGATGCAGGGCTTGGCGTGCGTGTGTATCTCTCGTTGGATGTGCGGTGGTCGGAGCGTGCGCGCGAGTGTGTAGTGTCGTGCATGCCAATTTGGTCTGGTGGTTTGTCGCGTGTATGTGCATGTGGTGAACATCAGCACCACAGACTAAAGCAGCCACACTCGACCATTCATAGGTGCTGACTCGCACCACTTGTCTGGGCAATCTGTACAGCTCAATGGGGGGGTGGTTGTGTGTGTGTCCGTGTGTGTGTCCGTGTGTGTGTCCGTGTGTGTGTGTGTGTGCGCATGTGTGTGCGCACGTACGCGTGTGTGTGTGTGCGCACGTACGCGTGTGCGTGCACGTGTGTGTGTGTATGCGGGCTCCCCCCAGGCACGACAGGGCATGGGCCAGCTCGGCGTGTACTCCCAGCCCCAGCAGAGTGGTTTCTACGCCACCTCACAGTCACCGGCAGCCGCCCTGCAGCACATGGGGCTGCCCATGCAGGGATACGGAGGCACCCAGCAGACGCTCATCGCCCTCCAGGGGTAAGGGCCGTGTGCGAGGAACGAGCGCCCGCCCGTGTTTCGTTCACAGGGACTTTGCTCTGTCGTCCAATACAAATGTACTGTATTGAAAACTCATCTTGGTTGAAAAGTCAATTTCTTGAGGACTGCCTTTTGTATTTAGTTTGTAATCCTTCCCCTGTACCTCCGATTAGCATGGTTGGCTACGTACGGTGCGAAAGAAGTTCAACATACATAATGGTGTTGTCGGTTGAAGATTACACATCCTTAGGTGATAGCTGTTTTGCCACGTGAGTACCACCATTCCACAGTTTAATTTAGCGTCTTCTCACAGGGCCGCATGGAATGTGTGGAGAGAAGGCTTTTGCAGGGGGAGGGCACAATTTCGATGGCACAATCCAGAATAACGGTCTCATATTTGTGCGTCCGAAGCTCCCCTGTTCTGCCTTCCAGACCCAGATTTAAAACTGAATTCGCGAGGACGAAAGACTTTAAGCGTTACAGTCAAGTTCAGTCGTTATAGCACCCTGCGTACATTTTAACAAGCCGCTGCAATGATATTGTTCGAGCACTCTCATGGCACACCTGACTATGAGAAGACGAGACAAATATTAAGGAACTACTCTGGTGGTGGGTGTTCAGGCGTAACTCAGGAAGGTAAAAAAACGACGATCCTTAATCCTGCTTTAACAGTGTTTCCCTGTTATAACCAGCGTGCGTGGGGCGTTACTCTCGGCCGATACAGCCACGGAACCTACGCGCACCTTTCGGACGCTCGGCTGTTGCCGCTGCGTCGCTCTCATCGAGGACTGGTTTGTGTCTCGCAGGATGTCGCAGCCGTCGATGGCGGCCCCGCAGGCGAGAGGCGTCCTCGCGCACTCGGCACCGCGAGCCATCTCCAACCAGGTCCCACGCTACACGCCCAGCCAGCACAAGGCAAGCCGCGCACACACCTGTGAACCGTCCTCGGCGTCGTCAGCCGCGGTCTTGTGGGAAGTGACGCGGCCCAGTGGCAAGCGCGTTCGCCGCTTGCTGTGGAAGTACACGGCACGATTTCAGCGACCGCCGTTAATATTACTGCAGTTGGTTGTAATAAGCATAACAATGTCGCCACACGCCACGTGCTTCATGGTGGCGAAATGTTAACTACCTCGCCTGGTATACAGGAGGTCGTGGGTTTGATCCCGACCCTCACGCCTGTATATTTGGAGTTTGCGTGTTCTCCCCGTGGTCGCGTTGATTTTTCTCGGAGTCCTCCGGTTTTTCTCTCCACATTTAGAAGCATGCATTTAAGAGTATTTGGCTGCTATAAATTTCCACATGATGGGCCACTTCGTTGAGCTATCACTTCTGAAAAACAGCTGTATAGCTCCGTGGGCCTTACCTGCTCAAATAAAAAGAGTAAATAGTTTTAAATGCCGTGACGTTATTCGCAAAGTAGGCCATGGGGTTGCCGGCGTCATGGTCCAAATTAAAATTATTGTAATCTATCACAATCATTTACCACTGCTGTAAAGTTACCGAGGCTTTCCTGGGTAAACAAGCATAATAATAATAAGGAAATTAAATCCTCCCAAAGCCGTCGCCATCTCTCTGTCATGCAATGCAATCGTTCTTCTGCTCATGCACACTGCCATGCTAGCAGTTTCCAGCAAAACCCTCTATAAATTTCCACATGATGGGCCACTTCGTTGAGCTATCACTTCTGAAAAACAGCTGTATAGCTCCGTGGGCCTTACCTGCTAAAATAAAAAGAGTAAATAGTTTTAAATGCCGTGACGTTATTCGCAAAAGTAGGCCATGGGGTTGCCGGCATCATGGTCCAAATTATAATTATTGTAATCTATCGCAATCATTTACCACTGCTGTAAAGTTACCGAGGCTTTCCTGGGTAAACAAGCATAATAATAATAATAAGGAAATTAAATCCTCCCAAAGCCGTCGCCATCTCTGTCATGCAATGCAATCGTTCTTCTGCTCATGCACACTGCCATGCTAGCAGTTTCCAGCAAAACCCTCGTGACGTTCACTCGTGTGTTGATATCACAGTGTAACACTGCGGTGCCATTACATTGAATCGTTTGAGCATAGCCGGTTGGACTGGAGGGAATCATTTATTAACCCGATGGTTTGTTTGCACACCACCCCATAACCAGATTTTCCAGGTGTCGGATTATGGCGTAGCCGGAGAGGTGAAACATCACACTCCTCCGCAAACTCCGCACGGCAACACCCCGGCTACGAGCCCTTTCAGGTAGCTTGGCTCACACTGTGACGCAAAGCAACAGAAACAAACACAAATATCCCCTGTATAGCCCTTACCAGACTGTTGGGGCAAGTGCTGTTCGTGAGCACATTAAGGCTGGCACGGCTCACGAGGAGGTTGTTTGCAAACACCTTTGGCTCTCCAGTGCCATTGTTTCCAAACCAAACCAGGTACTTGTTAAAGGCTGGGTCGACTCGGGGAGGCCCAGCCCCCTTTCAGATATTCGCCACTTCTTTTGGCATTGAGGGGGAATATAGCGAGTACTACATCACATACAGCGCACACCACATGCCATACAGATATCGACCACCCCTCGCATAGATTTTTTACCACGCCGCATACAGCACACCACACCACATATAGTACTGAGAACCTCATAAAGCTCTCGGCACCACATGCTGCACACCACACCATGTACAGCTCGCACCATGCTACACAACACACCTTGCCAACATAGGCATGATACAGCACACCATCCCATTCACCGCACGCACACCCATTGATAATGTAACAATGTAGCATACAAGGTTTACAGTGTACAGCACCGAACACCACTATAGGGGCACCACGGTGGCGAGATGTGAACTGCCTCGTCTGTTATACGGGAAGTCGTGGGTTCGATCCCAACCCACCCTGACGCCGGTAGGTTTGGAGTTTGCATGCTCTCCCCATGGCCCCGTGGATTTTTCTCCTGGTCCTCTGGTTTTTCCTAAGCATTTAGAAACATGCGTTGAGTTTATTTTGCTGCTCAATAATTACCACGCGATAAGCCACTTCATTGAGGTATCATTTGTGGCTAATTCGCTCATGAAAAAAAGCTATGCAGCTCAGTGGGCCTTACCTGGTAAAATATTTGTTTTTTTATTAGTTTAGTTTCGCATGATTGTGTATATCGTTGCGTGTGTTTTCACTGATGTGTATGTGCGTGTTGGTCAGGCCGGGTTCTATCAGTCCAGGTTTGGCCGGGAGTTCCTCGACTAAAGGTTCAGGGGTCGGCAAAACTGGAGGAGGCCCCCCACAATCCACCCGTGTGGGCCAACCTTTCACACAGGTCTACCAGCACCAGGTGAGCACGTGTGTGGGTTTCTGGGTGTCTTAGTGCGTGTGTGAAGGTGTGTGTGTGTGTGCGCGCGGGGACCGGTAGTGTAATGGTTAACGCGCTGCGCTACAAACCCAGCGACACGGGTTCAATTCCGGCACATGGTCTACACCAGTGATGATTATCTGAATCAGTCCTGGGCCTCCCATAGGTCGACTTGACCTCCAATGAGTACCTGCTGTGGATTGTAAACATTGTCACTAGGGAGACAAAGGCGTAGTGTTGGCCACCCATCCCCTCGTGTGCTGTGCTGGCCTTCATATAGGTGTTCGCGAACGACACTTGTCCCTGCAGTCTGGTAAGGATTTATGGGGAATATTGGTCTTTGTGTGCACGCATGAGTATATGTACAAGTGAGCATCTGCGTTTGCGTCCATTATTTTGTGTGTGCGCACACACTTGCTTGTGAACTAGTCTATCTTTCATGTATGTGAGTGTCTTAATCTATGCCTCAAATATTTGAAGAAGTCACCCGCTGTCAGTGGCTGGCTGAGGTGCCATCTGTTGAGGAAGTACTAAAGGCGATCCAGAGTCTGAGACCAGGAAAGGCACCGGGCAGAGATGATCTCCCAAGCGAAATGCTGAGGGGGAGGGTGGAGTTTGTGCAAAGACTGCCCGACATGACATAACAACAGTCTGGACCACTGGACGGGTTCCGCAGGATTGGAAGGATGCCCTGATGGTTCCCCCCCCTTAAAAAGGGGGACCACCAGGGCATCCTTCCAATCCTGCGGAACAGACCGTAACAACTACAGGGGCATCTCCCTCCTCAGTGTGCCGGGAAAGGTCCTGGCAAGGATTATTCCACATTGCCTTGCCAGGCACTCTGAGGAGGGGCTTGCGGAGCCTCAATGTGGTTTCAGGAAAGGGCGGTCCTGCACAGCTGCCATATTTTCTGTCCGTTTACTACAGCAGAGGTGTAAGGAATTCCAACAAGACCTACATCTCTGCTTTATTGACCTGGTCAAGGCCTATGATACCATCAGTAGGCCTGGGCTCTGGGTTGTTCTTTGTGCTTTCGGAGTCCCTGACCCTCTGCTCACGATCATTAAGGACCTTCATGATGGTGAGCGGGCCCGAGTAAAACTACGTGGCCGGGAGTCGGAGCAATTCCCTGTTCACCTTGGGGTGCGACAGGGATGTCCTCTGGCTCCCACATTATTTAACATCTCTTTTTTTACAGTAATTCCTAGTTTTAGCGTGGTCGACGCGTTCCTGCAGTGCCGTGTTCAGCAAAAATGTGTTACGCGAGGGATTACTGTATATGCATTACGGGGCATACATAAATAATGATATGGAAATTATAATCACATGGACTATAAAATCAGCCTGCAGCCTATCCACAATCTCCTGTATACCAAGCTGGAGGTAGTTAACGTCTCGCCACTGCGGCGCCGACAAAGTAACGGCGCAATGAGTCCTTGCGGCTAATCTGGCTGTGAGCGCCAGGACCTTCATGTTCGCTTCCCTCCACAGGCGCCCCGACCCCCGCCAGTGTCATCCCTGAGCACCTCTGCATCGCCGTTCTCCCCGGTGACGCCCATCCAGCGCTACACCGTGCCGGCCCCCACCCAGGCAGCCCCACCGGCCGCGGCCCCGGCTAACGTGGCCCCCACGTCCGGCACGCAGGCGGCCGGCGGCGGCGGCGTCGTTGTCGTCGTCGCCGCCGCCGCCGCCGCCCCTCCGGTGTCCCAGCGTCCCGTGAGCGCCCAGGTAATTGCGGTGTACACGCACGCCGCTGCACACCCACCACATCGTGGGTGCTTGTGTTATTCTGCAGACATTTTGCCGTGTACTGTCGCCGGTTCCTTGGGCTGAATGCACGTTTGTTGGCAGTTGAATTGCCTCTTCATCTCACGGATGTGCTTGCCATTGACGACGAACGATTGCACGTGCTTCCTAGACCAATACAAAAAAATAAACGGTCAATGTGACTCTGTGCTAAATCTTACATTGGGTGCTGCTCAATATTGGCATGGACACGCTGGTTTCCTCCTCCAGCAGTGGCTCTAAAACTCTTTGGTTTGGCTGGGCCCCCACAGGTTCCCATGCCCCCCCCCGCCCACTGCCCCCCCTCCAATCGCCACCACCCTCCCCAGGTTACTAAGGACAGCAATATAAATATCGCGTGTCAACGCCTCGAGTCAGCGTGGTGTCGGTGCGTTTCGTGCTAACGCAAATGTATCACGTGTATCGGTGTGGTGGCGAGATGTTACCCACCTCGCCTGGTATGCAGGAAGTCGTGGGCTCGATCCCAACCGTGACGCCTGTACATTTGGAGTTTGCATGTCTTCTCTCCGTGTGGTGGTCACTTGGATTTTTCTCCAGGTCCTTCGGTTTTTTCCTCCACAATTAACCTGCATTTAGATTAATATAATAAGCCAAGAATATGTGTCCCGCACGTGACGTCACTCCACATGCTGCACCCCTCCCCAATAACCATGAGGGGGTGATGTCACTCCACATGAGGCAATCCCCCCCGCCTAATTAATAATTATGAGCTGAACAATTTTTCTATTTAATATTTCAGATTTACTTCAATATACACCCTTCCTTGGACGGGCAAACAAGCTAGTTTAAATTATTTGGCTGCTGCCACTTTGTTGACCTACCATCTGTGGCCAGGTCACTTATTAAAAAAGAGCTATATAGCTCAGTGGGCCTTACCTAGTAAAATAAAAAAATTGTTTAGTTCAAACCCTTGCCCTGGACGCCCTCAACATTGGTCAATAATGCCTAACTGTAAATCGAATAACTCTTAACTTTAATATTAACCCTACGGTCTAATCCTTAACCCTTTACTCGAACACAACGCATTTGCTTGCAGCCTCAAACTCATGGCAAGTTGGAAGTTTTCAAAGTGTTAAATATATTCTATTAACTGTTTTGCACCCTCTGTGTCAAGTGCTACGCTCGCACATTACTGCTGCACACGCAGACACGCGGCTATGTTAATGTATAGCTGATGCACAGTTGCATGTTACTGCTTTGTGCACACACACATGTCCCCGTTGTTAAGCCCAACTGCTACAACTGTACAACAAACACTGAGTTGCGTTGCACACAGGGTTTTTTGACTTGCGTTGACCCATGCGCAATCGTATCTCTGCATTCGGTATCGCGCCCTTGATACACGCGCACGTACGCACGCCTCCTTGTGCGCGTACACGCTCTCGTTCACTGAAACACCGCTGCTGTGTCGCCAGGGACAGGGTGGGGGCCGAAGCAGTGGGGGGGGAGCCCCACCCCCATCACTGGGCTCAGCAGTGGGGGGGGGCCAACCACCCGCAGCCTCGCTGGGGGGCCCGGCGAGCGTGCGCCCCGGCGTCACGCACGGAGCCCCCTTACCCCGCGTCACCGACCAGATCAAGGTGAGGACGGTGCCAAGCCTGGTTTGGCCTTGGGTACGGAAAAGGTGAGCCCCTCTGTGTTGGGGGGGGGGGGACACTGACTGAAGTGAGAAGATCCGGCCTAAATCGGTACCCGCTAACAGCGCTTGCTCCGATCCGAGAGGGAAAGGTGACCTGTGTTACGTATTTGTGTGCGGCTGTGCAAACCAGGCGAGACAGAGGGCCGAGGTTCTGCAATCCACGCAGCTCTTCTTCTCCGGACAGCAATCGGTCGTACACCATCCGCAGGTGCCGCAGCAACAACAACAACAGCAACAACAGCAGCAGCAGCAACCGCCACCACCCCAGCAGCAGCAACAACAACAACAGCAGCAGCACAAAACGTCCACAACAACCAAACCCGAGGTGACGGAGGCCCCACCGGAGCGCGCGGCGGTCGAATCCGAGCCGACTCTGATCACGACGCCGATGCCTGCCCAGACGACGGCGGCGGCGACGACGACGACGACGCCGCTGGCCCAGACGCCGTCGCCACAGGCAGCCATTGGGAAACCAGTGCGCACCGGGCCCATCAAACCCCAAGCGATCAAGTCAGACGAGGGCAAGTGATAAAGGGTTGGGGGTGGAGGGGGGGAGTGCTGTCATAGCGTGTTATTGGCGTGCGAGTACGTGTGGGTTGCTTGCGTGGGGCAGCCTGCAAGGCTTGACGTGTAAGTGCGAGCGGGGGTGGGGTACATTTGTGCGAAGGTGTGAATGTGTGTGGTGTGTGTGTGTGTGCGCGCGCGTGCATTAGATCAGGCCTTGGCTACAGGCTTGGTGTAGAGTCTATAGCTTAATTGCTGTAGTCATTCATAGCTCTGAAGCTTGGGGTAATCAAATGCTGTTGTTACTTCAATTGCCCTGGCCCAACCCGGTGTATGATGGTAGTGACGCCCTCCCCCGATTTCGATTTCCTTCACGCATGCGGCAGCCCTTGCAGTGGACCCCCAGAGTGCGTTGTCCGTGACACGTGGGAAGAAAATTAACTACATTACCTTCTGATATTTACAGCTCTATTAAAATTCAGCGCTATCACTATTGCTGAACATCTCTTATTAGTATTGCAAGCTTGAGGCGAAGCTGAGAACCATAATTGTAACAATTGCTTGCCCATGCAACAGCATAGACATCTATTAACTGGTATGATTACTAGTTTAACGAAACAATACAATTGCTCGTGATTTACAACAATGTACTCGGACAGCATGGCTTGAGAGCTTCCAAATTGGACATGTACCGCATCCTTTGATCTCTATAAAATTATATAAGAAAATCTTAACCTGACATCTGAATGACAACTGAATTAACGGTGTAAAGCTTCACAGTAGATTCATTTTTCAGTCTCGACGTTACAATTGCTGTATTGTAACAAGCCCAGCTCACTCACTGTTCGCTGACCAGTAACTTTAACATTGGCTACTTGCAGTCCGCCCACCCCATAAGCAATGTACACTGGGCATCGCAAGGGCGCTGTCTCTCGAATGCTCAGCGACTTTGCCTAATTTAAAAATAAGACTGAAGCGTATTCTTGGTTCTTTCGGTAAAGTCACGTAGAATGGAAACAATAAAATCATAAAAATATAAAAAAATAACATTCTCACGACGTTTCGACTGCAACACAAGCAATCATCATCAGGTGTGAAAACCACACCTGATGATGATTGCTTGTGTAACATTCTCACGACGTTTCGACTGCAACACAAGCAATCATCATCAGGTGTGAAAACCACACCTGATGATGATTGCTTGTGTTGCAGTCGAAACGTCGTGAGAATTGTATTGTTTTATATTTTTAGTATTTTATTGTTTCCCTTCTACGTGACTTTACCGAAAGAACCAAGAATATGAATCCCTGCAGTCACGAAAGCTTTAAATCAAAATTTAAGACTGAAGCGGCAACAGTGGCAAGTCATGGCAGTCGAAAAATATGATTCGATATACTGTAAAAAAAAGCTATTCATATTACTCATGGAATGCTGCTTTTGCTTTTAGTTAAATGCTTTCTTTCCAATTCGTGATATCTTTTTTTTACATTCTTTCTCTGGTGCTGGTTAAAATTTTGGCTGATGAAAGCGTGCGCACCGTGAGTTTGCTGTGACAGCGCCGCAGCTGTTGTGCTTGCCCTGCAAATCCACAATGAAGATTCTTAGCCATAAACCCCTCGCCCAATAATCAAGAGGCGGCCAGAGGTCAATAGGAAGCACCCCCCTCTCTCTCTCCCGTTGGTCGAGTTTGGGTCCCGGGTCCACCTGCTGTGGCACGACTCGTTTTTTCGAATCAAACCGGAATCGTGTTCGCGGCATGTGGCACGTGACGCAAGAATGAGTTCCTGTATATTGTTTCGGTGTGTGTGTGTCTTGGTTTTTTTTTGCAGCAAAAAAATAAAGCAGTGAGGCCACAAGTGTAAGGCGACGCAGCCTGGAGTGACATTTGCTTTACTAACGGCGACGCTTTGAACGTTTTTATGTAAACTGCTGTCCCGGGGGCTGGCGATACCAGCTTATGAAGCTGAACCCTAGGAAATTATAACTTTTGAGGCTCAGTTGCATGTGAATACACATCCATGTCCTATTTGAAGTTAAGGTCTTTACACGTAAAAAAAATATAAACTACATTCTACTCAGAAATGCTTTTAAGTGGCTTTGCTTCACATGCTTGTACTAAAAACATCGCGAAGCTTTGGGCGGCTAGTTTTTAATGATATCTTGAATTTCAGAATGTTTTCTTCCGGAGGTGCACATCTCTGCTACTCCACAGCTATGTTTTAAACGCAACGAGACATCGTTTATTGCAAAATGCTCTTTATTCGAATACATATTGCTATGGTGAAAACTGGAATTGTTGTTTCACGTGGTCTGCCAAAGCAATTTGAGGAAACCTGGTCATGTGACCCTCGAACGGCCAATCGTGAGGTTAACTGGGTGCTGAACGAAGGCCTTTATAAGCAGAGATATCCTAAATTAAAACAGATTCTCAAGGAGTAAAAAATCTACTGCAAAAGTATGACAGGGAAACAGTCCTCCGGATGCAAATGAAGTGTGCATCCTAATGCTCCCGAGTCCTTCCTTCATCTCATCGGTCAACGTGCACGTGGTAAGAGCCCTTTGCAGAGACCCTTGTGCACGCAGTTTGTGCTCTATTATAAAAGCGTCCATTAGATGCAATATGAAACTAATATTTTGATTATACACACATTAATATTTAGTCTTGTCCCCACCACACCTTACTTTTTCCCTCGTACTGCCAAGACTCTACCTACACACCTGAACTCCAGGGTCACCTCATCCTGTCTTATTACCAACGTCTGGCTTCAGAATTGTCCTCAATTACCAGCCACTCTCCCGGCTGGCCTGCCTTCAATCCTGCACCCTCTCCTACCCTATTTCTGATGACATCTACAATACTTTTTTTTCCCGTGAGCTGTTCCTCATTCACAAGTTGTTCAGCCTGTCCCATCGTTAAATAAATTGCGTCAACTTTTGCAGGAAAAAAAATCCATGTGCCCGTCACACCGGCCAATCTTGCCTTTGGACAGCCACTTGGCCTCCCACTAAGAGGTAATGTTATTGGTCTTGGGAGGGATGAGCTGAATTAATCTTTTCAATTGAGATTTCAGCAAAATCTTAATATTCCAAGTTTGGGCATTACAACAGTGCCGTCACCAAGCCAAATACCATTTTAAATGTCAAATAATTAGATATATTGAAAATCCTTATTTGAAAGTAATATATATATATACACACACCCACACATCCATTTTTATAATATGGGTATGTGTGTGCATGTGTGTATATGTATGAACGTATATAATATAATGTGCAACAGTTTGAGACATGTGTTTTATGATACTGCTGGTGTATTGCTGTTATGACCTTTGTGAAATGTGTGTGTGCGTGCACAACCCTCCACTCACTCGTGTTCTCTCAGTGGAGGCGAGCGTCTTCGTCGGGACGGGAATAGGAAAATCTGTTGGTTGACTTCAGAAGCGTCGAGGAATAAAAGTGTCATGAAAATGCGTGGAGTGAACCAAATTAGTAGGGATTGCAATTACTTAATTTGCTCCTTCTAGCACTGCAATTGAAATCCACGCTTCTACATGGTTTCCGTTGGAGCGAGCTCTCCCCTTTCGTTCTTTGTTGGGGCTTCCTGCTTGTTCATTAATTTACCAGCCTTTCTAACAGCAGTGCGATTACCGAAATTTATTTACACCTCGTACCTTTTTTTTGTTGTCCTATAGGATACTTAAGTTGCGAGCGTTTGTGTACCGCACAACGCGTCTGCACATCAAAAGCGGAATACAGCATATGTTTATTACATAAAACCTAAAGGGAAAATTTAAATCCAATCTGATGAGTGTTCCAATGCAAGTTATTTAAACTATATTATTACTGTTTTTTTTTCCATTGCTGCGATTTCTGTTTTCGTTTTTATTGCTTTGCACAAATTCCCTGTTTGGGTGCAAACGTGAGTTTAGGTGGCCTGCTTGTTATTACATTTATTCTTTATGTTATCCTTAAAGGGTGCTGGTTGGGGGGGGGGGGTGTTAACATTTCTTCAGTGTTGATTTACTGGACACTATATGGGCTGGTGCTCTGTCAAATCATTTCACGAAACTGCATGGGGCCCCCCATGGGTTTTGTTGTCAAGTGTATTTGATGAGAGCCTTTACGGGGCACTCGTGGCCAGCTTCCCATTAAAGCTGTCGAGTCCGGCCGTTGGCGCGTCTGTTGCATTAGCCGGCGGTGCTACAAAATAACGCCACGTGCCACGGGGGCCGGGAACTGCGGTGAAAAGTCAAGCGTCGGGTCTCCCTGCTCAAACGAGCATTGTGTGGCACGCATCTCTCCCATTGGTGGCGCCAAGCCGGAACCTCCAGTGAAGTTGTCTCGCGCCCATTTTTTCGTTTGAGCTGAGCGGCACTTTAATTTTGATTATATTTCATGGCACTTCTGGGGAATCGCAGAGCATGTGCCGGTATCGCCACAGTGCTGGAAATCCAGTCGCGTGACTGGAATGCGGTAACTGTAGGAATGAACCAGTCCACCTCCGTTCCACGGACCCGTCCCCGTGTGGCACGCCCCCCCTGCCTTCCGCACCGACTTTGCAGCAGGTTTTAAATGGCCGTGGCTCAGTTCTTGCCTTTCCTGAGAACAGTTTTTTTTTCTCCACAATGCTTTCATGCTTTGCTTCAAAACATTGCGTTCTCAGTCTCGAATTGGATTCCATAATGCAGCGGGGCGCATAAAGTGCGAGCCGTGGAGGCAAAACCACCTCGTTCTTTGATAGGTAGTGGTGGTGGTTCCCGTGGTGGAGAGTTCACCTTCCCCTCTGGCAGTGGAGCAGCGTCTTTGTAGGACGACCGCTGTTGCCATGTTGGATTTTCTGCGGCGGTGCTTGCGCTCTCAACCCACGCGATTCGACCCCGCAAAACCTTCCGATTAGCCGAGTCGACCACTCGCTGACCCCGCCACTCGGCCAGACTGCATGTGCTAGAACCAGATATGGCAAGGGGGAGGGGGGGGCGGAGATGGTTCTCTGACCTCTACGCTGTACTTGTCCCCAGGTTATCCACGTCGGCCCTGCTGGTCGCGGTCAACTCGAACTGGATGTGAACCGCGTTGCTAGAGGTCCATTTAATTGGCCGTTAAGACCCATGACCCAAATCTGGCCTGCCGAGGGATGGGCACGTGTGGTCAACTTTGGGTGGAGTGAGAATCTCGCTACGGTGTACAAGTGCTAGGTTAAGGCTGCACGCTCTTGCTCTAAAATTGCTTACAACTTAACTAACAATGCACAGGGTTTAATGTTTACCCCACCGAGTCAAATATCTGTCAATTGCACACCCACAGTTCACCCATTGAGACAGCACATCAAGTTTTTGGAGGAGACATTTACAACATGAGCTTGTGTAATCATCAACAAGTAGATATTTTTTGTACCTTTTCGCAGAAACTTTCAATGTTTTGTTGATCAATCATCCAGGTCAAATTAATTTTACAGCGGCACTGACCTCCGTTGGTTACCAAGGCAGCAGAGGAAATTACACATTCCTATGGCAAGGTCCACAACGAAAACCACCGGACTCAAAAGTGGCACTCGTTTGAACAACCCCAGTTAATGGTCCGCTTTAAGCCCATACGATTAGAAAATCACCGCTTGCCGATTGCGATTAGAGCAATTTAACTGCAGTTGCCCAGTCGGAAGTGAAAAAAAATGCATTGCATAAACAAGAGGCCGCCTGGAGACTTGCAGAACGTGCATCCACCTCCCGGGCCTATCCCAAAAATTGGTTCACACAACTTTTTTTTAAATCGGGCGAGGGCGATTTTACTGGGCAGCAACTCGTTCCGGTCTTCGGGATTGCACACTTTGGCTTTATTTTGGGTGCACGTTTAAGTTGTTGTGCTTGTTCCATTGAGACCCGAGCCAGTTTTGTTTTCCCTTTTGAAATGGATTCGGTTTTGATTTGTCGTTGCGTTCTCCGAATTGCGTTTCCCACCACCAAGCCTGTCTTTGTAGGCTCCCGTGAGTAGCGGCAGGGCGGTGGTGTGACGCGGGAGAGATCGTTCGAGAACGCCGCGCTGTTACCGACACCCCCCCCATCACACCGCTTTCCTCTCC